ACACACATATATTTATTTCCATTTCACTATTGACTTGATCTAATTGAAGTAAAAAGTTTTGTGAAACATGTCCCCTGATATTGTATAACTAAGTTCAACTCTTTCAAACTGTTGTTTGCAATTTGCAATGAAAAAGTTTGATCCAGAAACCAAATTCTGTTCAATATTCACATAGATCAATTGTAATAGCTATAGAATTTTCAAGTTAAAAGTTTTTTTTTTTTTTCCATTTTGATTCATGCATTTTCCACAATACTACTATAGCAGTAAATATCGATAATAATATTAAGTCTTTGGCCATAAAATTGTTGAGATAACAGAATTTTTTTCTGGTCTCCATTAATCCTTTCATCGATGATGATGATGATGATGATGATGATGAAAACTTGAAAATTTCACGGATCATCAAAAGATTAGAGAATTCTATCGATTTTTTTCCAAGTTCCAGTTCCGGACACGGAAAAAAAAGATTGATTAAAATTACTAGCCAAAAAAAACTAACTATGACCTTCATCATCATTATTGTTATTTTCATTCATGCTTGTCGGTCATATATAATATTCTTGTGTATGTGTGTGTGTGTGTGTGCAATTGTAATTAGTACACATTAGTTTTGATGTGCCTAAAAAAAACATACAAGACCTTTCAAGACACAAATATCGAAAAAACATGAAGACAGAGAAACAAATAAGTGTCAATCACTAATTGTTCTGCAACTGTTGTTTTTTTTATTTATTTCAATGTTTCACATGTTTTTTTTTGCTTCTCATCAAATATTGATTGCAAATTCACCATTTTACGTTATGTGTTGTTGTTTTTCATAGAATCTAATCATTTTTTTTCTACCATACATGCACACAAAAACATCTGTAATATAGCAGCAGTAATAGTTGGAAAAAAATTGTCTCTGTGTATGTGTCCAACTGTGTGTGTGTGTGTGTAGGTTTTTGTAACCATGAAAACAAAAAAAAATTTTAATGCATGTTTTTTTACGATATAATGATTCTGTGTGAGTGTGTGTGTGTATTAGTTATAGTATTCATATAACAAATGAAACAACCAAAATAAAAAAAATTGAGAAACAAAAAAAATGAATGTTTTCAGAATCTAGAATCTAGAATCTAGATTCTAGTGAAATACCTAAAACTTGAATACAAGACCAAGTAAGTAAGTAAGTAAGACTGTCATTGAAATGTCTTTAGATGAAATTATATAACGAAAAATGATGATGATGATGATGATGATGCGATTCGGATGAGATGATGATGTGATGTGATATATATTTCCATAAGTGTTCCTTTGAGAACAATGGATGATTTGAAAATAACTGATACCAATGATCGATTATCTATGAACAACAACAACAAAAAAAAAAAATAAAAAGAAAAAGAAAAACTATAACATCAAGAACTTCATGGAAAAAAATAGTCCAATCGTTTGATATCGATGATAACAACATATAAACAAAAATGAGAGAAAAAAAACATGGAATATGTAAATCACGTTGTTGTTGTAATATCATTTCATATGAACCATGGAAATTCAAATATTCTAGATTCGAGAATCATTTTTTTTGTGTTTACATGAAATTCATCCATTTTTTATCATTTTCAATGATCACTCAATTTTCACTGATGACCATTATCATCATCATTATCATCATTATAATTATTTTTCAATTAATATTCACTTTCTTTTCTACTACTTTGATTGGTGAAATGGTCAATTGAATGAAAACTTTGGATGAATTTTTTTCCAGAAAAAAATGATTCGTTTTTTTTCTGTACATGTCTTTTTAATCATCACATTTTCACAATAGCTTCTATGAACAAACTAAACACACAGTATGGTGATTAAGAATTCTTGTTACCGTTGTTGATGAAACAAACAACAGATTTTATTGAAATCAAAATGAATGAGCATTTAAATGAATTCTGTTTATTCCAGTATTTTTTTTTCTACACCATGTGAATTCCATGATTCTACTAATGAAAGAAATTAATTAATTTTTTTTCTTTCTCAATCTCTCGTTTCACATTCAATATCATTCATTTTTGTTGTTTGATTTTTTTTTGTTTTTTTTCATTATTAGTTCTGCCTTTTTTTTGCTTTGTTTTGTTATGCTCTATTATGGTAGTTTTGTTTTGTTAAATAATTAATTTAATTGAAACATTCTGTTCAAATAAATGAATGAATTTGTTTGTTCAAATATGGGAAGGTGGTTGCAAATATTTGCTATCCATGAACAAAGGTAACACAGATGTGTAAAATTTTGATTCATAAAATCATTGCCAATCATAAATTGAATATAAATTCAAATGAATGAAAAATATGTTTTTGAATAACAATTTCATTGGACAAAAAAAAAATAAATGTCAACAAACGTCATCATGTTGCAGCCAGTTGTGAAAATGTTGTTTGATGTCTGTCAGTTACCGGGATTTATAAATCGGAATTCACAAGAATTGTCATCATTTGACTATTGGATAAAAATAATATTCAACCAAACTGAAGCAAATCAGAATCGGTGAATTGTACATATGGATACATAAACAATTGTACATTTATGTTATTAGTTTATTTTTTTTTTTTTGGCGAGTTGGTGTCAAGCAGAGAGATCAATTTAGTAAATTACTCATAGTTAGAGTTAGAGTTATTATTATTTATCATTAGCTAATCATTTATTCTGCTATATAATAGTAAGTGAATGTATAAGCTGTGTGTGTGTGTGTGTGTGTGTGTGTTCAAGAATAATATTTATAACAGTGAAAATAAAAAAAGATTATCCATTTCATTCATTATGAGGTTAAACAGAATTAATCAACATTAGTTTGTTTGCTGTGTATATATGATTATTTCAACATCAAATATTTGATTCTGAGAATAGTAAAAAAGTTCGACAACCGATCGAGAAATGCCCCGAAAAAAATGGAGGAAATTTGAAACAAAAAGACAATGAATCAGTCGAAGAATTCAAAAAAAAAAAAAAAACAAAAAACGAAAACGATTCCTAATGTCGAATTCGGAATCATCATTATTATTATTAGCCTAGATTTGTCGTCATCATCATAAATCAAATGTTCATCATCATGGGAACAACACAGCAGCAATGATGAAACAAAAACGCATACAATATATATTCATTGATCAAAAAAAAAAAGAATCCACACAATTTTTTTTTGAGTGTTTTTAGGTTGTGATCTTTCATATATTTATATGCCACATATTTCAAGCTAAATTAATCTTTATCACGGTCCACCATAATTTTTTTGTTGTTGTTGTTGATGATGATGATAGGATCAATTAATCGAAAATGGTCAACCAAAAGCATATTTTCTATCTATATATATATAAAACAAGTGAAAAAAAGTTTTTTTATTATTATAACTGTCACATTATAACGGATGAAAGGGAAAGAAAACATAATTAATCGATTTGATTTTTTTTTGGGTTTCGTGTTTTTTGTTGTTGTTGGGTTTTTGATATAAAATGAATGAATGAATGAAATATAAAACAAAACAAAACAAAAACTGAAAATCCTTCTTTGTGATTATGAACATTATCATTATTATTATTGAATAAGCAAAAGGAAAGCCTAGTGCAGCCGTCATCATCGTCATCGTCATCATAATCATATATCGATGACAATATTAATGATGATGATGATGATCGTCTATCTACAATGTTGTGGTGATATGATTTGCAAAAAAAAAATATTAGCGAAAAAAAAACGATAGCAAAGAATCAAATCGATTCAATGATTCATTAATGTAATAATAAGCATAATAATAATAGAAAAGATAAATGTTATGTTATTGTCAACCGATAATGATGGCTGCTCATTTTCATCAATTCTCATTTGAAATTTGTATTTTCCATAATAATAATTTAAAAAATTTCAAGTGAATTTCGTAAAAAATTTATTATTTTTTTTTAGATCCAACAAAAAAAAACCAAAATTCAGTAAAATCTAAATTAAAATTTTGCCAGTCAACCAAGGGTAGATTTGTGAATTAAAATTTTTTTTCCTCACTCACTTTGAACCACCACATACGTCAAAATGCTGAACTGAATTTATTTATTTTTAAAATTATATTCACACAAGACTAATGTGAAATGTGTTTAGCAATTTGCCAACAAACAGAGAAAGAAATCAAACAATTTAGATTCAATGTTTATACACGGTGTTTTTTTTTGACTCACAAATATACAAACATTATGTAAAATAAAAGCAAAAAAAAAAATTTTCATCCAAATTCGACAGATATACATTAATCGATTCAATCAACAAAGACTAAATGGATCAGAATCAACGTTGCTAACAACAACAACAACAACAACGAAAAAACTTTGATAACAAATTTAAATGATGGAAAAGTAAATGGAAGATGTTTGAAGAAAAAAAAAGTAAACAAAACTTTGAAAACACAAAACAAACAATTTTCACACACACACACACACACAACAGAATGTAAGAAAAAAAAATTTTTCATTACAAGTCAACTTGTGAGATTTACTATAGTGAAATAAAAATTAATTTCAGTAAAATAAAAAATTATTGAGTAGTGATGGTGAGGGGATGACAAACAAAAAACAAAGTAATGATGCAACCAAAATTCCTATTTCCTGTCATGTTACTGGATTGGACAGTGGCAAAAAATATTTTTTTTTCAATTAAAAATCTTTCAATTTTTGATTTATTTTTTTTTTTGTCAATCGTTGCTCTATTGCGTCAATCAATATATAATAATATAGGTCACATACTTTCAAGTGGCAGTACTACATATTGATTGAAACTATATGGCAAACAAATAGACAAACAATAACAGAATGAAGAAAAATGTTCATTCAGAACGACCACTTCAATTCACAAAAATAAAGAAAATAAATGATTTTAGATTGAAAATCATCTAACCATCATCTATAGGTACATCTAATTTAAAAAATATTATCTTAGAGATTGAAAATGGAACATGAAAAAAAAAATATTGGAAACTTACATTAGGTATTTATTTACATTCGCCGTTGTATGTGTGTGTGTGTGTGGTGGGTGGGTAGTGTGTGCGGGTAAATATTATTTAATCAGATTGTCGTCGTTTTAATGTTTTGATTATTTATTTAGTATTTGATGAAATTGACAAAATTTGATATTGAAATGGCAAATGACAAAAAGTTTTCTTTGTGTGTGTTACATATAAAGATGGAATTTGATACAAAACAAAACAGAACAAAAAAATGCAATTCCGAAATAATTATCCGATGTAAACACAAATACGTAGTATGAATGAATGGATTTTATATGAATGAAATGAATGACAAACGACTATGACGACGAATATCTGCTAAAGTCCAAACATTTACACACATAAAATGTCTGTAGATCAATGTCTATGTTCCACAAATACACACACACACACAGGCAAACATAGAAAGAGAATATTTCACGAATATACCACATGTTCACATTATTACAAGCGCATGATTCACAATAATGATTATATTCTGTTATTACGTTGGGCATCATCATTCTCATTTCATAGAAACATCAGCAAGTAACAGTAGAAGCAGAATATTTTTATTTATCATTATCATCATCATCATCATCATCATCAGACCCAAAACTTGAACAAAAAAAAAAAATAAAATAAAATAACTATTGATTCAATATCTAATATTGCGCCGATGCGTTTTTCTTCTTTTTTTTCGCAAACGATTACGATGATTTTCCTGTGTGTGTTTGTGTAAGATCATGGGCAATGGCCTAGTAATTTTTTTTTTTTGAAAGGTGTCGAAGGTGTGTTGGTTTAATGTTCAACACGGAAATAAGAAACAACCGAAAAAAAACTTTCAGAATAAACTATATCTCAATGTCATTTTTCAAATACAAAAAACATTATGGGTGTTTTCTAGTCATAGTATCCACATGTAGGTAATTGTTGAAAACATTGGCAATCAAATTTTGCTATCTGAAACAAATAAAACACATTGAAACGGAAATATTCTGCAGTTGTTTCGAGTATCCGGTTTTTTATTATTTTTTTTCTATATATTCGACGCTTTTTTCACTTTTCAATTGTCACAATGGTTAATGAATATTGATTATATATGTGTGTACAATCATCAAAGTAAAATGATGATATTGAATGAATATAGTGGAATTTTTTTTTTCTATTCCCATTCGTTTTTTTCCTGTTCATAATTTCCGGTTAAATAAATAAAAAAAAATATTCATCACTGTCATGTGATTATTGGTTATTTGTATACCCAAGATTGAATCCAAAATTGTATGTGATTATTCACATTATTTATTAGTGTCAAGAATCGTACATGCAAACAAACAAACAAAAAAAAATTGTACATTAATTAATGTTATTGATTAAATAAATAATAAAACAATAGATAGATTGAAAGAGAGTGAATGTGTGTGTGAGAGAAAAAAACGAATTAAAATTGAAATTTCCATTTTCACATACGATTGTAAATTAATGTATATCAAATGTTAATGTGTTTATTCATGTCAGTTCATTGGTGGTGGATTTCCGTTGTCAAATAAACCCGGTACCATATAATACATTGAAATTAAAGTTTCAATAATGTACCCATATACACGCATACACATATATTAATCAATGGGATTGTCCCTATAGAAGAGGAAAAAAAAACATAAACTTACAATTGAAATGTTCATTCATTGTTTTTTTCATTTCCGTTTACAGAGAAAGAAAATATTCATCATTTTCATGTTATATATGTTGACATTCATGATATTAAAGTTGATTTCAAATCAATCAATTTATATCGATTTGTTCCGCACTTTATTGGCCGTCAATCGTATATGAACAAACACACCCAACTTGAATTTGGATTTTATTTCTGATGAAAAAGTTCAATCGTTCCGCCCCTGTGGAAAAAAAACGCAAATAGCAGACAATAATTCAAGCATAAAGAATGAAGAATTTACAAAAAAAAAACAATAATTATGTTTACCGAAAGCAAATTTCTATTATTCATTTTCATAAATAATAATAGCAATATATTCAATGAAAAAAAAAATCACAAAGGTCACAAACAAACACGGCAACAACATATAGACCATTTCCATTATCATAAATGGCATTATTAAAATGACATTATATTATTATTATTATTATCGATAAACTAATGGCAAATAAATGGGTGTGTTTGATGCCCTAAAGTTTTTTTTACTAGTAATAATAATGAATTAAATCTATTTAGATTGAATTGAAATTAATGGTCATTATTATTATTATTATTGGTGAATATCAAAAAAAAAGAGAAACAAACAAATGTGGTATTTGTTTTCATATAATAAGAGATGGGCAATATATAAAGAGAATGAGAAATTATTGCTTAATTTTTATCAAAGGGCCAATATTTTGATGATGATGATGATGATGATGACAATGAAATTGGACCCGAGAGAAATTATCAAAGTAATAGAAAATGAGCTTGAAATTTTCTGCTGCACATGTGATATCATGATGATGGTAATAGTTATGTAATTTTAACCAAGAAAGACTTGGTTTCCGTTTTCCATTTATTCATTTTTTGGTTCCCGAAAATTTTTTTTTTTTATCTTTTTCTTTATAATGAACTTGAATCTATTTTATTGTTCTTGTTCACCGCCATCAACTACTACCTATGTAGAGAATGGAATTTTCTTTTCTTTTTTTTTGTTCAAACTAAACTCAAGAATGATAGATGAATCAAAATGTACTTTGCAAAAAAAAAAAAAAATGGTCTTTTAATGATAATTTAGTTATGAATGTTGAAGTTTTACTTTTTTTCCAATGTTTTTTTTTTGAATTCTTCTTGGTTTTTTTTCGCGGTTGATTGACGATCACAGACGGTTGCCTACACACACACACACACACTTCACTTGTCTGATGTTTTCATTTTCGTGGGTAATTTACATTATGTTTGACAATTTGTGCTTTATGAATTCGTTGTTGAATTTTTTTTTCTCTCATTCTTCATCAAATTCTATTTGAATATAATGTATTTTTTTTACTGGAAATATCTTCATAGTGGTTTGGGTGTTTATTTATCGACGATATAAATGTGTGCCATGTATTTCAAACATGTATTGAAAACCATTACAGTGAAGCCAGCATTGTGGAAAAACACAAACAAGCTGAAAAGGAAAAACAGAATTTGAATATTTGATTTTTGTTCCGGCTTGCCAACATTCACTCAATAATGATTCATTGAAAAATGTATGAAATGAATATTTAAAAAAAAAATGAAAAAATTTTTGTAAAAAGATTTCCAATGAAATGAATTCTAATTTATTACCATGTGAACTTTTTTCAACGGTTCACTTGATTCTGTGTTTCAATGACTATGACCAAAAAAAAAAAAATCCATCGTACAAATCACCGACAATGGATGGCACCGTATATGCATATGATAATCGTTTCAAAATATTGAACTTGAATATAAAATTCAATGGTGTTAATTTTTCGGTTTCTGATTCTCAATATATAAAATTTTATTTTTGAGAAAAAAAAATTTAAAATTCTTATTCAATTCAATTAGTTAAATAATCATCAAGCACTGCAAAAAAAAACTCTCACATGTAATATATGTTTGTGTATTGCATACATTACTATGCAATATTTTTTTTTTTTTTTTGGAAATTCATAAAAGAAAAAATCAATAACATAACATAACATACAGCTGCTACCCCGCTGATCATGCAGAAAAAACAGAGAGATATTTATACCAACCAAGAAAGTCATTGACTATTGCTTCTACCACTACTACCACGAAATAATAATAATAACAACAACAACAACAACAACACGAACGATATCAACATGCATGCATGCTGCCGCATACTTTTACTTACTGCAGCAGCAGCAACAATAACAACAACAACAACAACACACATACGGGGCGATGGTGATGAGTCATCATCATCGTCAAAAAAATTGAAAAAAAAAAAAAAAAAAAATTTCATTTCATTCCATTTTAAATTTCGTCATCATCATCACCCATAACAACAAAAAAAACCTTTTTTTGGTTGATTTGACAACATTAATCAATCAACATCTACAATTTGCTGCTTTATATTCGTTTTGTTTGTTGTTGGGTGTTTTATTTATATTTATATATATATAATTTAAAATTTGAAAATAATTCAAATTCAAACATTCGTGTGTTTGTCTGTGTCATCATAAGAAAGAATTCAAGGGTTCAACAAATGTCTTAAATAGATACAAATAATCTCATTTGTAAAAACAATATGACTAATTAAATGGAATGTTATGTATTCATTTGGTTGCTATAATCATCAAGAATTATAACATCGACACCAACAAACAACAACAACAACAAGTAGTAAGTATATTTGAAATTATGATCATTTTTAACATTGCAAATGGCAATGTAATTATATTTTTTTAGCTCGTCTCTCTCTCTCTCTTCTCTTCTTTTCCTCTTTTACTCTCCAAAAATAAATTAATTTGATGATAGAAGATGGATACACAACTCTCCTCTTCATTCAATGTTTTTTATTTGTATGTTTATGTGAAAAAAAAAATTTATGAATTTGTCCTTGCACAATTGTTGTTATGTTGTGCATCCGAATTGCATTGATGTTTAATTTTTTTTTTCTGTTTATATGTGAAAACAAAAAACATGCACACACACACACACACACCGAGAAAGTTGATGCGTTTGTGTGTGTGTGTCTTTTACCCCTTACCATTCGATTATCAAATCAATACTTTTTACACCATCATCCATTGACAATGAATGAATTAATAAATCGAAAAATTAAACATTGATCATTGATCCTGATGATTTCTTTTCTTGTAGTCGGAATGACTAATCAGCAATTTTTGTTTTATTTTCTTGGTAAAGGATTTACCTTATCATTGTTTTTTTTTATTTGTTTGTTGATGAATGTCATCATATATAGTAGATTATTGAACAACAAATATAGACCTACTGACTCTGAAAAAGGTTATATGAATTTTCTTCTTTTTTTTCTGCTATTTATTTCAATTTTTCCATGTAAGGATTTGATTATTTTTTTTATCTTTTGTCCATTATCTTAATTTCCTTTAATGTGTTTGTGTGTATATTATAACTAATAAGAATAAGAATGATGTCATATGACTTCTTTTGTCTATACACTCACACACAATCGATATAATGTCTTTTTCTTTTTTTTAGGCATATTTGACAACAAATGACAACGACAACAACAAACAGAAAAAAATGGAAATTTCAAGTCCAACCAATATGATGTCATAGTATATTATAAGTTGTGGCAATCTTGATGTATCTGTGTGTAACCGTAAATTAATATCTCAATCTTGGAATATTCCGTCCATTTCGCGCAAACGTACACATTGACTTTGAATTTGCTATGAATTTATTCATTTTTTTTCTACCTTCAAATATTTGATATTCTTAATAATGATTTATACATAAAAAAATAGAACTACTGTAAACATTGTGGTAAATTTTGGTCTAAAAATTGGCGCATATTGTGGAAATTACAAATTGTGCAAGATTTTTTTTTTCTAGTTTTGATTTGCCAAAATTTTTTATCCTTATCATCATCATCATCATTATCATCATTGTCGTTGTCGCATGGTGTGTGTGTGTGTGTAATCGTCATTTTTTTTTACTATTCGTAACATATTCCCTTCTCGTCGAATGTATCAACGTCATATATCAACCACATTTACCCATACATACATACACAAACTCCAAAACATATAGAAATGTAAAAAAAAACAAAATCATCGAATCACCAGGACAAATGAACAGTGAAATCCTATACTCATCATGTGTCTAAGTTCTTGTGTTTGTTTGTGTGTGTGTGTGTGTGTGATTCCCTAACCATCATAATCATCATTGATTTTTAATCAAAAATTATATCACATTTATTATTATGAATATTATGGCTGAAACGTTTCTATAGCCCCCTTAGTTGTTGTAAAATTTTTCATCATTTTTTCCTCTCAATTTTAATCATCGAATATTTTGGCTTAATTTTTGATTTTTTTTTCGACCAACTCTTATACTACTTCCCTATTTCTCGAAGTGAACCTAAAAAAGGGTTATCATCATTTTTTTTCATCGAATAAATTATTTGAAATAAATTCAATTGTGTTCAATAATTATTGAATATTTTGGAAAAAAAATTATAAAATCATCAAAGAAAAAAAAAACGGATTAAAGTTTCGGTTTGTGCTATAAAATGGCTTTGACTTTGCCATCATCGAATGGAGAATTATTATTTTTTACAAATGATGTTAATTCATCTTCCGATAATGGCAAAGTAAATGTAAGATTTTTTTTTCTTGTTTTATTCATTTATATTTAATGTTTGTTTGTTTTTTTTCCCAGTCACATTTTAATGGAGGATTAACGAAAACCACAGCAACATTGACGCCAACACGATTAAAGAATATTGAAGAACAATTTTTAGAACATTCATTATTGCCATCGAAACCATTTTTACATGATCATATGGCTGGCTTTGTGCCACCAACTGTCAATATAAAATTACATTTACAATCACAGCATCAACAAATTCAATCGGACACAGCAATATCGGTTTTAAATGATCAGGATAGCCAACCACCATCACAACAGCAGCAACAATCATCGAAATCGATTGATTATTTTTCATCAAATTCCAATTCAAACGATAGTTTTAGTACTAATTATATTAGTGACGGTTATAGTAGTGAAACTAATTCCTCTTGTCAAGCTAATGTAAACAATTTTACCTTTACGAATTTTATACAAAATTCTAATTCCATGACAACCAAGATGCCAAGCAATCCTAAATCATCATCAAAATCTCGATCTAAATCAGCATCGAATAACAACGCCATCTGTTTGACAACCCGTTCAACACGTTCTAGTCAGAAAAAATCAACGAGTGGCGGTCGTAAACCCAATTCATCACAAAATGTATGATATTTTTAATTAAAAATTATTCATAAAATTTAATATATTCCACATTTCCATATTGTAGTTATCTTCTGATGAAATTCTTAAAAGACAAAAACGACGTGAACGTAATAAATTGGCTGCTGCACGTTGTCGAAAGAAACGTGTTGATCAAACAAATTGTTTAATTGATCAAACAAAAGAATTGCAAAAGAAACACGAAGCTCTAATTAAAAGGGTTGAAAATCGTCTAAAAGAATTCCATAATTATAAGGATGTTCTAATCTCTCATGAATCACAGTGTCATAATATTGAAATTCAAATTGTACAAAAACTATATGCGCAAATTGATTTTGCTGCCATCAATTCTGCCATGGAAACGATTCCGGACGATGATTTAGATACTGATCTAAATGTAAGTTATATTTATCTTTGATTGCATCGATGACTCAACAATTTGAGACCATGAGTTTGTGATGATTTCAAAAGAAAATTGTAATCTAATTTTTGTTTTGTATTTTGTCTATGGCAGACTACTTGTCATACATCATCTTCACAGGATGAATTTTCTCAACAAACATTGCCTCCACCAAAAAGAAAACGTCCAAACTCTTTGCTATTCCGTCCAATGGCACATCAACAACAACATAATAATAAACAAGAATCAGGCTTAGCTGAACAGCTACAGTCACTGATTGGAAACAATCAAAATTCAACTGCTAATGAAAATAATTCATTGACAACACCTTCAAATGGTTTTAATTTTGCCGATTTAGGCCTTGTAGAACCAACTGGTCTAACACCATTAAATCCTACAATAACAACGGTCGATTTGACTCCGTCCACAATGTCCGCTTTTCTTAAATCTTTGACCTCTCCAATTGACGAGCAAAAAAAATTGCTTTCCATGTGATATCATCGAAAAAAAAATCTTTATATAATCCATATAAACATTTTGGCCATACATAAAAAAAACAATTGAATTTTTATTGACATTTTTTTCTGCATCATCAATCAAAATCGAATCAGCCCAATTCAAAGCTCAATTCTCAATTATATTTAAAAGCTGCACATTTTCTTAAATTCTATTTTTGAAATTTTTTTATATGGAAATTATCTACCATACATTTTGTGTAAGAATTTATTGTTCATCTTTTTTTTCGTAAAAAAATCTATCATAACACACACACACACGCATAAATAAATTTATTTTCAAAACAAATTCATCAATTTTTATATATAAAATCCTTATTATTAAAATTATTGTTTCGTAAATGACATGACTATTATCTATCATCATCATCATCATTATTTATTTTTTTTAATTATTAAAAATCTTGATGATTGATAATGATTATTCGCAACCGAATTTTTAAATTCAATTTATTGCCATCATTTTAGGTAGGTGCAGACAGGTGAAAATGCAATAATAATAATAATAAAACAGAAATTACCTTGTGAAACATGAATTTTATGATTAAAATTAACAATTCATATTGATTCATTATCAATGTCATTGTTGAATATTATGTAATAAAAGAAAATTTTATTGAAATTTTTTTTTGTACAATAAGTAACAGCAGCAGCAAAGAAGAGAAAATGATATTTTTGTCTTTCCAAAATCTTTTCTTTTTTTTTTTTTTGCCATATTCAAGATTCGTGAGAATGAATTTTTTTTTTCGTAATGAAAATTATGGTGTTGCTAACCTTTTTTACGCGGTGAATGTGAGATAAGGATTTTTCTTGATATTTTGATACGTACAACTACGAATGACGGTGAAAGTGTTTTTATTTAATTTTTTTTTTTTGCTCTCAAATCAAATTTCATTGCTCCTGTGTGTGTGTGTGTGTTTCAAACGATATATAAATTTCCGAGAATCTGATGATAATTATTCAAGAGAAAATTCGATCACAATTTTTAACGTACGTTTTTCTGTCTGTCTATATGTGTTTGTGTGTGTGTGTATTCCCATTTTTTGAAATTAAACTAATAAATTTTAAAAAATAATTCAGTTCACGAGACAAGTGAAATATTATCGATCCTACTTCGACAATAAAAGTCGGATTTTTTTTTGTGTCCCCAGGTGACCACCACCACCACCACCACCATCATCATCATCATCATCAAACCAATCATGTTTTTGATGTGGCCGTCAATGATGTGAATGATGTGTATTTTTGATTTCCAAAATTAAAAAAAAAAATTAAAATGAAAGAAAATTCTAAAAAAAATGTCGACAAAACACGAATAAATGATCATCGTTGATTTATTCTGAAATTCGTTTGTAATTAAGAAAAAAAAGAACGATTAATTCGAATGTAAAAAAAATGCGAATGTGAATTAACGAATTTTATCCTTGAAATAAACAACGTATGGCAATCAATTGTAAAGATGATACGTGTTTTTTTTCTGTATAAATCATATATATGTTCTCATCACCAATAAATCATAGTGTTTTGCTGGATACGAAAAAAAAGAACACTATATATCAGTATTCGTAATTGAACAATTGATGACCAAAAGTTTTGCTAATCGATCATGGTCGATTTTTTTTCTATATAAAAACGGGATAACCCAATGTTCAATATATATTGAGAGAAAAAGAGAAAGGGAGAGAGATGTGAAAAACAAAAAATGTTATTTTAGTTTCAACATTCGTTAATTAATTTATCTAGCTAATGAATATTTATTTGTTCAGCATATTCATTGGTATAGTCATAAATAGAAAGCAGTGATAATTTCTAAAGATGATAAATGATGGAATACATGTAATTCAAATTGTTGGTTGTAATCTTTTTATTTTCATGCAATTTTAGAATCATGATAATCAAAATATGATGACAAATTGATTATTTTCATTTCCAATAAAATTCAATAAAACATTTGACATATCATTTTCTATGATTAATTTGTTCATAATTTTCCATCGAATAAACAGACTTTATAACCGATTAATTTTGCTAATTATTAACATTACAAATTATTCGTTAATCGAGATCCAGGTGTGTGTGTGTCCAGGTAGAGCAAAAAAAGCAGACAAAGAAAAAAAACGCTTGACTCCATTTTTCAAAAGGGTTTGGCTGATAAATTTTCTTTTTATTTGTTTGTTAATAGTCTGGTTCCGTTTGATCGAATTTCATTCAAGATTATCCACCATCAATCTCAATGTCAGATGTTTTCAGATTAATGATGTTTTTTTTCTTTGGAATTAAATCAACCCTTTTCAATTTCTGGTATTCATCAGCAGATGAAAGGTGTCATCGGTTTTATATATAAAAAAAATCTAGGGCAAATTTTTTCAAAAATAATTTATTTTTATTTCAAACAAAAGTTATTTACAAATAATGATTTTGAGACAAAAAAAATAAGAAGAAATTAATTAATAATTCGTAAACGGCTAGATTCGTTATTCTTTGGTGTTTGTTTGGCATGGCACATTAATTCGTTGAAATGAAATGAAATTGAAAAAAAAAACATTTATTCCACTTCATTATCCTTATAATCACTATTATCGTTGTCATTGGATGAATTTCTTTCACGACAACCACATAACGTATGATTTGTGAATAATAATTTTTCAATTTTTGGACTTTGCCTTACACGACGATTTTTATATGGTGATTGTACCTGTAATGTGATTGTAATAAAATATAATTCTACTGTTTGCATTTCGATTGGTACACAGTTTTCGCTTGGATTCGAACAACATCCAGTCTGATCACTACATCGATGTAAAACTGTTCCACGTGGTAGATGAACTTTGGATGGATCAGTTTTATTCACATAAATAATCATTGGTTTTGGTTGATGACATGCACCTTCATTTCGTACACGTGCACCATGATCAAATGCTTTAGCATAATCTTCAGTAATCATTGATCTTTTATTTGAAACATCATTACTTGATACAGATAGAAAGATATTACAGGAAATCATTATTAATAAACTAATTGCATAATATAATTTAAAACTTTTAAACAAGAATAATAAATCACAATGATGATGATGATGATAATTGAATGCGATCATTTTTATTGGGTTATTTGTGAATTTTTTTTTATTCAACATTCAACAACAACAAAATATAAGCTCAACAATACAAAGGCAATAATGATATCACAATTGTGTTTTTTTTTCATTAAGATTTTAAGAACACATACACAAAATTACAAATGATTATTTTCAGATAATTTCATGCCATTTGAAGCATCTGTATTTGGAACGATCGATGTGATAGAATAAAATTGTATGATGATAATAAACCGAGAAACGATTTACCTGTGTAAAGTCTTTTTATATGGATTCATCACAGTGTGTATGATCCTGAATTTGTTTTTTCCCATTTTTTTTGCTTCATTATAGGGAATGGCAGGCGGTTCTCATTTTCAAATATCAAAGTATGAAGAGAAATGAAGAAAAAGGAAAGAAAACTGATAACAATGACACCGATTCATTGACTCTTCCTCTCTCTCTCTCTTCTTGTTGAATTAAAAAATAAAAAATGTACGCAAAACGAATGAAATATCCAATGCAACATCTATGCAATCATAAAATCAAGTAAAATCGGATGTATGCCTCACACACACACACAGACAGGCGGCTGATACTATCAATCCATATCGTGCACGTTTTTTTTTTATATTTTCTCTCATAGCTAATATCGTGTCCACTATCTTAAAATCTTTTTTTTTTGAAAACTAACTTTTATATTTAGAGTAGATGTACTAGATGGTACAAACGAATATGAATTTTCAGTAGTTGTATGGCAGCAGAATATCATTATCATCATCATCATTTTCTTCATCGGCGGAAAAGAAGAAAAGAGTGAAAAAACGAATTTTTACTATTACACACACACACATAATTTGTTAATTAATAACAATTATTATTTTTAAAATTTTTTTTGTACCAAACTTTGTGAAACAATTTAGACATCATTAGTATGGCTACACATGGATATTACAAAAAAAACGCCCTAATCCATGTATGATCCGGGATCAGAAATGAAAACATCATCATAACTGATTTGAAAACAGATTTATCAGATTATAAACATTTTATTTGGCTAATTATCTTAAATGAAACGATTAAGTTCTATGATAATAATCGGATTTTAATTCCATATAATAATGAAAATGATCACACACTGTCTGGTTTGAATTAGAAAATTTTATCGATTAAGGAACAAGAGATGAAGTAAAATGAATTTTTAAAATATTTTCGTTGTTGTTGTTGTATATAAGTCTATGCATATGTTTAATCCAATTCATCAATCATCAACATGTGTCTGGCCTAATGTCTGTGAATAATGATGTCTAAATCTAAATGTTATGCAACGGTGGTTTTTTCTGTTAAATCTAAAATTAAAGTCAACGAAAATGAATGATTATATATCCTCCCCCACATCATCATCATTAAGGCCAGATATGACCATATACAAGACCCCTATTTTTGGCACCATAAGATCCGCATAAAAAAAATGTAATTAATTTTTTTTCCAAATTGTCATCATTATTAATGAAGTGTGTGTTTTAAAAAAAGTAATTTATTTTTGTGGTTGATGCAAAAAATAAATTCATATAAACGACATGGTCATCAAACGTGTTATATTCCTATGTTTGGAAGCAATATGTTGATGTGTTGCAAAAATTTTTTCCAATTGTATTATTTATTACATTCGATCGTAAACAAAATATGCAACAATTTTCTTTTTTTTTCAATGAATTTTGAAACAATATGTTCAATGATTCATTATGAATGAAATGTGTCAAATCATAATCAATTCAACACATCATCATTATCATTTTTATGAGAAATAAATGCGGTTGTTGCACCAACATTATCATCATCATCATCATCATCATCTACATCTACATCGACGTCATTTATTTCAATGTTCAATAAATGAATTTGATTTCAATAAGATTGGCTTTACATTTATTTCTGGGGAATTTTCTTATTACCTAATTTATATGGCTCAAACACGTGCATTTATTTGTGAATGCAATATCATCATCATCATCATTTGATTGATATTCAATGATTACTTAGTTTTTTCCGATCTATTTAAAATAATGATGATGATGATGATGAATTTGAATGATTACCAATCAATTTGGATTAAATCAGTTTGTCCTAATAAAAAATACATTCACTTTTCAAAATCTTAATCTTAAAGGAAATTAATTTAAATCTCAAATGTTTACATCTTTGCTAGAATTGAATATGAAAATCTATGATCACAAATTGAAACATTGTGAACAAATAATAAATGTCTAAATAAATCAAGCAAAAATTTTCAAATCATAATCATCTTGATGATGATCGTTATACGATGCCACATTCATTCAATCAATCATTTTTTCGATCGAAATATCAAATCAAATCAATGATAATAAATCCTTTGAATGACATGCACGTACACATACACACACAAAAACACATTCGATGATATTAAATAATGTTGATGTATAAAAAATGATTAGAACAAAAAAAATACCGTTTCTTCATTCGAAGGACTAAATATTTTTTTTTTTCATCAATCTGAACGAAACACAAGCTGACAACAAGACTGGTGATAACTTCACTAATAATAATAATCAAAATAATCGTTTGGGATTTAGAACTAAAAATTTTAAGCTATTAAATTCTGTATTTATTTAGTGGTACTTAAAAATATTTTTAGGATTTATAGTCGCCTCTTTTATTTTTGTTTGGAATTTTTGTTATTTGGGCGTCTGCTGTGTGGAAAATAAAAAAAAAAACAAGAATATTCATCAATTTTGTTTTCACTACTATGAAGCATACGTCTGCTTAATTTGTCTCTGTGTTTATATACACTGTATGTATGCGGTAATTGTGGATGATGTTGATTCGTGGATCCTTGAATTGTATATTTACAAGGATAAATGTGTAATGCATCATCATAATATGCAACAGTCAATGTTTATTCTATTTTTTTCTATTCGAGTATGATCTAAATGTGACACAATCATCATCATCATTTTTTTTTTGCCAATCCATATGTTGTTGTGCGTGTGAATTTTTTTTTTTTTGATTCTTAATTCAATGACTAATCAATTTGATTAGAATCTACATGTGAGAATTTGCTCTGTTTTTTTTTGTCGTCATCATCGTTGTCATCGACAATAAATTTTTCATCAAAAATAATAATGGCCGCTACAATTGTCAGCGACATAATCAATTGTTTTCATTTTGAAAATGGAAAAATTGTATTTCGGGTATGTGTCATTCATGATGTTGTTGTTGTTGTTGTTGTTCATTTGTCAATCATTTATTATCAAAATATGTAGCCACCGGGCCGAAAAAATACAAATGATGGCAACAACAAAGATCCTGGTCCAAATTTAGGCAATATAATGGGCATGTTAAGCCAATTTCGTGGACCAGCTATGAATATTATCCGTAATGTTGCTAATGAAATTGGAAAAGAATTAAAAATTGGTCATGTTGTTGAAAAAGTGGAAAAAATGGATGAAAAAATATTGAATGAATTAAAGAATGCACAATGGAAATATCAACAGAAATCGAATCTAATTAAATCCGATTGGCGTGAATCGGTTACATCGCTTAAACCACAAGATTCATTCTATAAGGTATACAAAAAAAAATTTTTTTTATTTCATTGCAATGTTTTTTTTTGAATATTATTTGAATACAACACTTATGGTCAGATAGATTTTCTTATCAATTTCAAAAGTGATGATATGCTCATCATCAAATTGAATGAAATGAAAAAAGTCAAGGTAAACAAGTTTTTTCTTTGAATTTTTTCCTTTTTTTTATGGAATGCTGTTAGTTTATCGTAACATTTCTAGAGGTATGTTGGTGTGTGTGTGTGTGTGTGTGTGTGCGAAAATGGTCAATTCTTTTTTTTCTCGAAACCAAAACATAAGAAACAACAACAAAAAAAAAAATTCCGACGTCAACAATATAGTGATGATAATTGATAATATTTTGATGAAAAAATGCTCCACATATATTTTCTACTGATTAAAAATTCCATTAGATAGGAAATGTGTATGCATGTGTGTGTGTGTGTGTGATGACAATCAGTGCAAATTCAATTCATCTACCTTTATATTTGTCAAATTAGTAACTACCTTCAAATGTAATGAAAAAAAATGAACCTCTTTCGCATCGGAAATTGTATGAAATAATATATTTGAATTGAAAATTCATCAAAGAAAAAAAAACATTGAATCCATTGTCATTCACATTTTCAACTACCCTTTTTTTTGCTTATTTTTAATTGAATAACAACGAAAATAAAATAAAAACCGTAACCAATTTTACCAAAGATTATTATTATTACAAGGATACCGCTACTGTGCTTTGTTATTTTTTTTTTGACAATCATCATCATCATCATCATCATCATTATAAACACATTTACACACACACACACACCAATCCATTTCATTCATTCATCCATCCATCCATCCATAAACATCCAATCGGTAGTTGTAGAAAGAAAAAAAAAGTATGAAATCATCATCAATTCTTGAAATTTATAAACATTGATAAATTATCAATAGTATACGTAAACACACACACACACACACACAGAAAAACAAAATAAATCATATAAACTAATGGCTACAAACTGTAGTGTCCTTCCCGATTTTTGCAATATATCCATTAACAACACTATCAACATTGATGAGCAAGTGTTGAACATATAATATTTTTTACCTAAATATGATATAATGAAAAAAAACAGTGTCATCAACATTTCATTTTGGATCATTAATTTGTTGTGTTGTGGCCAATATTAACAATCACCAATCGATCAACAAACAGTGCCAGTGTCAAGTGTTATTATTATGTTCTGTAGTAAAAATAAAATACTTGTGTTTACATTGCCTGTAAACGATATTTGAGTGGATAGTTCCATTTACACCCAATTCCAAATACAATTCACTTATATATACTGATGAAGAATTTGTTGATTGCGCGAGAGCAAAGACTGGACCATTCAAACATTCCAAACAACAACAACAACAATAACAACATTGCCAATTTTGTTTCATCATTGTTGACATTCAAAATTCATCACCTTTTTGTCAATAATAATAATAATGATAATGAAATGATAAATATTGATCACAAAGAATCATCATTGATCGTTGGAAAATTTAATTTCTATCACACATATTAATTTGAAACATTCCATGTTCGGAAAAAAACTTATTACATGAGAATCATATAGCGAATATTAACCAAAAAATGGAAGATTTACGGATTTATAATGTAATTATTGATCAAATAATGATTTATTTAAATTTTTTTTTTTTTTGATCTTTTATTTTTCGTTGAGAGGAAAGGAGTGAAGATTTGTTTAATAACACACTAATTTCGGATCAAATTAAATAGACAAATTAATGATTAACTGTCACGAACAAATTTCAATGATCAATTTAGCGGTCAAAAATTGAATGGAAAGTAATTTTTTTTGAAAATGTGTGTGCGTGGGCAAAATTGTTTGAATATAAACGTTTAACACTAATAATAATCACCATTATGATTATGGCGCTAACTATAGCTGAATAATTTTGTATTTTTGATTAATATTCCATGATGATGATGAGGATACCGACCTATTGTAGAGTATGTGTTCCATTCATTCTTTTCAATTCTTTACCACTGCTCAAAATACCTGGTTGGTGTGTGTGTTTTTTTTGGTTGGCCAATATTTTTGTTTATAACAACCAACTGATGGGCAGGATTCTGAAAACATTCATTCATTCATTCATTTGACAATGTTTTGAGTCGTATGTCAAAACAGTAAGGGTTGCAACTATTCTGAGCACCAACAACAACAACAACATGTGTATATTGTTTTAGTTTTAATTAACCACATAATTATCTAGCTGAGATAATTTTAACAACATGTTTGTGTGATACAACATTTTTTTATGATTATTCTAATAAACAGTTTGACAGGTGTTCAAATGTTTCAACAATTTTTCAATACTTTTATGCCCAATTCTCGTATCTATCCACGAGACGTTTTCTTTGTAATAATGATTTTTTTTTTTTATATATTTTGATTTACTAATCATTTTTCTTTGCATTGAATTTTTACAATATAGCTTGGTGAACGAAGATCTGGTTTAACATCAAATTATTCTGGTCCACCACAAGATTTTGCCAAATTAAAAGAACGATGTCTACTTGAAGGACAGCTATTTGATGATCCAGCATTTCCAGCTATCGACCAATCATATTATCTTCATGGACGTGGTCCACGAAAATTCAAATGGTTACGACCACATCAGATCGTTAATCATCCTAAATTTATTAGCCATGGTGCAGCTCGTTTTGATGTTAAACAAGGTGAACTTGGTAACTGTTGGTTTTTGGCAGGTAACGAAAAATAATCATTTCTCAAATTATATAAGTTGATGTATAAATTAAAATCAATTTGTAATTAGCTGTCGCCAACTTGACTATGAATGAAAAATATTTTGATCGAGTGGTTCCACCGGATCAATCATTTGACAAGAATGATTATGCTGGTAAGTAGGACGTTAATATGTATGTAATTGATTCATATTATTACATCTTTTTTTCTTCGATTGTACAGGTATATTTCATTTTCGTTTTTGGCAATATGGCAAATGGATCGATGTTGTTGTTGATGATCGATTACCAACAATTAACGGTAAATTAGTCATGATGCACTCTGAAGAGGTGAATGAATTCTGGGGTGCTCTATTGGAAAAAGCTTATGCAAAGTATGTGAATAATGAATGAAAATTATACTTTGATTCATAATTTAATAACATTTAATAGGCTTCATGGATCATATGAATCATTAAAAGGTGGAACAACCAGTGAAGCTATGGAAGATTTCACTGGTGGACTTACTGAACATTATGAAATACAAACAGATGAATGTCCTCCGAATTTGTTTACCATCATGCATAAAGCTCATCAACGTGGTTCATTTATGGGTTGCAGTATTAGTGTTGAAGATGCATCACAAATGGAAGCTGTCATGCATAATGGACTGATCAAAGGTCATGCTTATTCGATAACATCAGTTAAATATGTACATGTTGATCATGTAAGAGTTCAGGGAAAATTACCACTAGTACGTATTCGTAATCCTTGGGGTAATGAAGCTGAATGGACCGGTGCCTGGAGTGACAAGTATTTAATTTTGTCCATAATATTTCTCCATACATTCAAATCATTATATCTCTTTTATCAAATAGATCACGAGAATGGACTATAGTTTCGCCGGAAGAAAAGCAAAGAATTGGTTTGACATTCGATGCTGATGGTGAATTTTGGATGTCTTTTGCTGATTTTCAGAAAAATTTTACTAATATTGAAATTACTAACTTGACTCCTGATTCACTCGATGATGGTAAGTTTGGTTGTAATAACAATCTTGATAATGATTGAGGCGATTCAATTTTTAGAAAGCAAAAAAGCCTGGCAAGTAAATTATTTCGAAGGACAATGGATTCCTGGTGTTAGTGCCGGCGGTTGCCGAAATCATTTGAATACTTTCTATCTAAATCCTCAATACATGATCACATTGACCGATCAAGATGATGATGATGAACTTTGTACATGTGTTGTCGCCTTAATGCAAAAAAATCATCGTATTAAACGCAAAATGGGTCTCGATAATTTGACCATTGGATTTGTTATCTACGAAGTAAATGAAAATAGTTATGGTGTATTGAGGTTTGATTATTTTAAATTAATTCACACATGATCATTAATATCGACATTTTTCAATTGTAGACAATCGAATGATCAAGTAATGTTGACGACAAATTTTTTCAAATATAACGCCTCATGTGCACGATCTCCTGCCTTTATTAATCTTCGTGAAGTTAATGGCCGATATAGATTGAAACCAGGTTGGTATATTTGTTTCATCAATCTATGGATTGCTTTAAAATTGATTTTTTTTAAAAAAGGCCGCTATTGCATAATACCATCAACATTTGAGCCTAATTCTAAAGGCGATTTTATAATCCGATTTTTCACCGAAAAACCAGCACAACATGTAATGGAAAATGATGAAGAAATTGGTATCGCCCACAAAGAAGAGCCAGTTTCACCAGAAACTCCAGAACCTGAAGATGTATGTATTATAATCCGATATCATTTTTGGCAAACTCCGGTTGCCTTTCTTTTTTTCTTTTCATTATTTCCATGTTTCTCGTGCGTCGCTTTCAAATTCTCAATTTCTTCATTCGACACTTTGATCTTTCATTCTATTCTGACTTTATTGACTATTTCATCTATTACCCGTTTCTATTCTGGATTTGACCCATTTCTCGATTCATTGGTCATTGATTTGTTTCAACTATTAAATTGTATATTCTTTAATATATTCAGAATACTCCAATCCATGATGGTACTCCAATCGATGAAACGATTGTACATGATTTCAAACCAGATCCGGATCCAATTCCTTGTGACGATAGAGGAAATGCTTCAATGTTCAATTTTGATTTAATGCGAATAATTAACATGTGTATACCGCTTATTAGCATGGTTAATGAATGTTATCGTGGAAGAGATGTGAATACTGCTGATTTTTTCAATACTGCATTGAATTCAATCGGCATGGGTCATCAAAAACGAGCTAAACGGGCTACAGATTTGGTTTGTATTTGTTTATTATTCAACTGGAACATGGACATTCTTTTTTACATGAAATTACACAAATCATTTTATTCGTTTTTTGTTTGCATGTTTTATTCATTTTTTTTGATATGATACACATTAATTGATTGCTTTTGCTTTGTTTCCATTAACACAATAGACAAAAGCATTATTTGCTTATTATACTCATTTATAATATTCATTTTTAATACAGAGAGATGGTGTGAATGACATTGGAGATCCGTATGATCAACGTCCGGAAGAAAAATCCGCATACAAATTCTTTAGTAAAATTTCCGGTGACGATATGGAAGTTGATGCAATGGAATTACAAAAAGTTATCAATCATGTCTTTAAAAAAGGTTTGAGACTGATATCAGTTAACATGTTTATAAGAAAATAACTTTTGATTTATTTTGATCATAGAGCTTAAATTCGAAGGATTCTCAGTCGAATCATGTCGTTCTATGATAGCTTTAATGGATACTGATGCTTCGGGTAAATTAATCGAAAAAAGATTTATTTGTTTTAGATTTACATTTTTTTTTTTTCGTTTGAACAATGATTAGGCAAACTTGGATTTGACGAATTCGTAATTTTATGGCGACATTTGCGTAATTGGTCGGAGATATTTAAAAAATTTGACACAGAAAATAATATGGCAATCAATTCGGGTCAATTAAAAGCTGCCTTCCGTGAAGTTGGAATTAATGTGAATAGAGTTGTTTTACGGCTTCTAGTCAATCGTTATGGCCATCGGCCCAAAGAAGCCAACCGAATCGAAGATGAAGTCTATTTTAATGATTTTATTTGCTGTGCATTGAAAATGAAACGGTGCATAGAAATTTGGAACAGTAAAAAAATTCGTTCATCACCTTCAGGACCTGGATTCGGTGATATTGGCAATCTCTTACCCGGTGCTTTTGGTGCAATGGGTGCACCACGAGGTTTCGGCAATGCATTTTCAACTTTCGCAGGTGCATTTGGTAATCATTCAATGTTTAATCGTATTCGGGAAAAACCAAGAACAAGCAATGAATCATCCTTTACACTTGATGAGGTAAGATAAAGATTTATTGATGAATTATTACTAATTAAATATTTCTTACTTTGATTTTAGTTCATTCGAGAAGTGCTATATTCATAATCATATAATCGAAATTTCCTTATTTTTATCTGGTTTTCTGTGGTCCCAAAAAAACTATTTTTTCATCACTATATTCTATATGGCTACTCTATATGGCTAAAAGCATTTTTAAATTCTTGCATTTCAATTAGCCTAATCAGTTCTTTTGATTCTTAAGATTTTAATCATCATCCAATCTATAGTTAAATAAAAAAGTATCGTTTCATTAAGTTTGTTAAAAAAAACTTGGTCATATATTCTTTGAATGACTCATTTGCTTAAATTAAAAAGACCTCGCATTTTGCGAATCAGCAGGTGATTTATTTTGTTTCAATTACAAGATGCCAGCTGGAATCAGAAAACTAAATAAAGGTATCAAAAATATTCGATTGAATGAGAATAACAATGACAAAAATAAAGAAGATTCACATTTGAATGAGGATTCAAATTTAAAATCAATTCAATTCAAAGCAGAATTGGCATGGTGTCGAGATCACATAAAAAATGAATTCGATAAAGCTAAAAATGAACGTCGAAAAGAATCCCTATGGAAAGCTTATAATATCCTGAACAATGAAAAGATATCAATCATTCGAAAACGGCAAGTAATGAATCAATTTTGTGGTGATTATCGTAAACATATGAACGATGAGATTGCCCGAATAGTTTGTCAAACTTTTATCGTAAATGTACGAAATATGTCTAAAATTGTAAAGTCGTCATTATCATCAAATGATCCACAAAATGAGCTCAATTATATTTTCTTACGGAAACATGATAAATTAAGAAAAAATTGCAAAATATTCCAAGAATCGACTTGTGATTTTAAATTAGATTTGCCCAATTAATATGTGCCATTGTAACTGTTTTTTCATTTATTGTTTCATTTTGTATCCAATTTATTACACATACCTACATTTTTCTTATTCACAATCATCAAAAATCCATTCATTATATATACAACCTTGATAAATTTTTATTTCCTATTATAAATGATTTATATTTGAATGAATAAATAAAATTCAAATCTAAAATTATTCGCTTGCAGCTATTTGTACTGACATTGTCTGGCTATGTTTATCAGCCACATCACACACATGTGGCTGATGCAATTATCGATTCTAAGCTTTTGATTGCCATTGCCAACGCATCGGCTTTTTCCATTTATACTCTGATTTCAATAGCAACTCTATTCTAGATCAACAGTCATTGTTAATAAATCATTTTTTAATTTAATCTTAAATTGGGTAATGAATTAAAAAAAAAATTCAAAAAATGTCTCAAGAATCGTCTAGTGAAGAAAAATTTCAACTAATTTCCAGAAATGTTCAGGTAAGAGATGTTTGAAACGAAAAAAAATCCATTATGGCTACAGTATAATTTTTTATCATTTTAGGAAATACTCGGTGAAGATCGAATGAAAGAAATACTTAAACAAAGAGATTTAAAAATCTATTGGGGAACGGCTACTACTGGAAAGCCACATATTGCTTATTTTGTTCCATTGTGTAAAATGTCTGATTTCTTAAAAGCCGGATGTCAAGTTACCATTCTTTTCGCTGATCTTCATGCCTATTTGGATAACATGAAAGCACCATGGGAACTACTCAAACATAGAACTGAATATTATGAATGTTTAATCAAAACTGTTCTGGAATCAATCAATGTCCCATTGGACAAATTAAAATTTGTTCGTGGTACCGAATATCAATTAAGTAAAGAATTTACATTAGATGTATATCGTTTATCATCGATTTTGACTGAACACGATGCTAAAAAAGCTGGTGCTGAAGTAGTCAAACAAGTTCAACATCCAATGATCAGTTCGCTTCTTTATCCTGGACTTCAGGTATTTTCAAGTTTTTTTTTGCTTTTGTAAAAATGATAACCAACGCATAATTGTTGTATTCTTGTAGGCATTAGATGAAGAATATCTTAAAGTTGATGCACAATTCGGAGGTATAGACCAAAGAAAAATATTTACATTTGCTGAAAAGTATTTGCCAATGATGGGATATACAAAACGGATTCATTTGATGAACCCAATGGGTAATTGTTGATAAATTTCAGATAATTTCAATGCGATACATTATATCAAATCTATTCAAACAGTTCCTGGTTTGACTGGTGGTAAGATGAGCTCATCAGAAGAGGATTCAAAGATTGATTTGCTTGATTCAGCCGAAGATGTTAAAAGAAAAATCAAACGAGCCTTTTGTGAGCCTGGCAACATTGAAGACAATGGAATATTATCATTTTTTAAACACGTATTGTTTTCATTGTTCAATGAAATTGTTGTTGAACGAAAATTTGATGGTAATATCACCTATACAAATTATATGGATATGGAAAAAGATTTTCAAACCCAAACATTACATCCCGGTGATTTGAAACAATGTACGGAAAAATATTTGAATAAGCTTCTTGAGCCAATCCGTGAGAAATTTAAAGATCCTGAATTCAAAAAATTGACTGAACTAGCATATCCTAAAGTTTCAAAAAGTAATAATAACCAGCTGATGTTTTACTTGATAAATAATAATAATTTGTATATTTTCTATTAAAGAGGGTGGTGCAGCACAGGAACCTGGACCAGAAATTCTTGAGATTCGCGTTGGTCGAATCTGTGAAATTGAAAAACATCCTGAAGCTGATAGCCTTTATTTGACCAAAACTGATGTAGGTGATCCATCCGGACCTCGAAATATTGTCTGTGGACTTGCACAATTGATACCAGCCGAAGAGCTGCTCAACCGTTTGGTCGTTGTTTTATGCAATTTAAAACCAGCTAAAATTCGTGGTGTTGTTTCATCTGGAATGATACTTTGTGCATCTGTATCCGAACCTAGAAAAGTGGAACCATTAGATCCACCGGCTGATAGTCAACCTGGAGATTTGATATTGTTCGAATCAATCACGGATGACAAAGAAAATACCCCAACAACATTTCAGATAATTGATCCCAAGAAAAAAGTTTGGGAAAAACTTCAGGTCAATCTAACCACATCATCAGATCGTATAGCTCAATGGAAATATAGTATTTTAAAAACGGACAAAGGGCCAATTAGTTGTAAAAGCTTGAAAGATACACCGATCAAATAATTGAAACTTTTAATGATATTTAATAATTTAATTCATTTCATTACTTATAAGTGGGAGGGTTAATTTACAAATTATCTTTATTTCTCTTTTTGTTTTCAAGTTTAATTATTTTTATTACAAAATGAAAAAATTATATGATAATATTACATTATGGAAATGAATTGATTGATTGATTGATTCATTCATTGCTTGGATAAGTTCTAGTTAGATCTGCCAATGATTTTCCTACTTGTTTGGGCATCTTTTTACCAAGCGTTCCACTTTCATCAATATCTTTAGGTTTATAATAATGTGGTGCCACTTCAAGTAACCATAATGGATTGATTTCGATCACTTGTCTCATATATTCTTTAGTGGTCAATACTAATTCATGATAAAGCACACATCGAGGCATTTCATCGAATAATGTTGAATTCGGATGTATTAAAACTGTATTGTTTCCTTTGATTGTACGATAATTTCCACCTTTACTTAGTTTTGCTGTATGGTAAAAATAGCCAGATGTAATTGCTTTACGAATGGCTACATTATCATTATCACATGATTTGACTTCAACTTCTACACGTTCCATTAATTTTTCCAATTGATCTCGAACATCTCTTGCTCGACACATCGATCGATATTGGATGAAATTTTCCATACACCATTGTTTTGAATATCCGGAATCCATCCATTGTTTGTATACATTTAATAAGGTTAGATGATCACCACCTTCCATGAAAAATCGTTTACGTGCTGTATCGGCAAAAACTGCCTTATCTTTTGGACGATAAAATACTGATGAATTTACACTTAACATTGAACAAATGGTAAGCATCTCTTCAGCACATTTATATTTTTCTGAAGCTAACAATGCCCGTGACATCATAGGATCCAATGGAAATTCAGCCATCCTTCTACCTAAACGAGTTAATTCGCCAAGATGATTCAAAGCTCCAAGAGCATATAGTTGTTCTAAGGCAATAATCAAAGCTTCCGCTGATGGTGGATCTAAATAATCAAAATGTACGATATCATTGATGCCGAGACTTTTGAGCATTAGAACAACATTTCCAAGATGTACTCGTTGTATTTCCGGTATAGTAGAATCTTCAAGCTCATTTTGGAATGCCCATGCTGTGAATAATCGGAAACATTTTCCTGGTGCAACACGACCAGAACGGCCAGCACGTTGATTAGCACTTGCTTTTGAAATTGGTACTACCACTAAAGCTGCCATTCCTGTTCTTGGATTAAAACTATTTTGTTTACAATAACCAGGATCAATAACATATATGATATTATCAATTGTGATTGATGTTTCGGCTATGTTTGTTGCGAGTACCACTTTTCTTGCATTCGGTGGTGTTGATTCAAATACTTGAGCTTGAATATCAGAAGGTAGATTAGCGTAGATAGGTCTTATTAGTAATTCTTTTACACGAGTGCCTAATCTACGAACTCGTTCTTGTAATAATTCCTGACATTGTTCAATTTCTTCTTGTCCAGGAAGAAATACGAGAATATCTCCCAATTTTTGTGTGATATGAATCTGTAATATGGTCACAACACAAGCATCAATATAATCGGCTTCCGGTGCTTTAGTATAATAAATATCAACAGGAAAACGTCGACCAGGTATACGAAAGACTGGTGCACCATCAAAAAAATCACTGAATTTTTCCGCATCCAAGGTGGCCGATGAAATCAATAATTTAATATCTGGTCGAAAACGTCCAATATCTTTGACCAGACCAAATAGTATATCAGTATGTAATGTCCGTTCGTGTGCTTCATCGATGATTATCACAGAATACGATGCTAGATCTGGTTCGCCAAGAAATTCTCGTAATAACATACCATCAGTCATATATTTAAGTATGGTTTTTTCACTTGTACAATCTTCGAAACGAATTGAATAGCCTACAAGTGAACCCAGTTTTGTGTTCATCTCTTCGGCAACACGTGCAGCCACACTCATGGCAGCCACTCGACGTGGTTGTGTACAACCAATTTTTTTACCATCTTTAGTATAACCAGCATCAATTAAATATTGAGGAATTTGAGTAGTTTTTCCTGAACCAGTTTCACCTTCAATAATCAACACTTGATGATCATTGATTGCGGCAATTAAATCATCTTTAAATGGAAATACTGGTAATGATCGACGAGTTTCTTCGATGGATAGTTTTTTAATTTCTTTTTCTGTCATTTGTTTATTTTCATTGTCATCTTGGATGATGTCATCATCACCGGCGAGTGTAAGAGCTTTGACAAAATCAATTTCAATACCATCAACAATAAGATCATATTCTTTTGTCTGATTTTTTTGTTTAGCATCTTTAGCACCAAAATGAAGCATAGCACTTCCTAATCGTTCTTCTTCCCATTTTCTTTGTTCCGAATTTGGAACATTTTCACCTTCATTAACTTCTTTATATTCTTCTGTTTGATCTTCACTTGGAATATGATATCGTTGTATATTGGCGAATTCGGAAACTTGATCATGTTGTCGTGCTAGTTCTAATATTTTTCTATTATAATCCTGACGCTTCTGTTCACTTTCGGTTAGTTTTTCTTTTCCAAATAGATATTCTTCATCTGCGATAGCTGCCTCTAAAAGCGTCAATTGATCATCTTTACGTTTGGCTAAATATTGTCGACGAGATTCTTTACGCAATTGCGGTATAACCAATGTTTGATCTTCGGTTTCTAATTTCAATCGTTTCGATGCTTCTTGTAGACCTTTTTTATCACTTTTGACAGCTATATTTCGCGTTTTTTCTTTATCTTTTTCTTGTAACCGCTGTGCAAATTCATCACGAGCTTTGAGATCTTTCATACGTTCTTCATGTTCAGAATCCGAATCAGTAGGCACATACGAACGTTTTGTCGATGACATGATTTAGCTGAAATGTTGATTATTATCATCAAATAACAAATAACATATGATATGGATTTTAATCAATTTTTTCTTCATATGTTTTGCAGGTATAAATTTTTATTATTTTCTTTGACGATAAATATATTTTCACACAACTCGAGCTGAGGTTCATCATCAATGATGTTACCAAATCATCACAAACGTAAATAAAACAACATCGAACACACGCGAGTTGAGTGGAAGAATAATTAATGGGTGATGACAAACAAAAAAAATCCAAATGTCCGATAAAAGATGGCACTATTTGAAATTTAAATTTTATCGCGCTTATTTTGTTTTTGTTTTTTGTTTTTTTTTAATTTAAATCACAAATTCACAATATCAATTCGGAATTTTCCAAAAATAATTAATCGATTGACAAATAAAAAAAAACAAAATTTTTAAATTTGTTTCATGGAAAGCAGATACATATATAATCTTTAAAAATCTATAAGATAATGTGATCGCAATGTTAATTTTTTTTTCAGCAGTAAAAAAAAAAATTTTTTGTACTTGTTAACGATAATGGTGATGATAGTGACCGCGACATAATCATCATCACATGTTGAGACACTCACAGTTATATTGAAATCTCTTGGTTTTTCTCTTTTTCCTATTATTAATGATGATGATGATGATGATGATGATGAATTTTAATGTCTTTTTTTTCTTACACACAAAAAACAACGAAAATAAAAAATGTTTGACAACTTTATTTTGGAAAAAAAAATTTATTTTTGTGAGTCACTAATTTAGTAAGCCTTGGAGTTAATATGTTATCTTGAAATGTGGCCTTTTATGCTTTATATTCATATATATTCATTTTATATATTTGGCATCTTCAAAGATTTAAGACAGAAGACGATGGAAGTTGTTTACAAACACTTATTTTTTTTACAAAAATGTGAACATTGAATTTACGAATATGAAGTTTGTTCGTTGCAAATGTTTGCACAGAGCTTTTTTGTAAACTTGATCCATAATTCATTGGACTGCGTGTGTGTGTGTGTGTTTGTATGTGAAAGTTAACAATATTTTTTTCTGTTTTTTATTTTGTTTTTTGTTCTTCAAATCATTCTGAATTATTTTTTGTTGTTGAAACAATGATTGCATCTATTTCAAATAGTCTGTTCTGGTTTTGTTTCTGTTTAGGTAAGCATTTGTAAGCAATAAAATATTCATTGTATTGATTTTGAATTTTTTTTCTTGTCTTTTTTTTCTCACAGTTTTTGGTACAATTTTATCAATACAAACTACCCAAATCAATCAAAATGAACTTTGTAGAGATGGAAAATTTCGACTAATAGAGCATGAAACATATTGCGATTATTATTATCGTTGTGAAGATGGCCATATTATTGAACAAAAATGTCCAAATGGCTTGGTATTTGCTGGTTATCGCCGTGGTATGATTGATCATTGTGGTTATCCATACATTGTTGGCTGTCCAGATGGTGTCAAAATTATGGGTCGTAAGTTATCATTTTCATTGATTGATGGATTAAATAATAAAAATTATTTTTTTATTGTTAGAATCACCATTAAATTTGGTCAATTGTCCATGGAGTTATGGAACATTTGCACATGAAACATCATGTACAAGATATTGGCAATGTTGGAATGGTACCGGTACATTACAACAATGTCCATATTCATTACTTTTTAATGAACAAATTCATTCTTGTGATTGGCCACAAAATGTACCTGATTGTCAAAAACATCGTAAGTTACCCCTTTCTCTTGTTTATCATTATTCATAATTAAATTTTTTTATTTATTTATTGTTAACATTTATAGCAATTTGTAATGAAAAACCTAATGGTGCTGTAGCCATTGAAAATAGTTGCGATAGATATTGGCTTTGTGTTGGTGGCTATCCACGTTTACAACGTTGTCCAGCTGGTTTAGCATTTAGCATTGAATTATCAAAATGTGAACTCGATTATACTGTTCCTGGATGGTTTGTATATTACAATAATAATGATATATAGCTTATAATTATGATGATGAATGAATACTTTTTTTTCTCTCTCTCTCAACAATAATAAAAAAAAATTATAGTGAACCTGTACAACCATCTGTTGATAGCAATGATGTCGCATACAATAATAATGGAACCAACGATGCTGATCGTGATTCGCGTGGCTCATTGTGAATTCAACCGTCTCATACATATTACAGTCATACACACACACACACACACGCACACCTTTACCACTTGCTACCTGATTTGACCTAAAATATAAAAAAAAAAAAAAAGATTAAAATATCATTACAATTACAAATATCTACTCACATAATGGCTACAAAAAATATCTCTACAACAATGCTGATTCATGATAAAACACACACACACACACACACATCATCAAAATGGAAAACATACTGTTAATCATTTGAAATCTATGATGTTAATATCAATGTTGATTATGTTTTAATGCATTATGTTTATTATAAATAATACAATTTTTTATATATAATAAAAATGTATCATATATGATAATCAACAACGTTGGTCGATTATTTATATAATAATCATTATAATTTTTTTTTGTGAATCTTTTTTTCCCCATTTTTTTATGTCGTATGTGTGTGTGTGTGTGTGTGAATTTTAAATAAAGAAAGAATCAAATTTTGAATGAATATATCAAATCAAAAGTCAAAGGAAAATTACCGTTTCAAGTTTATAATTTTCATCATCATCATCATCAAATTTTTTCTATGGTTTACCATTATTACACACACAAAAGGATTCGATCAATGTATTCTTTCCCTTTTGTTATGATGATTATTTAGTTATAAAAAAGCGTCTCGACCACATATCGATGATCATAATAATAATGATGATGATGATGATCACTCATCATTGAAAGAAAGTGTTAAGCCATTGTAACTAATTTTATTTTTCCCATCATAACTATAGCTTAGATGATGATAACCAGTGGAACTTATAAGAAAGAAAATCCGTTTCATTCATCATAGGATGATCGTCGGCCATTCTTAAAAGCTTAACAAAAAAAACCAACCAAAACTCGTCATTCGACTTTCGAACAACAACAACAACAACAACAGCCTCAACCACAACAGAGATTTGCAACCGTAAATCCTTTGCATTTGTTTTGTTTTGTTTTGTTTCTCTCATTTTCTCTTATTTGAATTCTCTTTTTTTTCATTAAAATTTTGCTCTATAAACCATGGTAAAACCATGGGAAATATCTATTTTTTCTCCCATGTATTCATTTTAAAATAATTCAGAAAAGTATATTGAATCAAGAAAAAAACAACAACAAAACATTCAAGACAATCAATTGTTCAAGTGAACGTTTCGTTCGTTTCAACTTGTTGCCAAGGCATATTCCAAAATATATTGGACATTGTTTCACTACGTTCATCTTTAATTGTGAATTTTATTCTTTTTTTTCGTTTCATTTTCATATAATAATTATTAGAAGAATTGAACAACGCATCAAAAATCAAGTGGTAACAAACAAACAAAAAAAAATCAATGACAACGTATACTACGTGTGTGTGCATATGCAATATGTATGTTTGTATGAACACCTGGTAATTATCATCTATCTAATGTGATTTGTTAAAAGAGTGGTTCGATCATCATCATTATCATAATAAAAATATTATATTGATCATAATGGTGTGTTTGTTGTGTTGATCATCATTATCACACGATGTTGATGATCATTGCCTTTTCTCCTTGTATCATTATAACTACTATTGAACAAGTTGTATTTTTTTTTGCTATCATTGTATACTATACAACAACAAGTGGACATTGAATGATAATAACATCTTAGTTTACACAAAACGTATCGTATCTTGAAAAACATGCTTGATTTTTAATTTATAAACAGCCAGTGAAACAAAGTTGTGCTGCATACCCATCCATATTTGTATTCAAAGATTTTTTTTTCAATTTCATTCATGTCCATCAATCATGATGATTGATGTAAATGGTATTGAATATATATAGTGATATGGCTTTGATGATGATGATATAATATTTGTTTTTATTTTTCTTAAGTTTTTTCTCTTAGTTAAACGTGTGTTCGTATGATGATCCAGCTATGCGATTGATACAGAAATTGGAACGAAAATTAAGTTTTCGTCGTAAACAATTGATATCCGATTCATCCACTACAAATTTTTCTAAATCATTCAATAAAAATGATAAAGAAAATGTAGAATCATCATCCATTAAAGTATCAGAAACGGAATTCAGTGGTTATATTCGATTTAATAATTGTTTGGTAAGCACAATGTCCGTTCCGGATTCTTCATACAAATTAGTCGATATTAAAATACGAAATCGTTGTGAACCAATTCGTTCAGAGAATCTGAGAAATCTACCTCAAGCAAAACCAGCCAGCAATCATAGTGATAATCAACATTCTTTGTATGGATGCAAAGAAATGTTTGATAAGAATCACATATATGATGTTGTTGGTCAACCATCATTAGTCAATCATGAACATGATTATTACCATTCACGTAATCGAATACGAACAAATCCATGGTATAATTCTCGTTCCGGTCTGAACATCAAACAATCTGATGATATTCATCATTATGAATATATCGATTGGGAAGATACCCAGGATGTTCAATCATTATCATCGCCAATATCTGGAAAAAATTTATCAACTTTTGATCGACCAATCCACAAATCACCAAACGTCCAGCAACAAAAACTATCATCAATCATCAAAACAAAACCATTCAAACAGAGTGAATCTAATGTTCGTCTAAAGAAATCGATTGAAAATCCATATGAACAACTTCCATATGATAACTCTTTTGATGCAATGCTCAATCACAATTATCGTACGGAAAGTAAAATCGAAAAGAAAAATAATAATGATCACTCAACAACAAGATTTTCTCATTCAAGAACAAAACTTATTGCTGCTATAAATAACAAACAAAAACAAATCAACAATGATCATTCCAATTGTTACAAACGATCACCATATCAAATGAAATTCGATACAACAAATAATAATAATGATTTCTGTTTGAAAAGGAAATTCATTCAAAACAAGGACGATATTTCATCATCATCATCATCACGCAATAAAGAGAAGAAAAAATGATCATCATGTAAATGTATCATCATCATCATCATCATCACCAGCATTATCGAAGAAACGATCCCGAAAAATTGATCGACTAAAATTTGAATTAAAAGAAATCGTACATGTAGCCATACGTGAAGCCAAGAATGAAGATTCACATATATTATTCTGAAAAAAATACAAGAGATTTTTATTAACTTGATCATTGGGTGGTGAAAACAAATTGTTTTTTACATTATTATTACAATACAAAAAATGTTATACATAATATTATATGATACAGGGCGAAAAAAAAGAAGAAATTTGTAACAAAAAAAAAAAATTGAGATCACAGATTAAAAATGTTGAGAAACATTAACGATAACAACAACAACAACAACAACAACAACGACAACCAATTAACGATATCATAGCATTACTATATAGTAGAACACTAGATTTGTTTTGATTTACATATTTTTCCAATGTAAACTGATTATTATAACTGTATTTGTTGAATACGAAATTTCTTTTTGTTTTTGTTTTTGATGGAATACTAACTAATAGTAATAATAATGAATGATCGTATGGTGAATTCGACATTGATGATTTATGTTGTTGTTGTTGTTATTGTTTTATCGAACAATGTCTCTATTTGAAAATGTTCGCGATATTTTTGACTGATAATGATATAATGATGGCTGTCTTTCGGCCATCTGAATATTTCCTAGATAAAAATTATCATCATCATTATCATCATTGGACATATCTGGTGGTAAATTGTTTCGATGTTTGTTTAGAATTTCCTGTTTTAATTTTTTAATACGAATTCTTTCAGCTTTTGATGATAGAACGGGTGGTGAATGAATTTGTTGACAACTAACAAAATGTTTATAATTATTACGTGGTAATGAATTTGTGTTTCGAATCGGTATGAGTGCAGAATTGATTGGAATTGGATAATTTTTTCTTGGTAATGAATTATATTCTCTGAAGATTCCCTCTTCATTCGATTGACAGCTTCCTTCAATACCAGTATCCTGGAACCAAGAAACAAAAAAAATAAGCAAATTTTCATCGTTATAAAAAAAATCATTCATGAACATACCAATGCAGAAGATGAATCGGAATAAAAATCCGATTCATATTCAGTAGATTTAGATATTGGATCAAAATTCGTTGACGATTCCATGTAACAAAGATTTCCGGATTTTGGATTGTTTTCATATGTTTTCATCAAATCCGAGTTGTGTTTTTTACGAATGTAACAAATGACAGCGATCCAAGCCAATGATGTGATAACAACACAGATTAAAACAGCAATAACAATTAATGAATGTTTACGTATCATATAAACATATGAAGCGATAAAATCATCTGAATTTCTTTCCGAAATTGTTATGATTTCTAAATATGATGAATCACTAGTCGTTCCATAAGTGTTTGAAATATTGCATGAATAAAGGCCTTGATCAGATGGTTTAGATTTAACAATAATTAATATTTGTCCTTCAGCGGTGAAAAAATGTCGATCAGTTGGTTGTAACATATGGCCATCTTTGAACCAGACAATTTGTGGAATCGGAATACCAGCAGCCATACATTCCAATGAAACAGTCGATCCAATTTGACTTTTTTTATCCACCATTTTTCGTACAAATGATGGAATTTCGATTACATTCAGATAGGCCGTTGAAACGATTGAACCAGCATCATTGGTTGCATGACAACTGTATGAACCCATATCACTTTTTTTAACTTCAACAATAAAGAATACATCATCGGCAGGCATGACATGCATTCGACGTTCCATAGCAGCCGGAAAATTGTCACCACCATCTTTTTGCCATGAAACAATTGGACCCGGTTGACCTTTGGCAGCACATTCTAATTTAGCTGTATGTCCAACTCTTACTGTTACATTATGTGGCCGTTTAATGAAATAAGGAGCAACATAGACATTGACTGAGAATTTATGAGAATATACACTTCCGTAGCTATTTGATGCCATACAATGATATTTGCCTTGATCTTCATCTTGTATATTGACCAAATGTAATATACTGGTATAGTGAGTAACATTTTCGGAATATGGTTGTGCAACGTTTTCCATTATGGCACGGTCATGTTCAATCAATTGACTATCTTTGAACCATTTGAATATAATTTTATCATTACTACTGGTTGCTACTTTACAATTGAATCGTATTTCTTGATTCTTAATTGCTGCTATTGGTTTCGTTAAATTCTTGAAATCTTCGATCAAATATGGTTTGAGAAAATCTTGACATTTAAATTCTTCTGGTTTAATGTCTAAAAATGAATTAATTGTTCGAATGGCAAGATCATGTGGATGTTTGCAATGAATTTTTCGGGCAAATTGTCGCCGTATTTGATTAGCTTGTAACCATTCATTAAGCCATTTCATCGTACAATCACAAAGTAAATCCACTTGTTCTAGATGAATTCTGTTTAAATTATTGAACCATTGAAATGAATCTTTTTGAATTGATGATAATGGATTAGCGGTAAGATTGAGCATAGAAAGACTTGATAATCCATTGAACGTATGTTTATAGATTAAACGTATTTGATTATTATTCAATCGTAATTCTTTTAAATGTCCAAGGCCGTTAAAAAATCCACTGGATCCTTCTAATGTCCATGATAATTTGTTGTAAGACATATCCAATGTTTCTAGATTCTTCAACGATCGAAAAGAATTATCATCAACGTAAGAGATGTTGTTGTTGGATAATTTCAATGTTTGTAATGAGCTTAATTTATCGAATGTTTTCAATCGAATATGTTGTAATCGATTAAAGTTGAGATTTATTTCGATCAAACTACGAAGAGAATTCCATACATTGTCACCAATTTTTATAATCGAATTATGTTTGATACTGAATTCTTTCAATGATTCTAGGCCATAAATCCAACCTTCCTTAATTTCACTGATATTGTTGTGATCTAGATTAATTTTCTGTAAATTAGATAGGCCCCAAAATGATCCATCATCAAGATTGTTCAATTTGTTTCGACGCATTTTCAACGATATCAATGATTCCAAAGCTTCAAAAGCAAGAATATCGATTTTATCGATTTGATTATAATTTAAATCAAGTTCTCTTAGATGAATAAGTCTACCGAGCCATGATTTTGAAATTATTTGGATGTTATTTTTGGAAATTTTTAATACTTTTAAATTTGGAAACAATTCAAAAGCATCTTCTTCGATGGTTTCAATGTCATTGTTGTTCAATATTAGATGAGTAAGATTGGACATTATAGATGAGGAAAGGAAATGTTTCGGTATGATTTTGATTAAATTATCCGATAGATCAAGATATTCAAGATGAGGATATATGAATGAAATGTCGATTCGTTGAATAGAATCATAATTCAAGTTGTTGTTCGCCAAGCTTAATGAACGTAAATTATTTGCATAATTAATCAATGGAAATTGTGTAAGTTCATTTTCATTGAAATGAATATTTGTTAAACTTTTCTGTATATAATGAACATCATTGAAAACAGTTGTTAAAACATCCGAATCAACAAATCTTAAACGAGTACGTGTCAAATCGATGAATGTTAAATTATTTGGTGATATTATCAATGGTGAAGCATGTGATGAAAATGTTTCCAATGGATTATCATTCATATATAATGATTCGGTCCATGTGGGCAAATCGGGTATAATTCGATATTCTTTATTAGCACAATTAACAACGGTTGAGAAACAATTGCAACGTTTTGGACAACCAATTTTGTCCGATGAACATTTATTATCGATGAAAATGATGAATAATATGGATATGACCAGAATGAAAATCTGGTCATATTTTTTCATTCGAATCATTTTTATTTACAATACATTAGTGTTGAAAATTATGAAATTATTGTCTTTTTTTTCAAGATGGTCCAAATTCAAGAATTAAAGTTTCAAATTTCAAAGTATCAAAACAAAACAAAAAACAAATCAGATCATACATTCATTCACACACACACCACATATTATATACAAACAATGGTCAATGGTAAACTTGTGCTCGAATCTTTTTTCTTATGCTGCTGAAGATCGGTGTTGATTCTTGGATTGGTAGTTCGAGAATGAAACGAGCGCGGTGAGTTTGCATATGTGTGTGTGTGTGTGTGTGTGAACTGAACATTAGTATGAGCACACTTCGGACGAGTAGCGCAAGTTTTTTTTTGTTAGTAAAAAAAATCATTGGCACCAACTTGGCCTCAGCCATATCAGGAGAAAAAAGCGTCAGTTGGTGGTGGTGATGAATGAACGAACGAATGAATGAATGAATGAATGGTCTTCAAAAGGTCCATACAAATTTTTTTTCGTTTGCCAAAGAACAGAAGAATGTGTTGTGTATCGGAGATGAATATAAAAATGGCGTGGGTAAAAAACTAACAAGTTTCCAATAAAGCAAGTTGTTTTACTTTTGCTTTAGCTTTCCATGGTCAATGATATTTGATTTGCCAGTTGATGATGATGATGATGGTGTCGTAGAAGAACATTCATTCGTTAACTGTTTTGACGATATAAATTTCCTTCATCATTATATTCAATCTAAGGTCAACAAATTTCGTGGTTTTCTCTCTTTTTATGCATGACACAATCTTCGATTGAAAGAATGAGAAAAAAAATATACATCGTTAAAACAGTTAACGAATAAATGTTTTTCGTCACCGGTTAGGTAATGATTGTAAATAGATAAAAAACCACAACAACAACAACAACAACAACATCATAACCACAAGATTCGTTTATCGAGAAAAATATTAGTGACAATTGATGATCCATTGATAAAGAGGGATCCAAGAAAGTAGCAAACGATAGAGAGAGAGGTAGAGAATCTGATCATCAAATAAATAAGCTTCTATTTATCGATAAAAAAAATATTTTCTTATGATAACAATAAACTAATAATATAATTCTCTTGCAACAATCAAATATAACATGAAAACATCGATATATAAGTAAATATAAATCCCACATCATAATCATAATCATCATCATCATCATAAATCAAATAGAATTAATTTCATTTTCATCTTTTTTTTGCTGTCTATCTATCTATCTATCTATCTAGTTTGACACTTGAGTATGTGATAAATAAAAAATAAAAATCTTAAGAAAATTGTACGATTATAGATAAGATTATTATTTTTTTTTTTGCTATGGTTGCTGATTGAAACTGAAATAATAAAAAAAAAAAAAAGAAAATAAAAACTCAGGTGTGTCCATGATTCAATGATGATGATGATCATGACGATGAACCTCTATTGGATTCACTAGAATCATCATCAATTGTCTGATCTTATCTCGGTGTATTTATTATATAGATTGGAACAATATATTGCTCGTGATCATCATCCATTTCGTATTTTATATATGCGAGATATAAATTGTCATATCAATTCGAATATTAATCTCATGTGATATATGTTTAAATTTTTTTTTTGCATTTTAAAAATGATTATAAAAAAATGGATTTGTAGAAAAAAAATTTGAAATTAATAAATGTGTCGACCAATGATCACGATGTTGTAGTGATGAAAAAAAATAATGAGAAGTGATAGTGTTGACACTTTCGGACCAATTAGGCAAAAAAAAGAGTGATATAATTAGCGACCACCACAATCAAATGTAATAAACAATTTCATTTCATTTTTTTTTCTATGGTTGTTGTTGTTGTTGTTGTTGTTATTGTTGTCAATATGTCTGTCTGTAATTTTTTTTCTTTTATCCACGTACCAAATATAAATACAACACATATATACATTATTGATATTGAAACATGTTCCAACGATGGTGATATCTCATTCTTTTGTTAACGATTAAATTTTTGTTCGTTTTTTCTGGATCATTTGAATGAATGAATGAATGAATGATTTTAGAATTGAATGCCTGATATTTGACAAATGTTTGCCATGAACAATGAAATTTTTTTTTTTTTTTTGGAGAAATGAAAAATAAGAATAAAAAAATCAAATTTCTTTTCTTTTGAAAATCGGGTTTTTTTTGAAAAAAGGTGTGTGGGGCGGTTATCTCTCTCTCACACACACGTACACAAACACATTCGTTCTACATTCGAGCCGCCAAATCAATTTGGTTAATGTTTTTGTTATTATTAGCCTTTAGCATTATACATATTTATCTTCAAGCTACCAAAATTATTCTTTATTTTTTTCTCTCCAATTCAATTCAATGACATTCAAGGGGTCAGGTCATATTTGATTATATTTGTTCACCCATTGTTTGTTGTGTGTACCCCGTTTCTTTTTTTTTGCAATTCTTTCCACTGTGTTTAGGTAACGAGAAAAAAAATATTAGGTAGCTATTGTGAATATATAGCAAAAAAAAAAAAAAAAAATTTCATTCAGGTGGACCGATGATAATTTGATTCACACATTTTCGCAAATTTGAATCAACAAACACACATTCGCTCACACATGTTGTCATAAGTGAAGCCACATTTAGAAACAGATTTGACCCCTTCTGCTTTAAATTAAATTTTGAATGGATTGTATGACGGCCATTCAATACGAATGATGATGATGATGATGATGATGACCATACACATAAACTCGTATTTCATGGATCTATTTGTCCAAAAGAAAAATTTTCTTTTAATTTTAAAGTCAATCGGTCGATTTGAATGATTTTATTTGCAGAAAAAAAAATAAGTTTTTCGTTTTTTTGCCGGATGAGAAAAAAGCGAAAATCACGTATATTTATTATATTTCTCACTCTCTTTGGGGTAAATCCAAGATTATTATTCAATGGTTACAAACATCGCAAAGAGAAAAATATTTAAAGATTTGATTTGATAGATTCAGATAGATTGATGATGATATGTAACGAAAAATCTTGATATTAGATAATACGATTACAAATTCGAATGTCGATTGTTGGTCAAGCCAATATTTATGGTGTATGTGTGTGTGTGTTCATAGAGCATCAATATATTTATTTTCAGGTGTTCAGGATGATTAACACCTGCAATATATTATATATTTGCAAGTGTGTGTGTTTTTTTTTTGCTTTCCAACCATCATGCAATAACACCACTTCGTATACAAACACACAAACACACACAGCAGGGGTATTAAGAATATGAAAACTCTCAATTATTTCAGTTGTGTTTCGAGGTTCACACTTTTTTCTTGTTGTTATATTATTATTGGGCAACAACATAAGTAAAAGTTTTTTTTCTCTCATTTCATTTCACGCCGATCACAATCTTTGAACAAGATTTTTTTCCTCTCATTCTTGTTGACACATATGTTCATCTTTCTTTCTAAAAAAAACACGCACATACAATTAGAATGGTCATCATGTGGAAAAATCATTTATTTAGATAGCCAGTGGAAAGAATTTTCATATGTACACACAAGAAAAAATTTATAAGAATGAACAAAAAAGATTTTTATCCAATATTTGTTCTATATCCTAAATTGATGGCCGTTGTTGAATAACAGTACGGATATGATCATTAATAGGTTTTGAATATGAATTGAATTTCAAATGATTCAGATTTTCAAAACGATAATCCAAATCAATCGTTTTCATTATACGTGAACGTATAATGTCATTTGGATCGACATCGACATTCAACATTGACGTGGACAAATCATTCGTTTTGGGAATAGAATTCATTTTATTTTTATTTTTAAATAAAAAATATGACAAAAAAAATTGTTCAATTTTTTTCTTTTATATTACATATTATAATTTCAAAAAAAAAATTAAAAATTAGAAAATTTCCCAAACTTCTTCGAATGCTGAACAAATTTTTGTACATGCAAGTGCAGCTGATAATGGATATTGTGAAATGGATACATCGTATTCAGTATAATCCACCTGAACATTACCATGAGCCATTGCACCAATTACAATGACCAATGGTTGATCATCTTTGGGTACTAAATCTTTTGGTTTGACCAAATTCGAACATTTGAATGAAGTGCCAATTCTACGACATCCAACGGGTAAATGAGAAGTGATTGGATTCTTTATCACTCTCATTAATTTATCAGATGAATTTGTTGCTCTAACACTAAGTTTATGTAGCAATTGTACCATTAAGAATGCAAAACGTTTAAATGTTCGAGGAACTCTTGTTTGTGGATTAATTTCAATCAATACATTTTGTTCAGTGTGAACGTATACTTGAAGTAGACCAGCACGATTCAAAGGACTATCGAATAACATTAATAAACATTGATGTAAAATATCAGGACGGCAAAACATTGGATCTTTTTTGAACTTTTTAATTAAATTTTGATGATCATCAGTGTTCAAAAGTTCAAATTTTTGTTTATTTTTAACCACTTCTAAATTGGCACGTTCCAAAATTATAATCAAACGTTTTGATTGATTGGTAACATTCTTGAAACGTTTAGGATTGAATATTTTATCTTTTGATTCGGTCACATTTTTCATTGAATCAGGATTATCATGATCATAATTTTGAATCGTTGTTGTTGGTTGTTCATTTTCGCCTGTTTCAATATCTTGTCCACCAGAATCGTGTTGAGCATCATCATTGTTGTGATCATCATTAAATTTTCGTTTGAAATTTTTTGATTTATTGAATTTTTTAATCTTCTTTTTGTCCATTCTTTACACACAAAATTATTTTGAATACAAGAATAATGTGAAAAATGAAAAGCAGAATATTCAATTTTCAAAATAATAAAAAAACACGTGTGTGTTGGTAGCAAACGCGTTCAGAAACGACGTACATAAGGTTGAAAATTTAAATTTCAATTTTCGCGGCCAACAATATTTGTGATTTCTATATAAAATCATCAACAAAACATACGTATAGTATTATTATACAGGTAAGGTAAACTATTTTATTGATTCTATTATTTTTGCATCAAAATTTTTCCAGAACATATATAGAATTCTAATCATGAATAACTTTAAATTCAAAACAATGAGTAAATAATAATTTATATGAAAGTTGATCCATAAATAATGAGATATACGCTTGTTAAACATTTGAACGTATGAAATGACTGATGAAATCGATCGGTAATGGAAAGATTATAGTTGAATTTTTTTCCGCCGAAATTGTATTCAACGTTTGTAGATATCGTAATTGTAATGCCGCTGGACTTTGGGCAATTACTTCGGCAGCTTCTTTCAAAGCTCTAGCCGATTTTTGTTCACCTTCAGCAGCAATAACTTTAGCTCGAGCTTCACGAGCAGCTTCAGCTTCAGCAGCCATTGCCCTTTGTAATTGAACAGGAAGTCGAACGTCTTTTCTATTAAAACAAAAACATTAATTTCATCCTATTATATCATAATTTCATTATATCTTACATTTCTACACGTTCTACTTTGATTCCCCAAGCACCAGTACATTCATCCAAAACAGTCTATATATTCACGTAAATGGAAATGAAAAAAAATATCAAACTCATTTATTGAAGTGAAATACCTGCATGGAATTTGAAATTGATTCACGATCCGAAAGAATTTCATGAAGATTATGTGTACCCAACATATTTCTCAATGTTGTCTGAGCCAATAAACGAGTTGAATGATGAGCATTCTCAACATTGGCAACCGAAACCGTTGCATTATGGACACGATAATATACGACAGCATCGACTGAAACTGTTACAGAATCTTTGGTCAATACTTCTTGCGGTGGTACATCAAATGTCAATGTTCGTAGATCAACTTTAGTATAATGTTCAATACAAGGTAAAATGAAGAAAATTCCTGGTCCTTTAGCACCACCATGTAATAATCGACCCTATGATGATTTGAATTAAGTTGTAGGTCAACGTAAAAAACAATGATGTATAATCATAATACATACCAATCTAAAGATGACTGCTCGTTCATATTCCTGTACTACTTTGATGCAAAAGAATAATGATAATGGAAATGTACAGGCAGCAATACCAATGGAAAACAATGTTAATATGGCTCCACAAACACCTTGACTACTGTCATTTTGTTCACCAGCTATAAATAAATAATCATCATGTTATGATTTATTTATTAAATAGAGATTAGTTTAAAAAAAAATCCAAATCAAATCAAATCAAATCAAACCAAACACATCCACAAACACATACAAAACAAAACATATGATCACTTGCCTTCAGCAAAATTAATTTTCTGATTACTATCCTGAGACATAATCTTCAATCATATGATAATTTTTTTTTTGTTGAATTTAAATTACAATAATATATATTCACATGAATAAAACTTATATCAATCGAGTTTTGAAAATGTTTTTTTTTGTTATTGGTAACGCACTGCAACTCTGACACAACACCGTTTGATTCTGTTTGACAAACAAACATTAATATTCTGCAGATATTAAACTTAATTTTTCTTTTGTGATGATAAAAAAAATTATATTTAATAGCAATGTTGATATTGGCATTGACGTTGTTATGGATCAGGGAATACTGAAAACAAACTAAAGTGTATATGCGTATTTTTTTCCTTTGTATCTTTATAATCACATTTTTTACTTTGCCTGCTCATCTTACCTTATTCATTATTTCGATTCTTATGACTTTGAAAAAAAAGTTATGCAATTCAAATAAGAAAAAATTGTCATGATATAAACAATTCTATTGCAAGAATAATATGTAATATATGGTTACATAGCCAACACTATTTATTGATTGATTAATCGATAAATTCGGTATAAAAATTTCATATTCTTTAATAGTATTATTAGTAGTAGTAGGAGTAGTGGTAATAATTTGACAATTTATTCCGGCCGTCATTTTTTACCTTTTGTCATTTTGAAAGTAAATTCAACATTTTTCATTCATTCATTATTCACTTGTTCGATATTTTTTTTTGTTGACACTATGGAAACGTCTTGTTGTTTTGTTTTGTTTTTTTTTCAGTTGTCAAAAGTACATTGCATATACGGTTCCTCTATATTTAACATTATTTGAACCCAGTTTAATCATATGTCATTCATATTCATATCGATTTTGTCATATGAAAACTAATTAACTTTTTTTAATTGATGTTAGATTAGAAAAAAAAACACATTATTATAGCAAATGATCGTAATTTTTATTAGATTATGTTATTCATCCAAATACAATAGAATTTATGTTAGTAAATCTTTTTGATCAATTTCTGAAATTCATAAAATTGAGCCAAATCATTTAATAAATCTTCGGAAAGATGGATATGTTCTTTCTTTTGTTCGCCAGGTTTTAAATGTTCATTCAGCTTAGGACATGAATTAAGTAATTGTTCACGTTTATTTTCGAAATTTTTACCAATTTTTTTCAAAGATTCTTTATATTTTTTTTCACTCACAGTCAATGGAACATGACGTTCCATTTGATTTTTCATTTTTTCCATACATTCGATAAATTCTTCGATTTCCTATATTTGAAAAGAATCGATTGATGTTGTAATGAAATTTTAAAAACAAAAAAAAGTAAACTTACTTGATTCATTCCTTTCGACATTATTGTATTCCAATTTTTTTCAAAATAAAGCATGAAAATATTTTCGTTTGAAAAATGAAAAATATATCAAAGTAATTGTTCGTAAAGAACGTTACAAAATATTTGTCCAATAATTTTGTCATCAAAATTCGAGATTGAATTATGTTTGATGATAAAATTAAATTTTCTCACTCAGTTTGATTGCCCAATTTCGTAAAAAAAAATCAATCTTGGAACACTATTGATTGAATGGAACTCATTTTCCATAAGAAAATGTATCAAAAACTACTAACGAGAGTTAATTTATCCGGGTTATTTTGTACATAAATTTTTTGAGAAAAAAAGAAAATTGAAAAAATGAAAATCAATAAACCTGGCATCATAAAATAAAAAAAAAAAAGGAAAAAAAAACATTGAGTAATACTTGAACCTTGAGGCTGAAATTTTTCATCATAGAAAATTGAAAATTTTCCTTATTATCATCAAACAACAAATAATGAATTCGTTTCGAATTTTATTTTCCTTACATGATTTATAATAATAATACAATAATATATACAGTTGTTATTTATTTAATGATGATCGGACAAATAATATTAAAGGTTACAATTATTGAAAAAAAAATTCCAAAGTAAAGGTGAAGCAAATATTATTTTGAAATGATGATGATGATCATGCATGATATCCAATAGATGTCACAATTCATCATCACCAATTCATAATAATAATAATTGCATCTGTGTGTTTGATTCGATTTTTTTTTTTATTTGATCTGTATTGTTGTCTGTTTTTTTTTTGGTGTGTATTAAATCTCCTGAACTATACACACACACACATACACATGTAGAGTGAATAAATGTAGTTAACTGTATATTTATCTCTTTCTATATGTTTATTTGATGTGATGGCATGGCTTATTTAAACAAGCAAAAATTGAATTTATCATCACATTTTTATATCACCATCATCAATGGATTTTTCTGTAGATAATAAAAATAATAATGTTTAATTGAATTGAACATCAATTATAAATGATCAATAATCGAACGAAAAAAAAAAGAATTCACAGAAAAAAAACGAATAAGTAAAGATAATAATTTATATAATTTATATCAGTGATCAATGATGGTGATGGCAACAACAACATTGTCTTCCGAAATATCATCATCATCATCGACATCAGCACGGGAAATTCATCATAATTTTTATGCAATTAACGAAAGACCAGTTGATGACATATCATTAGAATTTTTTTATAAACCACATACAATCACATTATTAGTTGTTTCTATAATAACCATATTTTATTCGGCTTTTACTCGTGATGAATCTTCATTGGAAAATAATATCTGGTCCGGCATCCTTTGTTTGGTCTTGTTCTTTTTGGTCATTTCATTGTTGACCTTTCCGAATGGACCATTTACACGTCCTCATCCTGCATTTTGGCGTTTAGTGTTTGGAATAAGTGTTCTCTATTTACTTTCATTAATCTTCATATTATTCCAGAATTATGAGACTGTCAAATCAATCATGTACTGGTTCTATCCGGATCTCAAACATTTTCATATTGATTCTGAAAAGGTAATAATAAAATGAATCGAATATATACCGATGATGGATAATGATGATCGAATTTATAGCAATATGCTGTCAATTGCAGTGATTTAACATTGGAACGTTTCTGGGAACATATGGACGTTTTTGCTTTAGCACATTTCTTGGGATGGGTATTGAAAGCATTATTGCTTCGTCATTATGGTATATGTTGGACCATTTCGGTTACATGGGAAATTACTGAAGTTGCATTCGCTCATTTATTGCCAAATTTTGCCGAATGTTGGTGGGATTCCTGGATCCTTGATGTACTGATTTGTAATGGATTGGGCATATTCTGTGGCATGTTTATATGTCGTTTGCTGGAAATGAGAACATACAAATGGGAAAGCATCAAGTATGTAAAATAAACAATTACCTCATATAGTCATTACCCCTATAAATTTTATATTACCATAGAGATATACAATCTGCATCAAAAAAGATACGTCGAGCTATATTACAATTTACACCAGAATCATGGACACCAATTCATTGGTTTGATCCAAATTGCACATATATGCGATTTCTGTCCGTTACACAACTAGTCATATTTTGGCAACTGACTGAACTTAATACATTTTTTCTTAAACACATCTTTGAAACGCCACCAGCTCATCCACTAAATGTTGGCCGTATTGGTTTGATTACATTGATCGTTGCACCATCGGTTCGTCAATATTATACCTATAGTACGGATACTCGTTGTAAACGTGTTGGAACACAATGCTGGGTATTTGTTGCCATCGTGATCACTGAAACATTGATTTCGATCAAGTTTGGTCTTAGTATATTTGCTCAAGCTCAATTATGGAATATTTTCATATGGCTATTGATTCAGGTAAATTCAAATGAATTAATTAATCAATTAAGATGGATTTTTCAATTTATTACCTTTTCTTTCATTAATCATGATAGTTCGTAATGAGTATATCATGTGTATCAATCTGTGTTGTATGGGCCAAATACCGTTGGAATCATGTCAACAATATTGTCGAAGAATATTTCATACGATCAAAAGATAATTTTCTCCAAAAATTTGATCAAAAAATTATTTACGATAATAATGAAAAGAAAAAATACTCTTGATTAATTTATATGAATTTTTTCAAATTATTAAGACTCATATGAATTGAATGATTTTTAGATAAAATTTTTTTTTATTGATGAAAATTTGGCGCTCATCATTAGATTGTTATTGTTGAATAACTTGTTATGTATGAATCGATCGAATGTTTTTTTCATTCGAATACATTCTCGGCATGTGATTTGTATATTGGAGTGACAACAATGAATTTTTCACTTTTAAAAGTTTCTTCAAAATTATCACATTATGGATTTTTGACGAAATATCGTCATTTTCAAAATGTGTTCAGGAAAATTCATGATCAAAATGTTTTCAACAATAAAAATAATGATGATAATGATAATCAATTGATTTCATTATCAAAAGAACTTGATTCGATTCCCAAGTAAGAAAGATTTTTCACTGTAATTCATAAACATTTATAGATGAATTTTTTCCATTGATAGATTAAATGCACTAGATACAATAAATGATGATAATGTTCAATTCTTGAATGAAATTCGACCTGTGTTGAAAAAATCATTCAATCTTGCTGCTTATGTGAATGTTTCCGATACTTTACAACAACTAGTCAAATTAAAAGTTGATTTATCGATAATTGAAAAAGATGATAAACTTGCCTCATTCATTGTTCGTTGTGATTTTGAGAAAGATATCCAACCATTGTTGATGTTTTTATTGGATAATGGACTGGATATCAGCCAAGTGGGTGATGTATTGACTTTGAATCCATATCTATTCACGGTAAATTTTCATAATTTATAATTATCATTCATATATCTATTGATTTTTTAAAAATCATTATTTTTTTTAAATTATAGATTCCATTAGAAAATTTGAACATTCTCATTAGCTACTTTAAATTTCGTAGATTTAGTCCTCAAGATATCACCTTTTTTTTCCTTAAATGTCCTATTGTATTTAATTTGAAAATACAAACCATTGATCAACGTCTTGCTGATTTGGGTCAAGAATATCGACTAACTGCTGTCAATATAAGACATATTGTACGACAACATCCACGAATCATGTTGATGAAAAATCATCACTTAAAGGTTTTTATCATTTTAATTGTCAAATTTTCTAGCTAATAGTTGGTTTTTTTTTGTTAACAGAAATGTACGTTTGTGTTTGCTGAACAAATGGGTTTCAAATCGGATGAAATTAAATCATTGCTTTTAAAAAATCCGATTCTTTGGACAAAACAAATGAAACAAGCATCGAAAGATATGTTACTTTCATTCGAATATGTGAATACAACGATGCAAATAAGTCATGAACAAGTGTTAAATTTTCCATTGATATTATTACGTCGTGTACGTTTGATACGTGTTCGTCATCTTTATCTCCAATCATTGAATCGTGATCAATATGATCCTAATAAACCATTATATGTTCCACTAAGTGCCTTTTTTCAAATAGATGATTCACAATTCTGTATTGAATATGCTAAAACCTGTGTGGATGATTTCAATCGATTTTTAAAAACAATTTAAAAGATAATGTAAATGAATTTGTTTTAATAAAAGTGAAAATTTTTTTTTTGCAAAACCAAAAAAATTAGATTTTAATTTCATTTTAAAAATAGACACAAACACAATTGAATTAGATCATGTTTTTAAGCAATACATTAATCTTGTCTTCACGATTACCAAAATCACCACCTTCAACATAATGAGTAACCTTTTTACGCCAACCACCACGTGGATTATTCAGCTTAAAATGCCAGAAAAAGTTATTGGCATACTTGAAGTTTGGTCCAACCGTGTAGATTTCATGAATCAAATCTTCCATACAAATGATACCATGTTTTCCCAATTTTTGTTCAATGACCGAATTGTCGGTCAATGGGATTCGTTGTCCATTAACTTTACCGAAACCACGTTTATAGATTAAATCACGAATGTTTTTCAATGATGGATAACCCCAAGTGATATATGGTTCGGCTATTCGAAGCATATTGATGGTAGCTTTGTTTAGTTTGACAAATACACCGTTATTGATTTGTCGCAATCGGAAAAGTTGAAGAACTTTTCTTGGTTTTGGTGGAACACCATTGATACTATTTGTAGAAAAAAAAATTAGTAAAAAATACAATCAGTAAATACTATGAAAATGTATTACCCTCGAATTCGCATGACGAATGCCAATTTGGCTTCTGGAGGAACATAGAAATTGCCCTTTTCTCTTGCTTGACGTTTCATTCGGATTATATCTCGTTCTTTTTGTCGATATTCTTTGACATATTTTTCTGCACGTTTGAAAATAAGGGCTTTTTTAGCCTGGCGATCTTTCCGGTATTTGATTGTTTCTAAAATCGATTTAGCTTTCTGTTCTTCACGTCGTTTGCGTTTTTTGAGAATAGTCTCAGGAACAGTAGGCAATTTGCCTGTTGAAGTTGGTTTTGCTTGACTATTTGACATAATTTTTTGAAAAAAAACAAATTAATAAAAATTGAAAATAAATAAATAAAAGCTTACGTTTGGGTCATGTTTCGGCTTCAACGTGTTGTTGTTGTCCGGAAGAAAGAACTAGTGCAGGAAAGTGAGAAATAATTGAGCATGCCTTATTCGAAGCACGATTGGCAGTGTGGCATGCTTCAAATAACGCATGCTCAATTATTTTAAATGCTGTTCATAAACAATGTTTTTCATAATTTAATGTTTCTGATGATCATCGAAAATGTCTTCAAGATTTTTACGACAAATTCTTAATAATCCCAGATTACCAAGTAGAGATATTCCAAAATATGTTCGAGATAGAGCTACTGGTACGTTGACAGTTGAACAAAAGCCAACACTTGTATGGCTATATAAGAAAAATATAATTCGAAAAAGATTCGCAACATTTGGAAAAAGTTCTGGTAAGTAATTATTGATAAATTAACTTTGACAAAAATTTTTATCAATTGCCATCTATTTTAGGTTTAAAACCGGGTATTTGCTGGCCAAGTAAAGAGGAATTACAGTACATGAAACAATTTGACGCTAAATTCGAGAAAAGTATCGAATCAATGCGTGAGAATTTATTGCAAACTCAAAAAGCTGAACAGGAAAAACGAATTAAACGAGAAAAACAAATTGTTGCTAATCTGAAAAAATTACCGAAAATGAAAGAAGAATTTTGGAAAAACTATCACAATTTATTTGAAAAAATCGAAGAGGAGAAATCTAATAAAGAAAAATTGATCCAAGAAGTACGAGAATATCTGGGTTATGATATCGAACCAAATGATCCACGTTTTGAAGAGGCATTGGTCAAAAAAGATGAAGAAGCTAAAGCAGCAATTCGTGCTGCACGTAAACTAGAGAAACAAAAACAACATATGGAAATGTTACAAGCATTAGTTTCGGAAGCATTGGAGAAAGAAAAATCCACCACAAAACCAACAGAAGAAACAAATAATGAAAGTTCCAATTCCGATTCAAAACCTAGTCAATAATGATATTTTTGTAATCAAAATTATTGTCATAATATATAGTAAATAATTATGATTGAAACTTTATTATGAAGCTGGCAAAAATAAATATTGTCAAGTTGATATTGGTGCATTTATAAAAAAAAAATTAGGAAATCCAATCAATCAATCACCATTAAAGATCAATTAATAAAAAAGTGATAGTTCGAATAAAATGTTTGATATTCGTACTGCCATTCACATTAATCTATAGTTGATAAATGTGGTTCAATTAGGAAAGTGATTTATCTTCAGGAATCATTGGCGATGTAACCGGTGTAGTGGCCGAATGTTCTGCATTCTTAAGTGCATCATCAAAATTGGTTGTACTGTTACTTCGAGATGCAATCTTGGTCTAAAGGAATTAAAAAAAAATAGCTAGTAAGAAAAATAATTTTAATTTAATGAAATTTTACCTTGACATTAGTAACAGCATAGCCAACTTTTTCTTCAAATGATTTAAAAGCATTCGTATTTTTCACTTCACCTAATTTACGAGCTACGGAACCAAGTGTTCCCATCACTGAAGCTTGACCCATTTTGACTGCTTCACTTGTTTTCTGATAACTATAAATATTGAGATGGACGAAAAAAAATATTCCAAAAAGAATAAATAATATATATAAAGAGATTAAATGGTCAATTTGATTATGAAAAAGAATTCTATTTTTGAAACTAAAACTTTATGACTATTCTGTTTTAAGAATGAACGCATGCAATGATGGATTATTTTATTATATGAATGAGAGAGAAGCAAAGAAAAAATATTTGAACATTTCATCACATACGAGGGAGCTGTTGATAGTTTGGCCATAAATCCTGAGCTGTATAACATATAGTTTTTTGTTTTGTTTTGTTTGTTTGCATGAAATCAATAAATATATATAAATATAGGAGCAAAAGCAGAAAAAAATTAATTCACATTTAGGATTAACAAAAAGTCCGCGAAAGTCGGAAGATGTAAGAATTGAAAAATTCTTGCCATTTAAAACAAACAAAAATAAACATACGCTGTACTTTCTTGAATATTTTTAATGCTGCTTTCCATTTCATCACGAAATTCTTTCCAAACGGTGATTCCTAATTTTCTTTTCAATTCATTTGAACGTTTTATTTTAGCCGTCAATACTGTACGCAATGTTTGTATTTCCTCTTCGGTCTTTATTTTGAATAAAAAAAATGAATGTATTAATTTGATTTGTATTTAAAGATAATTGTGTGATTAACAAACCTTGGCCAATTCTTTTCGCAATTCTTCTTCGATTTTGGCTCGTTGTTCGGGATCTGTATACTGGTCCAAAAGCTCATTGCCTGTGAAGCAACAAAAAAAAATGAGATAATCAAATTTATTTCCATGAAATTCGATTAGATTAATTATGATTGTGAATTTATACTCATTTCTTCGATCTCTTCAGCGGAAGCAATACGTCTGAATGCTTCACATTTTTCATGATCAATCGAAGAATCATTCATTTTTAATGTAGTTGAAATTTCATCATAATCAGTAGAATCTGTTTCATCAAAATGATTGGATAATAATGATGCTTTATTATTATCAGTATTCTGTTGATTAATGTTTCGTTTATTGGAATTTTTTTTATTAGCCATAGCAATATGTTTTTTTTTTGTTAAATTTTAAAAACAAACGTTATAATTAATGATGATGATGATGATCCACCAAGGAATAAGTGTATCATAAACTAGGTTGTCGCCGTGTCGATTCGATGACTAGTAGTATGATGTTAAATGTGTAATAAACTTCCACTCATCATAATAATAATTCCTCACACACATACACAAATATACGGACACACAATGGCTCCTCAATCTATCATTACGGTAAGCCTTCTTGTCTGTTGTCAAAACATTATTATAAAAGAAACCACAAGAGAGACTGTAGAACCTGTCTCAACTTACAGGTGTATTATACCTGCAGTATAGTGGAAAAAAAACCACCGAAAAGGTGCAATAGGAACTTGAACAACGATTTTTTACTTGTTGTTGTTCAATATAACATGATGATTATATTTTATCATCATCCTTGTCCTTGTTCAATTAATTATATCATTTTCGAAATGATGTAATTGAGCCAAGTATCGGATGGTTTTTTTGAAAATTCAAACATTAATCAGGAATTAAGATTAAAAATTTTTTATAGACAGAAAACTAAACATTTCAAGAGAATATCAATGACATGATAATGATGACACAAACATCATCAATGTAAAAATCGAATAAAATATAATCATCATTCATAGTACGAAATTCAAAATATTGTATTAGTCAACAATCATACATAACATACCGGTTTCAGTGTCCAAAAAATGATCTTCATTATTGTCCATCATTTTTTTTCTTTGTATTGTTGTTGAAAACAAATTGTCCAAAAAAATAAAAACAATGGATTGAATCGAATGAACGGAATGTGAAAACAACACAAAATGAATGGTAAAATGAAAAAAAAATAAGCAATCAAAGGGATGATGATGACAAACAGAATAAACAAATAATAAAACAGAAAACTATTATGACTGTGAAATTAATGAAAATTAATGAAAATAAATCACAAAAAAAATCCCGAATTATTAATACCAACACCATCAAAATCAAGCAGTAGCAACATCAACAGCAGCAACAACAACAACAGGGCTGAATCATCATCGCGATATGCTGCTGCTACGCACAAAAATTATATAGCCGTACACATAATACGTATATGTGGATTTTTAAATTAATATAACCGGTATTATATTGTTTTTAATTTTTAAACAAATAACATTTTATTTCCATTATAATCATCGTTTTCCATCATTATCCTTATATATTTATAGTAAATGTAGAAAATATATGATGTAAAAAATACCATTGGCATCTGAAATCCATATAAATAGTTAGTGAATACATAAAGCTGAATAATTGACCAATCAGTAAAGAAAATAAAACCGGAACCAAATTGAATAGGATTCAAGCGTTTAATTCGAATTTGATTGTTCAATTTTTGATTGGCCATATAGAAACCAAATTGTAACAATAAAAATCTTATTAATCCAAGAGCAAATAGGCTATGAAGAATGGCGATAACCAAATCATCATCACCAACCATTAAATATTCCATAATTTGTGAATATTTATTTATAAATTCTATGATAGCTTCAAATTCGAATAAAGTAAATCCAATTGCCAGAAATTTTCTTGTATAAAATATGCTTGCATTGTTTTGCTGTTTATATGGCATGGAATAAGTACAGAATCACGATTATATCAAAGAATTTAATAAAAATATTACCGTAATCGATGGATAGCCAATGATTGCAAATGAATAAAGTAAAAACAACAAATAATAAATTAAAAATGGATTGCTATCATAAAAACAGAAATTATTTGTCTCGCCAGATAATTTCAAATAAAACCAAATGACCAAACTAATTAGATTAATCATGGCCAATGAAATGCAGGCCAATTTCCAAAAAATTTGTTTAGTCATAATGATGATTATCTGACTGGCATTATTATTTTGACGGGTCATGGTCTATTAAAAAAATGAATTTAAATAATTCGAATTTTTTTTCAACAACAACAAAAAAACGAATCCATCGAATATTTTATTGGTTGAAATTCTCTAAAAACAGATGGCGTCATGTATCAACGGTAAAATAAAATTCAAAAAAAAAAAATCTTTTGAAGTATTGTAAATTGATTACTATGATGATAACGCGCGTTGTACGTGTTCACGCCTTGGTGAGAAAATTCTGAGAATCATATATCAGAAAAAAAACACTTGACATCTTTTCTTTTGATCAAAAAGATTGTTCCGTCATCAAGAGTTACTTTCAATCAATCTTTTTTTGGTGATTGTTGAATAATTTTTTTTTCTCTCTTTCTCTCTTACTTTCTCACACAAATTACTGTTTCTAGTAACCTGAGAATTTTTTTTTTTTTTTTTAAAATTCCAAAAATCAATTTTCAATCAATTTATCGATATTTTTTTTTATTGTTTATCATCAAACAAATATCCATTACTCATAATAATAAACATGATCAGTTTGTTTATCTATAGATAAATTAAATAAAAAAAGGAGTCAAGAGCAATAATGATTGTCTGATTTCATTTCATAAATGATTAATCATTTCTCATCAAATATTTTTTTTTCGATCATTTTTCGAATCCTAAAGATTTATTTGAATTTCATTATGCAGTCTCAAGTAGCCATATCATAAATGATGTGAGAATAGAAGAAAAAATGAAACAAAAATTATTCTGATCCAATCTTTTTGATCTAAATCAGAAGAGCAAAAAAAAATTTTATTACCTTCCGAGTTATACGCTATAGAAATAGATAGATAGATACGTTCACATTTTGTACTTTTTTTTCTGACTATAATTTTGTTTTCACTGTTTATCGATATCCTAAAAAAGAAGAAGAAGAAGAAGAAGAAGTAGAAAAAAATCAAAAACCTTAGCGACCAAATATTATTTCATTCGAATTGTTGATTGTCGATGATGATATAATATTTATGTTTGCCTTGTTAGTAAAAGAAAAAACAAAAAAAGAAATTAAAGGTTATCGTCCACGACGATGACGACGACAACGACAACGACGACGACGACAGTAACAACAAAATTCATCACGAATATGGTGATGGTATCATATATAATCATCATCATAATCAATCGATCTGTATCTTTCAATTTCTCGTTTTTTTTTCTTCTTTATTTATCTTCATATGTGTGGGTATGTGTATCCATCATTTGTTGAAATCATTAATTTATTTTGAATTTTAATTTTTAATAAAAAAAATTGAAATAAAAAGATGGACTAGGAAAAGCAAAGTAAAAAATCTTGTATTCAATACGCTGATGATATGATATTCTGCCATATTCGATTGATGATTCGGCATATGATGATGATGATGATGATGATAAATTTAATGTATAGCAGCCACAAGCAGATGTACCTGTCAAAAATTATGATTGTGGAGTTGTGTGTGTGTGTGTGTGTTTTTGATGATCAAAATGATGATGATGATTATTATTGTTTGCTGATTTGATTTAAATTTTTTTTTACGATCCATAATAATTTCTTTTATATTCTAATATTTTAAATTTTCACTTTTCTTTTTTTTTTTTTGCTTTGCTTTCAATTTTATTCGTTTTCTCTCGTTTCAAATTTCAAATTTTATGAAATAAACAAACAACTATGAGAACAAGATTTATAATTGAATGAATGATAATAATCAGAATAGAGAGAGAGAGAGAGAGAACGTTGATGATGATTATTATGGTATTTCGCTATATAATGACTATGTTGTTTTTGTTGTTGTTGTTGTTGTCGTTGTTCATGTTCTAATCATCATCATTATCATCATTCGATTGTGTATTAGGATCAATAAAAAAAAGTACCTCTCCATTAAATGAAAAATTTTTTTTTCGATTTTCAAATTTAATTTGATGCAAAATGTGTCGCTATGTTGTTTATGGCTTCGATTAAACGTGTTACATTTTTTTTCCTATGCGAAAATTAAATATATGGACAACAAAACAAAAAACAAAAAATTCCTTGACCGATGGAAACAAAAAAAAAAACAACATCGCCCAGAAGACCAAGGCTATAATAATAATAATTTCATTTTTCATATTTTTTACAGATAAAAAATCGACTTGTTTTTTTTCACCGATATAATTATTATGTTGAACAAAAAAAAAAAAAGAAAAATAATAAATCTCCATCATACATTAATCATTCAGAGGTACAAACAACAACAACAACAACAATAATAATAATAACAACAACAACGAAAACAATCATCTAGTAGTAGAATTGAATGATTTTGATTGGCCATGAACCGAATTTTATTTTTTCATTTGTCGATGACCGAATCATTTTATTCAATTTCATTCGAAAACAAAAATCAAATTGAAATTCGTACCCAATTTGTGTTTTTTGCAATCTATACTCTGTCATCATCATCATCATCGATAGATGATCAAAATCAAAATCAAAAAAAAGTTTATCGGAAAAAATTCAGGAAAAAAATTGCTGATTCCATTATTATTTCAGGATCAGGAACGATGAATGTGTGTGTGTGTATGGAAAATTTTCCTTTTTTTTCAAACACTCATTTTTCGTTGTTTTAGTAAAAAAAAATTACGAGTTATTACATGACGAATTAAAATTTTGATGTAAGCTGATTAAAGAGGAAAAAAAAACTCTTGAAAATCATCATTCAGAATGCCTCAATATATTCTATATGCATGCATCAAATGCATGTTGGTGATGGATATGGTGGATTTTATTTTATTTTATTTTTTTTTTCAAAAGAAAAACCAAATCATCGTTATCATCATCTTTTCTCTTACTTAATACTTAATTGTTTGTATGAGATGCTAATTTTCTTCGAATTTGATTGTCAAATTGTTCTATTGAATTGATTTCATTTCATTTTTTTTTTGTTTTATTAATTAAAAATGACAAAAAAAAATCTATGAAAAACGTAAAGGTTTTTGTTTTGGTGGTTGTTTCATAGTCCTAAAAAAAATAAATGATCAAGCGCCTCTCAAAATTGAATTGATGAATCCTAAATATGGTATATATCATCGACATTGACCACCACCAACAAATGAATCATTCATTGTTTCAACCTACAGAATAAATGCATACACACAATGCTTGAGGCCAAATTAAATCATCATTTCAAAAGAAAAAGTAACAGATTTTAATTTTCAAAAATTCAATTAACTACAATTACAAATCAATCGAATCAAATTGAATGAATTCGTTTTGCAGGAAAAAAAATTCTTATGTAACAAATTGCTTTTTGAAATGATAAAAGACAAGATTGAATCTTGATGTATATATGATGTTGAAATATCTATCGATGATCAATATCGGAATATCAATCCATGGCAACAATGATCATCAATTTTTTTTGTTGTTATTTCGCTAACATATCATGTATAAGTATTTCTTTCAAATTTCATTTTGAATCTTGATAAATGTGATGAATCAAACAAGAAAGAACAAATCTTCTAATTAAATTGTTATCTCATTCATCATAAATTATACAGTCAAATACAGGTTTTCTTTTCAATTTCTCATTCTCTCTTTTTTCTCTTTCTATCTGTCTTTCGTTCTTTGTATCTTCTGGTGATATGAATTATGATGATGATGATGATGATGTTTCCACGAATGTTTGTGATTTCTATGTCGATCGAACCGATTCATTCGTTGTCGTCATCAACATTTATTTCAAATGTGATTGAATAAATGATACGCTTTGCAAAAAAAAAAAAAATAAAATCGAATCGAAACAAATTCTCATTCAATAAATGTGACCACACCATCATCGATAGTAATCATAATTTAATTTTTCATCATACTGTTACGGTTGTCTATTCAATTTTCTCACTAGCTCTTTAGTTTGTATAGATAGACTTTATTATTATGAATGAATGAATGAATGAATATAGTTTGAAAATATAAATTAAGTATATATATTTAATGTTTTCGGTACAAACCAACAGAACAGAATAAAAAACAAAAAATAAAAATAAAACGAGAGAAAAAAGTGACCAATAAGAATTCACAAATATTAATGGAAAATATTAAAAAAAATCAATTAAATTATCGAATAATCGGTAATAATATAAATAGTGAAACAAAAGGTGAAAAAAAATTCGAATGTTTCGAGGAAAAAAAAATCATTGAAAAAACGAATCATTAAATAGTTGAATGCCACACACACACACACACACAAACACAGAGGGAGAGAGAGACAAATATCCATCAATACCGAGGGGCAACCGAAATGATAAAAATTTTTGAATGACCGTATTTTTTGCGAACAAATTTGTTGTATATATGTGATTTAAGTATTTTTATCGATCAACACAAATCATTTAGATTTATGTAATCTTGGTAACTGGCATCTTTTTCTTCGATTTATATATAATATAATATTATTTATTGAATGACTGAAATCCGGTTAAAAAATCGATGCTGATGATGATAATGATGATGATGTTGTTTGATGTTGATAATGAAAATTTTTTAAAAACTTTCAATTCAGGAACTGACAGCAAGAAAAAAACTGGTCATCAGTTTAATTCACAACGCATAAATTAATGGAAAAGGAGAATCAACAAAAAACGATGAAACATGATGATGAACAAGTTGTTTTGATTCATAAAAGATCTGATAAAATGATTTTTTTTTTGATTGAATTCAATTTCGGTGTTGTCAAATGTGTCTGTCTGTGTGAGTGTGTGTGTGTGTGTGTCTATGACGTAGTGATAGTAGTAATATTTGAATGAATATGAGATGAGTATTAAAAGAATCTTGATTTTTGTTTTTTTTTTTTTTTTTTTTTTTGATCTCGGAGGTTGATTACTTGTCAGTATTTATGGCGAATATTTGTTTGCTTGATTGATTAATTGATATTTTTCACCAATAATATGGTGATTTACCATAACCATAACCGGTAAATGGACTTTGACGATATGTTTTTTTCATTTTATTCAAACCACCATAATTGTATTTATATGTAGTAAATTTATTATTATTATTCCATGATGATTGGACTTTTTTCGGTGAACGATAATAATATTTATTCAATTGTGATTTACCAAGCCATTTATTAGCTTTACGTGTTGAATAATTGATTGTGGATACTGGTGGTAATTCAACATGAGAATTACTACCCAATGGTTTCCATTCAATACCAATACCATTCAATGGGGGACTAACATTTTGTAATTCTTCGCCCTTCCAATTGCCTGGAGGATCGTAATTACAAACGGTAAATGTTCCACCTTTTCTACCTTTACTAATTGCTTGACCACAGCCGATTCGTCTTGAATTTTTCCAGACCTTTTTGATTGTTTGAATTTGCCAAAAAAAAAAGAATTTAATTTTGATGAAAAAAGAAAGAATGATGAACAATAAAATAATTCTGAATTCTTGAAAAAAAAATTTCAATTTACTAACCATTTGTGAAAAATGACCATTACGTGGATTGATATGTGGATTACGGAAATTATATGTTTTCCATTCATCATACCATAATTGTAATGGTATACGACAATCGATTGGTTCCTGTGAATTCCAGGCAAGATTTTCACCAACATCCATATTATCATGATGATAAAAATTTGTACCATCTTTTTTGGCCAATTCGATTGCTCGATATCGTGCAATTTGTTCAAGCTATTCAGAATAATGGAATCACAGATATATGGTTAGAATATTTATTTCGCATTATATATTGTTGATTATTTTGTCATTTTTTTTTGAATCATATGTATTCTATCTCGATAATTAATTATAAGTAATTATTTTCCTATTAATTAATCACATTGAATTGAATATCATTAACAATCTAGAGAATGAATGCAAGAGAGAGAGAGAGAGTTTAGTGTTTTAACGAATTCAAATTTTCAAATATGAATATCATTAAATATGACAGTTTTTTTCTCGCTTTGTCTCTCTTGATGATGATGATGATGATGAGCAATATTGCAACAACAAGTGATTAGGTTGGAAAATGTTTCAAGGATCATCAAGAATTTATTTCCATGTCTTTTTTATCTGTTTCGACGAACATGAAATATATTCTCATTGCAAGAAACCAATCATTTTAATATCTAATTATTCTGTAAATAGATAGAAACCAAGACTAGAATTTTTTTTCAAACAAAAAACAAATTTTAACAAGAAGTCCATGCAATGATAAAGTTTATCATCGAAAGATTTCAATTTTGTTGTTGTTGTTGTTGTTGTTTCATCAATTGAAAATCAAACGATAATCAAATAATTTAAATGAAATTTATGCCTTTTTTTAGCTATCTCTTTATGGTAATCTATCTATCTATCAATCTATCAATCTAAACAACTATAATCACCGATGATGATCATACTATAAGCTACATGAACCTTGAATTCAACGTATGGTGAGCATCATCAACATATTTATAGTATAAATTCGTTTATTTTGTTTTCTTTTTTTTCAAAAAAAATTTTAAACTCAAAATTTTGAAATCAAATTATTCATTTATGTTCAATAAATTTTTTTTTCAAAGTTGAAAAACAATCTAATTAATTTCAAAAAAATAAAGATTAAAAATTCACAGACACAAACACCTGTCTAAGGTAAACAATAATGAAATATGAAAAGAATACAAACAAACGAAAATACAACAACAACAACAACAACAACAAACAGATTGAAATGAACAAATATTATTGTCATTTGACGGATTTCAAGCAATATGCAAATATTTTGTTATTTTTTCTTATTGGGAAAAACATTGAATTCCGTTCATGACATTCCTGAAAAAGCTTATGATCTATCAAAAATGGTAACCATCACAATCATCAAATTTTGCAATTGTAGCTTCTCATTCTACTATATAACGGAATATAATTTTATTATTCATTCACATTTCAAGTTCTTAAATCTTAACTAATTTATAATTATCACTTGTTGCACATTTTATTTTCAGTTAGTTTTTTTTTCTTGAAAATTAACTGTTAATTACTTTTTTTAAACAAACAACAAAAAAAGTCATTATTAGTAATAATCACAAATATATTTTATTAGTGTTGATAAATTGAGCTATCTATGTTGTATGGATTAAGGCCATCTTCTATGCAAATCATCCTTATCATAGATAGAGAGAGAGAGAGAGGGAAAATACTAATCTCAAAGGAAACAAAAAAAAATCTTACCTCATGACTATAAGTCAATGGTGGTGCACCATGTAATTGACGGAAATAATTGTGCCATTCAAGACATTCTTGTGTCAATTGAGCGTTTGTCGTTTCAATGAATTGATTATCATAAAGATTTTCATTTCCTTTATGGAATATTACACCAATAACTATTGTGATATATTTGAATTAAAGAGAAAAAGGAAGAAAGAGAAAAAAAATATTTAAAAAAAAATAGTCATCGAATTCTAAAAAAATCACTGGATCAATTTTTAATTCTGATGCGACAGATGAATGAAAAAAAAACAACAAAATACTAACCGTTTGGTATGGAAAAAACTAAAATCAATAAACCAGATAAAATCATTGGAACAATCATTTTGGATAAATTTTCTAGATTAATTTTTTTTTGACGTTAAAAAATTCAAATTCACTTTTAAAAAGAATAATCAATAAATATGAACAAACAACGAAACAGAACAATCTTTTTTTTTGCCTGATTATGCCCAAATCGATGATTTGGTTTCTCTTTTATATATCGGTTTCGATTTCAGCCATTCTCGACCGAATACAAACTACAACAACGACGACGATGACGACGACTAAGACGGCTTGACAACGAAAGAAAAAAAAAAGAACGACAAAATGCAATGAAAGTAACTACATATCATCATCATCATCATCACCATAGCCGATATCTTTCATTCAACATCTTTTTTTTAAGAATCACATCATTCTACATTAGGATCATGGTCTGTTTTACAATTTTTTTGTTGTTGTTGTTGTTCTTTCCATTATATTGCATAGTAAAAAAAAAGAAGTAAAAAAAATTTCATATTCACTTGTATCAACCTTTTATTTATTTTTTCCTGTATATACTACATTTATTATACATCCACATGGATATTCACGAAACCCTCGATCTTATGTATGTTTGTGTGTGTGTGTGTGTGTGTGTGCGTTGCCTGCAAGCCAATCATAATACAATTCTATTTCTTTTCATCTTTTTTCATTTTATTCGTTACTTTATTTTATTCATGAAAATCAATACTAGAATGATTGATTCCATAACGATATGATGGTTGATCTCTCTCTTTCTATCAGTGTGTGTGTTGTGATGTCCAAAAGATCATTCAAAGATAAAAGAGACAATTTTTTTCTGCTGTTGATAACGTATATATATGAAATCCTGAATAAGCAATTCAAGTGTATGCAAGAGGATGATTTTTTATTATTATTATTATTCTGGGCTGTTTTTCATTATGTGTGTGTGTGTGTGCATGATTATCGCCTCTTGCAATTCGTTTTGGTTTACAATTTTTTTATTTTTATTTTTTATTTTATTTCGTATCGAAAAAATCACACACACACACACACACATGCACACATAAAATACATACTTGTGATTACCTATAAACTTTTTCAAATATTTTCGATGATTGATCGAGTTAGGTAATAAAAATGATGATAATAAGAAAAAAAAACAATTCAAAATTGACAAAAATCTTTAATCAAAAAATTGAAAAACAAATGATAAATGGTGTGTGTGTGTGTGTATGTGTATCGACAAGAATATGAACGTATTAACTATAGATAAGAATCAATATTTGAAAAGTCATTAAAATTTTTGACCGAGAAAAAAAACATGTTTACCTTTTTTTTGTAAGATTTTTTTTTGTCAATAAAAAAAATCTATAAATCTTTTTACTATGATGACAAATGACAATTTTTCTTTCAGTTGTTTTTTTTTGTTAATTATAATTATAATTAATTAATTCATTCATTCATTGCACAAACAGTATTCAATTACAATAATTTTTTTTTTTTGTGCGATACCAAGCATTTGTGTGTTTTCACAATATTTTTTTCCTCTTTCTCCTTTTTTTTCTGTTTTTTGAACCAATATTTTTATCGTGACAGTTACTAATGAATCTTTTTTTTAATCGGTGACAAAAAAAAAATGTTATGATGAAAGTCAAAAAAAATAATATTGCTGCTGTTGTCGTTGTTGTTGTTGTTTTGCAAACATTTTTCTCTGTATTTATGTTCACATGTCATGCTATATGTTCACCTATAGGTCTATGAATCAATTCATTCATTTGTTTGTTTGTTTTTGTTATTTCCATTTGATTGCATAATATTCTGAATTTATTTAATGGAACAATAAATTCTAAATCGATTTGGAATCAAATCCTTCAGGTTATTATTATCGATGTAACTAAACGCTGTTCAAAAGCTTTATTTTGTATTTTCATAATAATTCTATCAAGTAGTCAAGAAGTTAGGTAATAATTATGTGATGATGATTAGATATAAAATGCAATGATTTCATGATATTTTGAATTTTAATTTTTTATTTGTATACCAATAATAATAATAATAAAAATGTTAATTTTATCAACAATAACATCATCATCGGTGAATTTATGACCAATTCAAAATTTACACATTCAAAACACTTAAACGTTCATCACGTATGATCACGGCACGTGAATTCAAATGTTGTTGCAATCAAATCGATCGTATATTCGGTTTGTATAATATTGACAATGGAGATTTAAAATGAAAAATAAAAATAAATTTCAAACATTACCGGTAATCAATCGTAATATAATCAAAGGCTTTTCTCATCATCCAACTTTTTGATGATGATTTTAAATTTCAGGTGCAAAATTCAATTTTTCAAAATGCAAATCATGTCCATATAAATATTATTGCATCATAACAATTAATGAATATGGTTACTTGACCAAAGCAAGAAAAAAAATAATTTTAAACAAAGATTGCATTATGATACTCTGTGTCTTTGATCATAATATTCATGTTTTCAATTAAAAAAAAAATCTTTTTTTTTATTATCATTATCATTATTGTCATTTTCATGATAATAACAAAAATATAAATCATTGACATGGTGTAATAATCATCCAATTGATTCTTTTATGTGTGTGTTTGTATTTACAAAAATATATTTTCTATTTATAAATATAATAAAATTGATGATTTTGATAAATATTCGATCAAGCAATACGAGTATAATATCAAAAATCAGATTTGATGATGATGATGGTTGCTATTGTCCATTGCAATGGGCAACAATCATTTTTTTCAAAATTTTGGGACAGAGATGAGTATAGGAAGAAAAATTTTCTTCTTTTTTTTGATATCACGACGATTGATCATTTGCATATATTCAAAAGGCAATTCATGTAATGAAGATGACTACAGACGAGTAGAGAGTTTAAAAATTGGACTGTAAAAAATCATCCAAACATCTATGGATGCAATCAATTCGGACTTGAATAATGAATGAAATATAATGAATGAATAGTTATAAAAATTATAAGTAAAAATGGCCAATTGAAAAATTCCAGATTAATCTTTGTAATAATTGATATTGATGTTTGTTTGGTTCATCGATTGAATGACATTGGACCGATTGAGTACTAATTTAGTAGTTTCATAGTAATCACCACCAAAAAAAACCCATAAAACCCATTTTTGAATGAATAAGTATTCCATATACATGAATATATAAAATATACATCCGAATAAAATGCATCATTTTCAAAATTATGAGATCATCGGATGTATTTGGTTGAGTGAGAATATATAAATAAATAATTATGAAATGAAATAACATGATTCGAGATTATGTTCATTTGTAGCATTGTTCAACAATGTTTTTTTATGTTTGATGGATATGAATGGATGCTGATGATGATGATAATTTTGTTCGTTTGATTTTTGTTTTTTTTGGAATCATATTTTTTTTCTTTGAGTATAAAAGAAAAATGGCCATCATATATCGGTCTCAACACAATTGACCAGACTTTTTAGTTCCAGTTCAGAAGATTGTGGAGAATTTTCCAACGAATTATTACCGGTAACACTTTTACTATCGACAAAATCACTTGTTGCACTTTCAACACGTGGAATCATTTTTGCCGTTTCACTGAAATATTTTTCATTCATTTGTTTGGCTGCATTTTCAGTATCATATTCATTATTAAAATAGGTAATCTATATATGCAAAAATAAATAGGAAAAAAATATCTAGGTTATTAGGCCATTTAACAAAAAAAATTGATAATAATTTTGTATATTATGTTACCTTTTTATTGAATATGACCCATCGAAAAAATCCATAGATGGCTAAAATCAATCCACCCACTATTAATGAGATTAAAGTAAATTTAACTATTTTGACTGGGGTAAAAAGTCTGCTTTTAAGGCTTTGAGCCGTTTCATCAGACATGCCTAATTTCTAAAAACAAACAAAAAAAAAATAATTTCGATTTCATCACGATTAAAATCTCGATTTCATTTGAAAACAAATTATTAATAACCTACTTTATAGCCCCAAAAAATTGGGATGTAAAGTTCATCACGTAGTTTATTAAAACCATTCATATTTTCATTTGGAACAACCCGGATAGACATTTGAAGCCTACTATCACCATGAATGACTAACCCCATTGTCTGTGAAATAAAAAAAAATCATAATTTAAACAATTGAATTATTCGGTTTATTTATAACTTACCGGTTCAATATGTAATTCAGGACGATGTTTTACCGGATCAGGCTTAAGACCTTCGATTTGTTCGACGACCCTATGATCAGCGCCCAAAAAATGTGGCAATGATATTATTAATGGAATGCCATTTTGACAGCCGGCTAGATCAAATATTCCGTCTACACATCGTTTCTCTGCCAGTTCTTCATCTTCTTCGATGCAAAAACATTCATTATCTGGATTAGTATGTCGACCGGCTAGTACGTCATTCGGCGCAGAGAATAAATATGTTTGAATGCCTTTGTAGGATGACTTTTCCTGAAATGTAATGAACAACGATCTATGGGAGAAATAACAGACACAATTTAATAAAAGCACATTCATCATGAAGGTTAACTTAATTTGGCAGTGAAAAAACAAGTGATCATAAAGAATTATTCAGAATTCAATGCATAAAGCTAAAAATATTTCATTTCCCAGACATAAAATGTCAAGTTCATTTAGTTTGTTTTATTCAATAAAGAAAAATCTCATCGTATAACTAGTTTAACTATTCGGAATATTCATCATATTCAAACATTGCTTACCTGCAAATGTCGGGAATGAAAAAATCCAGCCTATCATTCATGCTAACACCGGCTGGAAAAATTGTACCATCCGTTCCGTTGATAGCGTTACAAGAATCGCTTTTCCAAATATCAAGTTTTCTATAAAATTTAAACAAACAAAAAAATGTAAATTATTCGATTGCAATTGAAAAAAAAATATATTGTATGAAGCAAATTACGTTTTATTTTTCCACGTTTTTATATAACCAAATTTATTTTGAGTATTAGCAAGACCCGTATACATTTCATATGGTCCATCCGGTGTTCCATTACGGCCATTCATAATGCCAAATGAATTGTTTGGAAAAAATTCCGTAGGCATAATATCGAAACCAAATTTATTGAACATGGAATTATATGATTCGGCAGTATCCAGAATATTTAATCGATAACCATAAAGTAATTCACGAATCGTTGTATTAATGAATAATGTTTGATTATGTGAAACGAAAAATTCATTGATTCCTCGATATGAAAAATGTGAGAAAAGATTTAAACCAAAAGAATTTTCCAAATAATTCGGCACAAGTGTACTCATAGCCTTTTTTTTAATTTGAAAGAAAAACAAATCAAAATCAAAATTAATTTTCATGTCTGTTTTTTCTCTATAGGAAATGAATGAACAAATACATACGGCAAATGGCACATTGACAACAGTGATATTGGCATCTAATGATAAATCATTTTTTTCTTCATCAAAATAAAAATATCTTCGTTCGGTAAAATTTACAATAGAATTATCATCATTGAAACCATGAACTTCATGAATGAAACGTTGTCTGAAATTGAAAAATAAATAAAAATGTTTTTATTATAAATAATGTGAAGAATTTTTATAAAATGAACACAAAAACAAAAACTTACTTAAAATAATATCGTCCAGTTTCTTTGATTTTTAATTTTTCCAGACCATTTTCAACTGCCCATGGATTTTCAATATGAAAAAAATGTATACCAACTTCAGTTGGTTCAACTGATTGTAGCCAAAAATTATAAAATTCTCCATTTGGTTTGATATTAATGAATGTTTGTAAAATTTTGGTCACTATTAAAGGTAGATAAGCATAACACAGACATGATAATAATGATATTATGAATGCTATAAGAATGATCCATGATTTGGAATTAATACGGCAATTAATTTTTTGACCAATTCTTGGCAAAGTTGTATCAATGTAAACTTGATCATTGAATCCGGTATCATTGGAATAACATGATGTAGCATTCGATGCCGATCTAGAATGTCCACTAGAACGATTGTCCATTTCTAGGACACCGCTATCACGGCTCAGGTTACCGAGTGATTGATTTTTCACTGGTGGTCTCATTGTCTTCAAAGATGACTATTTTTTTCTGTTGAATATTATCACAATAATTTTTTGATTTTTTTTTTTGAGCAAACTAAAGAATAAAATGCACCGGGTAACTTGTTGTCGTTGTTTGATTATTTGTTGATGATTGAATGAGATTCCAACATGGAAAAATCAAAATGAATTTGTTCTCAACAGCATTTTGTTGAAATGACCAAAATTTTAACGAAGAAAAAAAAATCTTCTGAATTAGACACACACGATGATCATGATGATGATGATGATGATAATAAATAAATAAATAAATAACAATGATTTTTTTTTTTTTGATTGAGTAGATGAAAAACAGTTGAATGTTTAGGACTAGCTGTAATTTCGAATTTGAATTTAAATAAATTTATAAAAAAACGGCACCCAAAAAACCAGGTTGTTTATAATGATGATGTAGCAATGGGCGATATAATTGATATGAATCGGAAGATCTGAGTATAAATGTTTTGCTTTCGACTTTTAAATATAAAAAAAAAAATAAACGATCTACAATACCTAATCAATAACAAATTGGTTATCTCTATGATGATAATGTTTTATTTGTTATCTTGAATAATCACAAGGAACATTTTTGGAAAATGCCGGTAAAATGTGTACACACATCATATACTTGTAACGATAACAACAAATCATCAAACAAGAAAAAGAAAAAATAAAAAAAAATTCAACCGATTATATTTATCATCATCATTAAACTAAAACACAGAATCCATCCAAGTTACACACACACACACATACAATCCAACCATCGATACATCCAAAATATACTACTGCAAACTATAACCGCCCTCAATCACTGAAATGGTTAAAAACATTGAATGAATGACTAATACACACCATATACACACTTATTATCATGATTAGTAGTGGTGGTGGTGGTGGTGGTAGTATCTTTTTCTTTTTCTCTTGAAAAAAAAAATTATAACCATTTTTTTTCCATCATGTTAAGCAAGCTACATTTTCCATTGAATGTTGTTGTGTTCATACCATGCAACAATAAATACAGAACATACAACATAAAAATCCGATGAAATGTATCGCGCGGACAAAGAAAGAGAAAAACGGTGTTGTACAATGATGATGATGATCATCATCATCATCGTCATCAGTTTATTATCATTACACATTTGAGTTTGTATTTAACACACACACACACATAGACAGACAGACACATGTCTAAATATTCAGAAGAGTTTTCAACATACAACGATTTTTTTTTTTTTTTTTTTTGAAAATGGTTAAAAAAACTCGTATGATGAGGTGGAGCCAATAAATAACAACAAACCAAATAGACAAAAAGAAATAAGGGAATGAAAAACAAAGTGGGAAAAAGAGAGAAAGAATCTCCTGTTTTTTTTCGATGCAATTGCACATTTGATGTCATCATCATCATCATCATTATAACATGGTGCATACCAACATTTTACTCTTTTTTTTTGATCTTGTTTCATTATTATTATCATTCAATTCAAATGAATAACACATTACCGTTTGTCTTAGACATGAATATATGAATGCTGCTTTTTTTCAGGTCCAAATTTTATTTGAAATGATAATAATAATCATATATGTGTCCAATGAACAACAACAAAGAGACCAAGTGTTTTATTTTTCCTTCATTTTTGCATGAAATAAAATGAAATGAAAAAATTTCACACAAATATAGCTTAATAGAGAAACGGATATGAGAGAAAATTTTGTGCACAAACACCACAGACACATAAGTTATTATCATCATCATCACCTTGGTTAGTTGTTGTTGTTGTTGTTGGTATATACGAAATCAAATAGATACAAACTGACTTGTAGTTGTTGTTGTTGTTGTTGTTGTTTTAGACATTTAGCTATTTTAGAAAATGAAAACTAAAACAAGTTCCGTGTCCGCTATATATAGTCACTAGGATTATTGGAAAAAAAGCCGGTCATTCGAACAAAAACAACAACTAACAACTGTCCAAATCATCATCATCTCTTAATATAATTAATATTTTCCAATGAAATAAAAACAAAATGAGAATTAGGTTGAAAATAGTGGTGTCCATTGGATACCGACCAATGGACGGACTTTTGTTTTATTTTTATTTCCCATTTTCTATAACATTTGTGTTGGATACCCGAATGTGTTGTATAATAATAAGTAGTTTAGAAAGTCACCAGTATCATGTGTGTGTGTGTCTTATTAAATGGCGAGACCACAGCCATAACATTAGAATTTTGTTGGAATTTCCAAAGTTCAATGTTCTCTTTTTATTCACGAATGATCCAAAAAAAAAAAATTGTGTTCATGCAGAAAAAAAACCCACTGACCACGTTGCAGTGTTTGACGCTGGCGCAATATCGATCATCTTGTACTGGATTTTTTCTCCCCAATATCGATGAGAGATCCATAATAATAGATAAAGATAATTTCTTACGAAATGAAAGAAAAGAAAATTCTCTGCTTTCTTCTTCTGTATTGTTGACAATTCATGGACAAATAAATTCCAATTGATTAAATTTCATTTCGTCTTTACAATCGGAAATTCAGATGTGCCATCTTTATCATTATTTTTTTCTGCATTGTCATTGACTAAACTGAATCTAAAATGATCATATTTGACAAGTTCATTATATTAAGTACAGATTCTAGGTACAACAATTTCGATTACATCATCATCATCATCAGACAAGATGAATTTTGTTTCCAATGAACTATTCTTGAATACCGAAAACAATGATTGGATTTCCTTTTTTTGTTCTTCAGAAAAAAATGACGTTAATCAAACATACACACACACACACACACACACACACAAACACAATATACACGTCAATCATGAAGTTTGGTATTCGAACAAAAATATCGAATATATTCGATTACAAATAATGATGATAAAAAAATGAACCGATCAAACTGAAACGATCAAATAGGGAAAAAAATCGTTAGGTAAATAACCATTTATAACAACAACTGAACCAATCGATAAAAACAATCACGACAAATAAGACAAATTGTTTAACAAAAAAAAAACATTAAATAACACACGTACACATCAGGTGATCATCATTGGTTTATTCGTCAAGGTTTTTTTTACAACCCGTTTATCTTATCGTCAATATTAACAAAAGAAAGCGAGAGGAAATTTTTTTTTCCCCTTTAATATTTGTTTGTTTGTTTTGATTGTTGTTGTTATTTTTCGGTAAAAACAGAAAATTTGATTCCTTTTGTTGTTTGCTGTGTGTATTGATGATGATGACATTGATGAACACAATATAAATAATAACAAATCATTTATTTTGACATTGTTCCAATCAATCAATCGATTGATCATCATCATCATCATCACACGTATCTCATACCTATGGATAATATTACACAAAAGTAAACATTATTATCCATTGTGAATTTTGTTAACCAGAAAATAGAAATAAAAAAATTCAATTCGATTCATATGATCAATTCATGTGTGATCAATGTTTGTTCGTGTGACGAATCATGATCAATGATTACAAACAAATTTGTTCTGCCAAATCATTCGATTATTATCCAGATAAAGTACTAATAATCGTTGATAATTAGTGAATGATTGGTGAATTTTTTTTTTTGCCCATTAAAATTTGTCCTTTCATTTCTGTCATTCACTTTCAATGATGATGTTTTGAAAAAAAAACATTGCATGCAATGTTGGACCCAAGAAAAACGTCATACTATCATATGCTAAAATGATCATCGATTGATGCTAGATGCCAAGAGCAAGAAAAAAAATGAAATTTTTTTTTTTTGCGTTGGCCATTGTCGTTATCGTTCAAAAACAGGAAAAAATTAATATTAAAAAAAAATTAACGACCAAAAGCACATATACACAGGGACATACATATAATCGTTTTATGTTGAAATCGTCGAATTTTATTCGACAAAAAAAAAGAAAAAATGAATTTTATTTAAAAATGTGGTCATTATTTTGAATTTGCCTATCTAAAAAAGAAAGAATTTGAAATTTTTCCATCCTGTTGAATGTGTCCTGTGGCTCACTCTCTTGTAATTGTTTGCAAACATTTCATCATTTGGGTTCTTCATTTGATTTTTTATTTCCATTTCCATCGATCGTTTTTGTTTGTGTTCGTTTCATTCGATAATGGCATGAAAAAAAAATCATACGATTTCCAATATGATTATCGTCAACAACAACCGAAAAGAAAAAACAGGAAAAAAAATCCAATATTTTTCATTTCAATGATGCAATTTTTATAAATTGTATGTAAAGTAAAACAAGTATAAAAATAAACAAATGACAAATTTTGATGACGTTTGAAAATCTAACGTGTTTTTGATCATACGAGAGGGTGGATAAGTATGTGGGAGGGAGAATCATGGAAAAGAGAAGAAATTATTATAGAAAGGAAAAATACAATCATCATCATCATCATACGACAAAAACAATAACAAACTAACAGCAACAACAATGATAATTGTTTGGAAACGAAAAAGAGAAAAAATCGATCAGATTGATATTTCCCATTGTAATTATAATTTTGTGAATCTTTTTTTTCTCTACAAACGTCTTGCATGATTGCAGTTTGCGCTTTGTTGTTGATTGTTTTTCAAAGGAAAATATTCATTGAATAAATACGGGAAAAAATGAACCTAAAATTGAACGTTCTTTGGTTGTTCGATTGATAATAATGATGATGATCATCATCATCATCATATGAAAGGAAAATTATCATCGAATAAAAACCAGACGATGAATGACGAAATTTTTATTTGATAATTTATTAATTTATCGATCTGATGATGATGAGTTCATTTGATTTTTTTTTCTTGTTTAACATGAATAAACATTATTCATCACAACATTATTGGTGTGACGTAAATTTATCTAATCACATTATTAATGATTATGATTATTATGATGATAATTGAAGGGACAACCGATGCAAAATACTACAACATTCGATATATGGTGAAATAAATTCAGCTGATGATATTTTTTTAAAAAAAATTTCCCAAATAAATTAAACAAACAACATCATTAATTATTAGATACACAGTGCAATTATTATGAAATTCATCTACGAAGTTTGCTATACAGAATTTTTTTTTATATCTGAGAAGTAAAAAAATTTTCCAAATGAAATTCATCGACTATGAAATCGATAGATGTTTGTTGCACCTATAGGGCAAATCAACATCAACAACTTGTTTTAATTTTAATTGATCTCTAAAACGAAAGGAAAAGAAAAACAAAAAAAAAACAAACAACTTGTTTGTTTCCAATCATCACTCAAATCGACAAACTGGTTCCAAATATTTTCATATTTTTTTTTTTAATATTTTGTTTTGTTTTATTTCTTTATTTCTCCATGACGTTTGACCTAGATGAAAGTCATGACACTGGGCTATATAGAGACAATGGATTGCTATTATTTTAATCATCATGTTATAAATGCATTTAGAAACAAAACAAAAAACGTAAAAAAATCATATATACGATATATGAATATAACATATATATATTCAACAATTTTTGCATGACTAATTTGAATACGTTTGACCACACACATGGTGAATATAATTTTGATGAACGGAAAAAATCAAATTAAACTTTCGGATATCTTGTGAAAATGTGAGAAACAAAAAGAGAGAGAGAGAAAACAAATATTAGTATGGAAAAAAAAGATTTTATAGGTTCATCAAAAAAAATGTCAATTACGCGTTAAAAAACGTTTTTTATTGATGAGTTTTTTCTTTTTTTGATTGGTCCATTACTTTCAATATTGTATCATCCCACACACACATTATTTTAATCTTTTAAATTTGTTAACAAATAAAAACAATAAATGATCCTAAAAGATGATAATAATTAAATATAGGTGCAAATATCATCATATTTTCCTTTGATTCAATTTTGATATTTATTTTGGATAATTTCCAAGGAATTTTATTCTATTATTGAAAGGAAAAATTTCCGGAAATTATGTTTGTGATTTTACACTCGAATTTTTTTTTTTGATGTATAAACCATTGGGAATTTGTCTTTTCCATCATTGAACTTTGTCATTTTTTACATTTTTACTGACTGATAATTTTTTTTGATCTCTACCAAAACGTTTTATTCCGTTAGTCATAATATTTCATAGATTTCTAGTCCAATATTCAACGTTGCCGATTCCATTTTTTCAAACACAATATCACTGTAAATATACTTTTTGTTTATATTATTCGTCATTGTGACCTTCAATTTTTATTTCAATCAATTTATTTTAATTATATTCATTTTTAATTAGGTTTTTCTGTGAATATCCGAAAAATGTCTGTACCAAATGTTCTTGCTAAAAAATTGTCCATTGACAAATTGAATTTGAAAGACAAACGTGTTCTTACCAGGTAGTATTTGATTAAATTAGTGGATAATTTTCATTAATAAAAAATCTATCAATTAATAATAGGGTTGACTTCAATGTTCCAATGAAAGATGGAAAAATCACAAATAATCAACGTATTGTGGCTGCAATTCCAACCATCAAACATGCTCTTGATAATGGAGCCAAAGCTGTAGTTTTGATGAGCCATCTTGGTCGTCCGGATGGTTTTCGTAATTCGAAATACTCTTTGCGACCAGTTGCCGAAGAAGTTAGCCGATTGCTTAACAAAAATGTCACCTTTCTGAACGATTGTGTTGGTCCTGAAATTGAAAATTCTTGTGCCAATCCTACACCCGGTTCGGTAATCCTGTTGGAAAATCTTCGATTCCATCTTGAAGAAGAAGGAAAAGGAGTCAATCCAGAAACACAGGAAAAAGTCAAAGCAACACCAGAAGAGATTGAAGCTTTTCGAGCATCATTAACTCGTATGGGAGATGTTTATATCAACGATGCTTTCGGTACAGCTCATCGAGCTCATTCATCGATCGTTGGAATTGCTCTTGAAGAGCGAGCTTGTGGATTTTTAATGAAAAAAGAATTGGATTACTTTTCTAAAATTCTCTACGAACCGGAACGACCACTTTTGGCTATTTTGGGAGGTGCCAAAGTCAAGGATAAAATTCAATTAATTGAAAACTTATTGGACAAAGTGAATGAAATGATCATTGTCGGTGGTATGGCTTTCACTTTTTTGAAGAGATTGAAAGGAATGTCCATTGGTAGCTCATTGTATGACAATGAAGGAGCTGAAATTGTTGAAAAATTGGTGGACAAAGCTAAAAAGAATGATGTCCAACTTCATTTTCCGATCGATTTTGTTACCGGTGATAAGTTTTCTGAAACAGCTGCTGTAGGTCATGCCACTTTAGAACAAGGCATTCCCGATGGATGGATGGGATTAGATTGTGGTCAGGCTTCAGTAGAGCTATTTAAATTACCTCTATCACGAGCCAAAACTATTGTCTGGAACGGGTAAATACATTTTCAATTTTCCTTTAAATCTATAGATTATTGATATTTTACATTTTACATTATATAGCCCTGTTGGTGTATTTGAATTTGATAATTTCGCCAAAGGAACCAAAGCTGTTATGGATGCTGTTGTGGAAGCTACACAACGTGGTGCTACAACCATCATTGGTGGTGGTGATACGGCTACTTGTTGTGCAAAATGGGGAACCGAAGATAAAGTCAGTCATGTTAGTACTGGTGGTGGAGCTAGTTTGGAATTATTGGAAGGCAAACTATTGCCAGGTATTGCAGCCCTTTCTGAAACAAAATAAATGATCATCTGGAATTTGGAACATTTCACTTTTAATCTTAGTACAATTTATCTCTAGTTTTATTCGAAAATTTGTTTTGTTTTTTTTTCTTTTATCATTTGCTTTGTGAAACACATATTTTAACAACGACAACAACAGCAAAATCGAATTTACATTATTATTAAAATATTAGAAACATTCTAGACAAATAGAAAAATCATTAATTTTGTTTGAAATTTGAAATTGGATAATTGCCACCATAAATTTTCAGATGTTCTTTAAGCTCTTCAGCTTGTTGCATCAACGATTTTGGCATCACATCATAAACATCTTCAAACATTTCCATATAATTTGGTTTTGGTAATTTTTCAGCTTTGACGAATGCAGTCATCACTAAACGTTTTGCTTCATTTTTCCAACATTTTTCAAGATCTTCATCCCACCATCCTTTTTGTTCAAGATATTTACGTAATCGTGTGATTGGATGATCTTTTTGATCCCAGCTTCTAACTTCATCCACACTTCTATATGCACTTGAATCATCAGATGTTGAATGATGGCCAATTCGATATGTCATTGCTTCGATTAAAACTGGTCGTGATTCTTCTAGGCAAATTTTTTTCGCTGCTAATGTTGCATTATAAACTGCCAAAACATCATTACCATCTACACGAATTGATGGTATACCATATGCTGGTCCACGACAAACGATACCATCACCACGATATTGTTCATGTGTAGGTGTCGATATGGCATAGCCATTATTCCGACTAATTTTATGAAATTGAATTAATTTTTATCAAATGTAAACAATCGTGTACGTACCAAAAAAATATTACAGGTGCTGATAATGTTGCGGCAAAATTCAATGCAGCATGAAAATCACCTTCGGATGCAGCACCTTCACCAAAATAACAAATGACGACACGTTGTTGATTCTGTCGTTTGAATGCATATGCAGCACCAACCGCTTGTGGCATCTGTGTAGATAATGGTGATGATATTGATACAAAACAAAGATCTCTTGTTCCATAATGAACAGGCATTGATCGACCTTTATGTAAATCTTCACTATTTCCATAACATTGAGCCATTAGTTTATCAATTTCGAATCCTCTCCAAATCAGTACACCTACAATAAAAACAATTAACATTTTTTGGTTAGAATGCAAAAAAAAAATTCTACCAGCTTCACGATATTGTCCAAAAACAAGATCATTATTGGAAATTGCTGCAGCTGATCCAAAATGTGTTCCCTCTTCACCATAGTTGGTCATATAAAATGATATTCTTCCTTGTCGTTGTGATTCATAGAGAACACGATCCATTGAATTCAGTAGAGTCATTCCTTTATATATTTTGGTCATAAATTCTTTATCTAGATTCGGATCTTGTTTCTCATCCAATACTAAGCCATCACGATTCATAACACGATAAACTGGTATGTTTTCAAAATGATCTGGATCAAAAAATTGAAGATTCGTTACGAATTTTGATCGTGCACCTGGAAATTCTGCTTCATTTTGATCATTAATAATCGAAACATTGTGCGATTCTTGTAATATGCTTTGTTGACTTTGTTGTTGTTGTTGTTGTTGTTGAGATTCAGCACAAAAAGTTCTTTGGTTTATGAACAAATTGATATTGTTTACATTGAATGTTGTTCGAATTTTATTGGAATATGATGAACTAGAATGTTGTGATAAAAATTTTGATCCATTTTTACAGATGTTACAGACAAATGAAGTAGAACGATAAAGTTTTAACATTTTGACCACCCATACAGTAATAATATGATGATGATGATGGGAAAAAATCTATGTGGTTTTCGACAATATTAAATAATCGAATCTGAATCGTATAAAATATTGTCATGTCATCAGGAGAAAGAAATTGGAAAGAAAAAAAAAAGAAATCTTGTTCTTATATGTTTATTGAAAGGATTCGAATGTTGTAATGATCAAATATATATCTTATTTTTGCTATAGTTTCTCATTTACAATTGCTGCTGTATGTATGAAGAAATCTTCGATCATAAAGCCTTGATGATAACGGATCTCCCCATCACAATTTTTCATCAACATCAAACTGATAAAACAAGTAAACACTTTCAAGGCTATCATCTTTCATTTCATTTGTTGCCACTATGAGTGAATTTTATTTATTCATTTGATAATCAATATGTTCCGGATTAGATGCCACTTGTTTGAATTCCTTTTATTTATCAAAATTTTTCCCATTGCACATATGTCTAATGCTAGTTGTTTTTCGTCAGTCAAAAATTTTAATTATATTACTTGTTGAATTTTTTTTTGTTGTTCTCAATACAAAAAAAAAATTTTGATTTCAATAATTAAATCCAGTAATGTCATTCTTACACAGGTAGATTTAATTTACAGAATTTATGAATGTTACATTGTTGATGACGCGATTTCAGAATGTTTTTGTTTTTATTTTTTTTTTCATAAAATTCAGGTTGGAATTCACTCTTCCATGATATTCTTATTTGGTGAAGATGATTTTGGGTTGTGATTTTTTGTTTTGTGAAAATCCACGATAATCATGCCGTGACATAATTCTAAATTATGGTTTAAAAATGATAAATGTATTCGAGTTCTTCGAAATCGTAAAATCTTTTTGACAAAATTCGAGATTTTTTTTTGTACAAAAACAAAATTCTAATTACAATTTTTTCAAGAGAAAGAATAAATTTCTATATGGTTTTTAAAAATAGAACCTCTTCGATGTGTATATTGGAAGAATGATGACAAAAAAAAGCTATGACTTAACAGTTTTTTTTGTTGCCAATGTTTTTTCTATGAAAAATTTTTATACGAAAGCAAAAAAAAAAAATTTTTTATTCCACATCATCAAATACTATGGCAACCATAATGATTTGAATGTTTAAATAAACAAAATAAAAGAATGCAAATCAACAAAATTACAGCATTAATTTTTATCACATCATCATATCGAAAGTAAATTGTGGCTACGGAAAATTTTCCAATTTCAATCAAATATAATTACATTATATTTCGGTCGCGTTAAACCATTCATCAATTTTTCAATATCGACATAATAAAACACATATAATACGCACACAATGGATACAAACATGAATAAATTTGATGAATCTTTGTATACGATCGAACAAGTAAAACAATTATTTCATTGTTTAGATAATAATGATGAAAATTTATTGAAAAAATTCTGTGATTTTCTCAACAATTCATCCGATGATGTATTCACTATTCATGATTCTGTCACAAAAACTGTTTCAAATTCAACAACAACAAATTTTTCCTCAAAACATTTACGATCAAAAACATTCCTAAATGGTGAATGTGAACCAAATGAAACTTTCGAATCGGATGTTGAATTCAATAGAATCATATCATCATTATCAAACAATATTCGGAATATCCAAATGGAATTCAATGAGAACAAAAATTCAACCAACTGTGAAGTAATTAATTCATTTTTTTCAAAATCTAATTTGATTCAATGTGATCTAGTCAAGATTAAAAAATTTCTAGTTCTTAAAGCTGCATCAAGCAGTGAACGAAAGAAAAGTCGAAAAGATTCTACATCCTGCCAATCTACTTATAATGGTTATATTAATCAAATAATGAGCAATAGATTTTTGTTCCTACAATTAGTACATTTTGAATGTATCATTTTCCATTATTTGAAATGTATTCAACAAACATTTCCAACACGTAGTACATTATCACAAGATGTGTTATTATCTCAACTACAATGTTTATTTCGAAGTTATTATGCATTGATAATCAAACTTTCTTATGGTGAGTATTTCCTTGTTTACTATCAACAAATTATTAATATTCATTCATTTATTGTTTAGAATCACAATTTGTTCAATTAGTACGAATATTACATCAGCAATCCTCAACAATTACTTCGGGTATTTTGTGTCAATATTTTGAATTGATCGATAATAAATTGAATCATGAAAATTCGGGCAATAATAAACAACAACAGGAAATATTAGATTCAATCATTAACAATAGATCCATTGTGATCATTTTGGATTATGTGATTATTTTGAATCGATTAGGTACAATTATTCTTGTGTTAATTTTATCTAAAATTTTAAAACTTTTTTCTTTATTTTAGAATTGTCATGTTTTAAAGAAAATATTTTTAACAATATCATACCGGAATTTGTTGTTAATGACAAGAATCGATTCGATTTTGATGAGAATTGTCATATTATTCGTGAATATTTAAAACAACATAATCATGAACATTTATCATCACAAATCAATCTAGTCCGATTCGGTAACTTGGTGCTTGAGAAATTTTGTTCGATAAACAGGTTTATGGAAAAATCAACACTTAGATCTCGTATAATAATAATGTTGTTTAATGTTTGCCGTAAATGTAAGATGTTGGAAAAAATTTTTAAATTATAAAATATTCACTCGTTTTATATTTTATTCATAAATTAGTAAGATATGATTCTGATCGTTTCACCACTGCATTGATCTTGTCACCGACACTCATTGAATTGTTGGGACATTGTAATCTATATCATATGGAAATCTGTGAACAAAAATCATTATTAAATTTAAGAAAAGAAGATATCATTCAATTAGAAATTGGAGAAAAATTGATAGAAAAAGATAGTCAGCTAAAGTTTTATGTTTCAGTGTTACGTGATATCTATGGAATTGTATCGTTATTGCTCACGTTTACCGAATCATTAATCACCAATGAATATTTTCGATCATTAAAAATGGCTGAAGTATTATTTCAAAAATTTATGCATCCTTTTGTATGTTCTTTGAATGGAACAGAAAATGATGACCCCAATATAAATGATGATTATCGATACAATATGAACATCGAAACAATATCTGAAGCCTATAAAATATCAAATTTCTATCGAAAGCAATTTGATCGTGTAATACACTATGGAAATCGTCTAGTCGTCATGTCCAGTATGTTCATACAACGTTTACTACCGTCTATAATATTACCAATCGAAGATATTCGTAATCCATTTCGATTTCAATATGCACCGAATTCGCAAACAATTGTCAAACAAATAAGCGAAGATCAAGAATATGAAGTAGAGGAAGATTTGTTAATCTTTCCAGGTGGTAGTGATGAAGAATGTTTAGAATCGGAATTATTTTCCGAAAGTGAACTTGAAGATACTAGTACTAGTGAAAATAAAAAATCTAAAGAAATTGATAGCTCACTTGCAAAATCTTATTTATGTTTTTTTCCTGAGACTAAATTCCATTTGAATGATCGCTCAAACGATGAACTTAAACTAAGTTGTTCATGTGATCAGGATCGTAGCGAAACCGAAATGCAACAATCAAAAAATAATAATGAAGCTTGTTTATCGAAAAATTCTGTCAACCAACACAATAAAATTGAGGATTTTAATTGGAAAGATACTTTTACAGCAATTTATGATTCAATTAAAACTGTCATACCTAAAGAAGTTTTTCCAGAACCAGAATTGAATTTTCATCAAAATAATTCATTGGTTCATCCAATGACATATCCATTTCTACGGAAAGCGATTCGTCTCAAGAATTATCATCATATAAAATTATTGGATCATGTTGGCCAACGATTGTTTCCCGATGAAAATTCAAAATATGAGATTGTCTATGATATTGAAAAACCGAACGATATGATCGATAAAAATCATCTGAAATTCGAATCACGTTTTGAATGCGGTAATCTTCGCAAAGCGTTCATACACTCAAGCACAAATAATGATAATGAAAAAGAATACATTTTAATCCTAAATTCTGATGTTAATTGTACATCACATACCCAATGGTTTTATTTTTACGTTGGACAAATGCAAAAAAATCAAAAATATCGATTCAAAATAATAAATTGTGAAAAGAAAAGTATTCTATTCAACAGTGGACAACAACCATTATTTTATTCGTGTCGAGAATTTGAAAAATCGGGAAAAAGTTGGCAAAGAATTCATGATGATGAGCCAATGAAAAACAATCGTTATATGGTGGCTTATTACCGAAATCATTATGTTAAAAATAAAGAATTTAAAAATTTGCTCAAAGGAAAATTATATTATACATTGGAATTTACATTCGAATTTCCATATGAAAATGATGATTGCTATTTTGCTTTCAATGTTCCATTCAGTTTTAGTCAACTAAAAACCTGTATCTCTTATTGGTCTTATATGGCCGATAATCATAATCGACGACAATCAGAAAATTCTGGTTATCAAATTTTTTTCGCTTCACAAACATTATGTTCAACATTAAAAGGCAACGATCTTCCAGTGATTACGATAACATCGAATGCTGAATTCAATATGAAACATTACATAATGATCACTGCCAGAGTTCATCCATCTGAATCAAATTCATCATGGATACTAAAAGGTTTCATTGATTTTCTATTACAATCATCTGATGATCAATCAATCGATGTGGCGAGGAAAAATTTATTAGATAAATACATTTTCAAAATAATTCCAATGTTGAATCCGGATGGCGTTATCAATGGCTGGTATGTGATTATTATTCTAATCTAATCGTTAAATTCAATTTTTTTTTTTTTCATAAAGCACTAGAACCGATCTACAAACAGAAGATTTAAATCGTCATTGGGGGGATCCATCACCTATTTTACATCCAACCATATATCATTCAAAAATGTTGCTACAATGTTTACACACTTATTCGGGTGGCCGAAATCCCGTCGCATTTCTTGACATGCATGGCCATTCAAGACGAAATAATATATTTTCATATAGTTGTTTTCCAATGTTATCATGGAAAAAATCTGACCAACAAAATTATTATAAAAAACATCTACAAAATCATATGTGTGTTTGTATGAATAGCACAACGTGTAAATTGAATAATCAACTAGAATCCGTTAAAAACAATATGGATGATCGCGTACATTTAGCAGTGCCGCCGTATCTTACAATTCCATTGATTCTAAAATATCAACAATCGCCTGCATTTGATTTGGATTATTGTTCATTTGCCATGCAACGAGATCGTGAACAAACTGCTCGATTAGTAGCATGTCGCCAATATGGAATTGTTTTGACTTATACAATCGAATGTTCGGCCAGTGGTTGTGATAAAGGTCCATATGCTGGACAAAATTTATCGATAATAGAAATGGAAGAAATGGGACAATTTCTGGCCAAATCATTCAATTTCATTCAATTCGTTTATTGTTCACAACAACATTTTCCATTGATACAATTACCAGATTGTCAAAAATCTATTTATCAACAAAATGTAAACAAAGGGAAAATTTCTGTCAGGTGAGTTTGGAATTAATAGTTGGAATTTTTGATTTATTAATTACTTTTTTTTTACTTTCAAACCTTCTATACATAGCAATACCATTTTGAACAGATGTGCACGATCAAGAACTCCGGACAAATCGACAACGCCGAAACAACAAAAAATCAAACAAATGATTACAAACTTATATCCAGATCTCATCGAAATGGACTCACATTTTGTGAATGAATAAAAATAGTAGCAATAAATATAAATAAAAAATATGGATGATTAATATTTACAATTCAATATATCATTATTGGAAATAATTCATCTCTGTTAAATTTTGTCCAACGTTTCTTCGTATTCATCACGATTTTTCGAATCTTCTGTTTTCTTTGTTTTATTAGATTTTTTTGGCTTCATCTTGACTGGGCTATCGTTCACTTTATTGCTCGAATCGTCATTCTTTTTATTAGTTTTTTTAGCTTTAGCTACTTTAACCACTTTCTTTCCGGTTATCAAATCATCAACCACAGAAGTTTTGACAGATTTTTTGCTTGATTTTTTCTTTTTACTAGCTTTTTCCGTCGATTCAATGATTTTCAAATCCGATTTTTTGTTTCGCATTTTATTCAAATCATTAATCACATCATCTAGATTCACTTTGGCTAAAGCTTTATGTGGATCAGATGTTGATTTAAAGGAGTCTTCTTCCTCTTCATCATTGTCATTCAGATCGACACCTTCGGGCATTTCTAATGCTCGAATTGAAATTTTATTGTCAATCTCTTCATCATCTTCATTATCTTCAATGACATTTATTTTTGTATTCTTTTTCTTTGGTGTTTTCTTTTTAGATTTACCATCATCTTTTTTCACATTATCCGTCTTTTTCATTTTGATTAAATATTTTTCTGATGAGGTTAATCCAGGAATAAGAGCTTTTTGTTTGGCTGAAGATGATTCATGCAAGTATGTTTCATTTTCGTCTGCGTCCTCGAACGTTTTCATTCAAATTCTCATCATGTTTATTCGATTTTCGTTTAGATTTTTTAATTGTTTGCTTCGATTTTGTTGTCCTTAAATAATTTGGATTATTTTCCTGTTCAAATCTTCTCGATTGTTCATTGTCATTATTCTTCTGGTGTCTTTTATCCGATTCATCTGACGATTCTACACCATCTTGTTCATCATCAACTAAATGAATAACTTTTTCATAATCATCATTGTAATCATCAGATTCATATTCACTTTCAGGCAAATCGAATAGTGTATCCAAATCTAAACCGACTGGTATTGGAACTTTACGTTGTGCTTTTGCAGCAACCGGATTCAATGGATAAGCATAATAAAATGATTGTAGATCAATCATCACATTAGATTCATTGCCATTCGTTTCACCATTAGCCATTTCCTCTGAATGTTCGTTCGAATCATTCATCAATAAATTCGCCTGTTTACCGATATTTTCATTTTTCATTGATTTAACGATAGCTATTATTTCGGATAATGTTGTTGCGCGTTCTTGTATTTCCAAATTTTGATTTTTAAATACGGTTTAATTAGTTCTTCAATTTCGGAACAAAGATTGTATGTTTTGGTCGAATTACAATTCGGATCAGCTGCTAGTTTGGAAAATATTTTAGATGCATTTTGAATAAAAACTGCTATGATATGTGGCTGAAAATTATCAATGGATAACAAATTTCGAATTGTTTTTTCTTTGTCAGGCAAATAACTGTTGAAAAAACAAAGATTTGATATTTGTAAGATTAACTTAAAAAAATCAATTAAAATTCATATTGAAAACTTACTCGGCAAATTCACCACATATCCAGGCAGCTGCATATAGCACTTCACAGACTGAGGAATTATTCATGAATAGAGAAGAATTTTCCAATAAAATGAACTGAAAAAATTAATGATTAGAAAATGATAATAAAAATTGTTAATTTATACCATTTGTTCGGTTGCAAACGACCGAATAGCATCTACACGAATAGAGACATCTAATATTTGCTGTGCAATCAAAACACCATGAATGGTGCCACCATCGACACGTGCCAGATCAATCAAAACACTTAAATACCTGGTAGATTCAAAACAGTCATTATCATACATATCACGATTTGCACAAAAAAAATACGAACCATTCAAAATTGACAATAAATTGATAATCGCTTTGTGAACAAATTTCAATCAATTTGAGGATTAATTCATCACGAAATTTATTCCCAATCTGACCTTCGGTAACATTTTTGACCAATTTCTGTACGATTTCCATTAAATTCTTTTTGGTAACCATACCGTAAAGAAGATCGAGTGCACGAAGACGAATCGATTCATCTTTATCATCCAAACATGCGAGTACCAAATCTTTATGACTTTGTACACTTTTTGGATGAGTTTTCAATATCTTATTCATAGCCAATAATCCAAGATATTTAAGATTTTGATCCGAATCTTCAATTAATATTCGCAATTTTTGTACACACAATTGTATGGATGCATTGTGATTGGGCAGACCAGATGAGATTGAAATCAAAACGGCAATCACAGTATTGATGCATTCATATAATAATGACATGGCCGATGTGCTAATTAAATTTCATTGATTGATTAGAATTTGTATTCAAAAATTTTTCACATGCTTAAATTATGAAAATAAAAATCAACTAAAAACAAATGTGATTACCTGTGTATCAAATTCGTTAAAGGTTCTATTAATTTTTTTCCTAGTCTAGGTTCAAGTGGTGTAAGTGCACCGAACTAATGGATAAAAATGGAACGAAATGAAAATAAATGAAAAACAAAAGAAAAAAAAATTAACAAAAAAAATTTAAAAAAAAATGAATGCAATGACCTATCATTATTTGATATTTAATTGAATCAAGTGTGCAAGGAAATTAAAAAAAAAACAAATCTACGGGTATAATAATAGATGCAATTTTCATTGAATAATTATCGAATGTGAGATGAATTTTTTTACCTTCGAATCAGCGATATGAGAGGATTGCTTAGCTTGATACCAAGCAATGGCTCATATTTAGTCATTACTCCAAACTTTTTGATAGCAAAAAAAATGGATCAAAAATTGAATTAATAGAGCATAATAATAAACCCTAATGTCTAATTTTTTAACGTATTACACTATTCAATTAAATATCAAATAATAAAGAATTCGAAAATGGACAATAGAAAAATACCAATTTGATGATTTTGATGAGCATCCAGTTGTTTGTTGAATTGGTCATTAATTTGAAAAATACAGGTGCCAATGAAAGATAATTTTTTGGATTTTTTCTTGCAAGCTCACAGATAACATTGACAGCTGCTGATTGAACACCTGGATCGGGATCCTCTAATTTTTCCTTCAATCTTGGGAATGCTGGTTTAAGTGCCTCAGGAAATTTGAGAAAAATTTTATACATCAACAATATTGCTTTTTTACGTAGATATGGTTTTGTTGAACTCAACAATGTCATCACATCATTGGCTAAATCTCGGCTTATGTCGGCAGTGACAAAACATGCTAGGCCACTCATTGCACATCCAGCATCGTACATGTTTTGTGAATTTAAATCCTTACGGATCATGTTTGTCGTCAACATCATCACTTCGGTATTCTCATGAAATGATTGCGATGCAGCTAGGTAACCGATTCTTTTGTGTGAAAATTTTGTCGAACTCATCACTTCGATGATGTTGAAAGCCGACCAGCTTATATCATAACCTAACATTTGTAGCTATGTATGATTTCAATGATAAATTAGAGATGAACAAAAAAAATGCAAATGAAACGTTTTACTTACATAAGTCAATTTGGAAATTGCATTAGCTTTAATAAAAAGACTATCATGTCGTAATTCTTCTTTAATTTCTTCAATACATTGTTGAATGTATTTTGTCTGTATAGAGAAAAAAGAAATGGATTGAATAATGAACAAAAATCATGGATAATGTACCTCATTTTCTTTGTTATTACGAATACCACGGACAAGATCGGTTAATGTTTTGTCGAAAATTCGATCAAAATTTCCTTTCACTTTACGGATGTTCATTTTGTTAATGTTATAATTCGAGTATATCAATATATGGTCAAAATTTTTTTTGTTGATGCCGTTCTATTTCACTAGATGATTGAACGATTACAATGATGAAGCATTGAGGCGTTGATTGATTAATTCGTCGTCGATAGTGAAAATGTAAGCATAAAGTTTATTTATTTGTTATCACTATAAATAACGATCATATACAACGATAATCAAATCAGTATTTTTCCAATTTGTAATATATATAAATTTTTTTTAAAGCTCTTGCTCGTTGTTTGTTTGTATATTGTTGGTGAGTGAGTGTGCAAGAAGAAAAAATTAATAGCTGAGAAAAAAAAATCACAATTATTGATAAATCAAAACGAATGAAAATATTTTATTATTATTCGATTTTGATTGATAAAAAACATCATCATCATCAAAAACGGTAATAATTGTGTATGAATTTCAATTGTTGTTCATTTTTATATATATGAACAGAACGACAACCTGGCATTTACTCTGCATATAAATATTAAAAATAGCTGGAGCTATGCTATGAATCACATACATATTCGAATGCCAATGGACGAGTTTCATCGAGTGGGCGGGATTTATTATTAATGATATATCCGATTCATAAAATCAGTAACAAGAATTTTAATTTATTTAAATATAAATGTGAATTGATTTTATTTTCAAAAAAGAAAACAATGAATTATGAAAATTTTTTTACAGAAATATGTGAGAATTATTTAACAGTTTTGTTTATATTCATAAAACCAATACCAATACATGCGGCAATAATTTTTTTCGATCCAATTTTCATCATTATATTCGTTTCGTTTTGATTATCTTCATCATTTCTATTCAATGATTCCGATTCTAATTTAAATGTTAATGATGTAAATGTTTGTAAATGTCTCAACAATTGTATAGTATATGGACTTAATGGTCCAAATATTACTTTAGACAGATCACGATCGGTGAATGACATGAATATAGCGGCCATTCCTTGGTTGATCGTATTGATTGTACCACCACGATAGATATCGTTGAAAAGATTTGATACGGCTAATTTAGCAACATCTTCTGGAATCGATACACCTGTATTTGATTCAGCAGGTTTGGACATTGATTCACCCACATAGAACACTCCTTCAGTTGTTTCGGCAACCAGAGACAATCCGAAACCGGGAGATTTACCACTATTTTTTCCTTTAAGATGATCTGTATAAATATAAATGTCAGTAATGAATTTCAACAACATTCCTTTAGCTGTATCGACCATTCGATTGGCTATCTGTGGTGATACTCTTGTTGCGAATGCAATGCCACGAATTCGTTTAACTTTTCCAGGCATCAATAATTGAACGGGTTTTAAAACTTTTCGAACAGGACATTTGAACGAAACAATTCCACCACCACCCGGTTTAAGGCCACGTGAAATTATTTTCAATTCAAGTTGTTCTTCATCGAAAACGCCAAAAAATTGTCTCAATAATGGGATTGAAGAATGTCGAAGAGCATCGACAGATGGATCAATGGTATCATTTGTTATTCCATGTAATCGAGCTTCGATAGGAGTTTTACAATACGGTGCCAAAGGTATAAGAACTTCCAGATAATACCCAATAGATCGTTCAAGAGAACACCAATGTTCCACAGAGCCACCGTATAGTATTCCAGGTTTGTATGTGATTCGGGTGCCATTTTTATCAACCAGAATCGACGAACCATTGGTAATTTTTTCCAATAATTTCAGCAAGCTTATTTCATATTTCTGCACACCATATGAGGATGAATTTCTATCACGTATCTGATCGATGATTATTTTTCTTCTTGTTAATGTAGCAAGAATAATTCTTTGACGGAGACAATTACTACCTTGAAATTCGATAAAATCCATGTCGATTAATTTAGCGATGAATTCTGTTTTTGTTGAAACACAAGAATTCGTATTGAACGAAAAAAACGTGGTTATAGCTACTCATAATGTACGTAATTCAATTGTAAGACTTGCAAAATAAGCAGAATGTAGTTATGATGAGTTTAACCACTTGAGTAATCACTTTTTTAAGAAAATTTTTAATTATCATTTATGGGTTCAAAATTTTAATCTCTTCGTAGCAATTAAATATCGGTTAATGTTTGTGCCATGAATGTGAGAACAAATCAAACAACGTGATGGCCAAAAAAATTCAAACACAATCACAACAATCAGCCGTTCATTCTGTGGCTAATCGATTCTGGAAATTATCGTTGCTTGTCTTGCTCATTTCTATTGGTATTTATTATATTATCAAAGAATATCACCATGAAATGCCTACAAGTTTAAAACCATTAAATGATAAATTAAAAGAATTTCTCTACGAAACTTGGTATACACTGTCATTTAGCACAAATGTGATTTACAATAAATTATTTTACAACAACGATCGAACACGTTTAAATGTGATCCTTGAACAATTGTTAGAAGCTGAACATAATGTTTCCATATCAAAATCATCTCGTATTGCCATCGGTCTAGGTGTTTGTACGGATTTGGTTATCAGAGCACTTGATGTGTTGGATCAATTTAAATCACCTATCGATGCTAAACCACATGATCATATTGATAGCTGGAATAAATTTATTGAACTATTTGCCTATTATTTTCAACGTGGTGTTGCTTCCGAGTAAGGTGTTTATTTTGGTGTAATTTTATTTAATTTCAAATACTTTTTAAATTCTTAGGCGATATATAGAATCCAAAGAAGTGTTCAACAAATTGATCAGTTTGATTGATGAGAAAAAAATTCAAAAGAATGAAGCAATCGGAAGCAATGCACCGCTAATATCGATACGTTTCGCTCGTGAAGGTTTCGAAAATATTTTGTTAGGTGCTCAAATAACTGATAAATTGTCGAAAAAATTTCCAAATAACATTCAAATCAGTGGCCCAATAATCGATCAAGATGATTATCATGTGATATTGGAATATAATACAAATGAAAAATGGGACCAATACAAAAGTCCAAGAGCGAATAGATTGATTGTACATAGTGATGATAATAATGTTAAGTTATTGTCGAGGACCAAATTTTTCGAACAATTAAGACATTTCAAACCAGATATATTAGTTCTTACCGGTTTACATATGTTGGACAATAGCCCGATTGATTTTCATATACGAACACAAGCTATTGAAAATCTTGCCAAAGATTTAGAACGATTCCGTGAAAATAATCAAGCATTCCGTACACATTTTGAAATGGCAGCATTTACTGAAAATCGATTATTAGATTCCGTTGTGAATCAGATATTTCCACATATGGATTCCTTTGGCATGAACGAACAAGAAGCCGCTAATTTATTATCATTAATGAAATTTGGTAACATTTCCTATTCATCGAATCCTTTTCCACGTGTTGCACATGTTCTGGATGAAATGCGTGAATTGTTTGCATTATTAGAATCGATTGGAAATGGACGTGTAAGTCGAATTCATGTTCATACATTAGCCTATCAAGTAGTGATGACCAAAATTGATTCGAAATCCAAACAATCGATTTGGAAATCAAACAAAGCGGCCATGGCAAAAGCATCATTAACAGCTTATCGTTACACTGTAAGTTGAATGGCTTTTTTCTTTCTTCATACATTTCAATCATTTTTTTCAAATATTTTTCTCAAGTGTAATTTGCCTGAAATTGATTTGAAACGAGTGAATATACTTTTGGATGATTCATTTGCCATGACTATGGATGAAACAAATATTGAAAGAATTGAATTAGATCAAGCAATCAGATGTTGGGAAGAAAATATTGAATCCGAATTAATTCTCAATAAAACACGTGTTCAAATTTGTCTGGCAATCGGTATGGTTTGTACGGATGTTGTACAAACTGTTGGTGCTGGTGATAATATTTCTGGTAAGTTTTTTTGATGATATTTAAAAACATTATTGTATACAATTAAAACAATGTTTTTTTCAACTTTATTCTTATAAATATAGCTTCCGGATTGATGCTTCAAATATGATTACACTAAAGACCAATAATGATGATAATCACAATCAATCAATAATATTTATCGACCAAACAAAAACAAAAATTCATTCATTAATTTTTTTTTTTTTGCTCAATTTTATTCGTTTCTATGATGTGCAAAAAATAAAAAAAAAATTCTCAATCAATCAATACACATTTAAAACTAATATATATATGGTTAACCATATGTTTTATAAAGATTGAATATATAAAAAAAAAATTACATTTCCATTCAATCAAGTAAAATACAATGGCAAGAAAAAAATGGTGGAATTGGAAAGCAAAACGTTGATATTACAAACATTGATGAAAATTTTAATGTCATTATCATCATCATCATCATCATTGTACGTCATTTTTTAATTATATATGTAATGGAATCAAAATTAGTGTAGTGTGTTCAATTAAAAAAAAAGTAATGTTATGATATCATTTTTTTATAAAAAAAAACCATAAATTAGGAAAATTTACAGAATAGAAATCATGTTTTTTTTTTTTTTGTTTCACTGAATCGCCCACGAAAAGATTCCGGTATATTCCATCGATTCAATTATTTTTTTTTTTGAGATGAATTTGTTTTTGTGAAAAAATTTCCTAAGAAAAGTGCATTAAGAATTTTTTTTTTTTTTTTTTTTGATTGAAAAATTAACAAGATGTGTGCAAGAAGATACATGCAACGTATAAATTGGGTAAAAAATAAAAATAAAAAAGAACAAGAAAGACACAAAAATAAATGGGGGAGAAGCAATGCTCTTGCCATTCAATTTTTTTTTCTATTTGCGAAGAAGAACTCAATAACATACATACAGATACACACACACACACACACACAAAGTGAGAGAGAGAGAGAGAGAGAAACCATAATCATTGAATATCAAGTAAAAAAGCCTGCCACCACCAACGAGAAAAACAACGATACAACCAACCAAATCAACGATCATCATCATCAGCAGAAGTATTGACGACAAGAGCCATCCATCCAACATTCATCAAATATTACCGTCATCATCATCATCATCATCATCATCAATAACAACAACATCATCCATAAAAACCAAAAAACAGACACGAGAAAGAGAAAAAAACATCCAAATCCATCGTAATTTTTTTTTTTCTTTACGAAGACAACGAACGCAAAGATAAAGTGAAAAGACAACGATCAATAAAAAACGAAAAACTTAAAAACAAGATAATACCACCATCAATAATCATCGAGAATCTCCTTTTTTTCTGTTTATCATTTCATACATAAAATCAATATATACAATAACAACGACAATACGCGACCATCGACTATTTTTGAATGATAATCATTCATTCATTTGGGTATTTTCATTCAATGATTCGAATATCAACCAAAGAATTCTGGTTTGTTTTTTTTTTTTTTTGTTTCTATATATTTTGTTAATTCCTATTTGATGATGATGAACAAAATAATTCGAATGTACGAATTCGATCATACAATTTTCCCTCTCATTATATTAGTACTCATGTTTCATAACTATAATTATTTTTGATTTATTAAAAAAACAAACAAATGAACATGAAGATGAATGATAACAAGTATACAGTTGTAATGATTATAATAGAATCTCTGTGTTTGTGTATGATTGTATTAGCAGCATTTGTTTTCTAACATTAAAGACATTGAATTTAACCAGTCATAATAATAATGATGATGATATTATCATCACTAAGAACAATTGAAAGGTTATAGTAATATTTTACCATTCTTACATCATAGAGATTATCGTAGAATTCCATTGTGGATTGGATATAAAATAATCAATATCAAACATCTGTGAAAAATCATCATTTTAATCATTGATCATCATTCGTCATCATAATTGTGTGGCCTTAATAAATTTTACATTATATATCATTAATATTAACAACATTATCATCAACAACACCAAGAAGACATTTACATTGACAAATCATCAACATCATCATCATCATCATCATCATCAAAATTATTTAGGTAAATTTTTACTACAATTAACATTCAATGTTTTATTTGTTGTTTTTTTTTTGTTCCAATGATGATGATTCATATTCATATTTTCTACGATAGATAATGAATTCAGAGAAAAAAGATTGCATTTAGGCATTGTTGTTGTTGAACATATTTTTTTTCAAAAAGCATCATCATTATCATTATTAGCTACAACACTTCATATGTCCCTTGTTTTGACTGCTAGTGATGAGTGTTTGTGATGTCATTCTTGGGTATTTTTTGTTTTGTTGTTGTTGTTGTTGTTGATAGGACGCCAAAGATATCGATTCATCAATCATTGTCTTTTGTTATGGATGTGTCATATTTGATTCCATTTCATTTAATCTCATCATCACTGAACATCAATATAAAAGATTGATAATGAGAAAATTATAATGCGCCACCATATTAGATAATGGAATCTTATCTTTTTTTTTTGCATAAGTTTTTATGTTATAGTAATTTTTTTGTATGATGTGTGTGTATGTGTGCGTGTATGTGTGTAGTAATCGATTACCATCGATATTTGATATTGATGAAATATATTCAATTCAATATATATATTATATTATATCTGAAAACTAGAAAATTATCACGAGCCTTTGCTTTCAATCAATTATTGTTGAGGCAAAAAAAAATTGTTTTTTTTTTGTATGGAATAGAAAATTAAATTATTGGTTATGAATTAAATTTTCTTCTGTTTTGTTTGTTTGTTTGTTCCTACAAAATTCTAATGTCAATTTTTCTTCATTTATATAGAATCTATTTTTCCATCCAAAAAACGTTGATTTTCGTGGTTATCATTTTTTTTATCGCTGTTATTATTATTCTCATATTTCCAACTACAATTGATTGACTCGAAATAATAATAATAAAAAACAAAAACATGGGAGCCATATTGGATACACCACACACAGAGAAAACGACCGATACCGGTACGGGTAATGATCTACGTTATGGTGTATGTTCAATGCAAGGATGGCGAGTTGAAATGGAAGATGCTCATTGTGCTAAAGTTGGTTTACCTGGTCTACCTGAATGGAGTTTTTTTGCCGGTATGTGGATAGATTTTTTTTATGTTTGGTTATAATTCATCTATATTTTTTTGTTCTATCTTTACTATATAAAAAGTGTTTGATGGTCACGCTGGTGCCTATGTATCGGCACATTGTGCTGAAAATCTTCTTAATACAATATTACAAACGGATAGTTTTCTTGATTATGCTGCTGCTGCATCAAAGTTATCCAAAGAAAACAATACGAATAATGGTGATGTTCAACAAACAACAACATCATCATCATCATCGCCAACACCAACAACATCTATTGTTGGTGATAATAATATTGAAAATAGCAACAAAAACAATCAACAAGTACAACAAAATCAAGAATGTGATCGAACCGAAAATGAATTGGAAACAATGATGAATTCACAAGCCACTGATGATGGCAGTGATCATAATTTAGAACGTATCAAATCAAACATACGGGAAGCATTCTTGAAACTTGATGAAAAAATGAAATCATTGCCAGAAGTAGAATCCGGGGAAGATATATCTGGTTCGACGGCAGTAGCCTGTTTAATATCACCAACACACTTATTTTTTGCTAATTGTGGTGATTCACGTGCCGTACTTTCCCGTAATGGCCAGGCTATATTCTCTACAAAAGATCATAAGCCAGTAAATCCACAGGAAAGAGAAAGAATTCAAGCTGCTGGTGGTAGCGTTATGATTCAACGTGTCAATGGTTCATTGGCCGTGTCCAGAGCACTTGGTGATTATCAATATAAACAGGTATGTTTTTATTATTATTTGGATTTCTATGAAAAAAAATTGTTAATGAATGTTTGTTTTTTTTACAGGTTGTTGGTCGTGGACCATGTGAACAATTGGTTTCACCTGAACCAGAAATAACCATCGTTGAACGTGATCCAAGTGCCGATGAATTTTTAATTCTAGCTTGCGATGGTATATGGGATGTAATGAACAATGATGATCTTTGTGATTTTGTTCGTCATCAAATACGTATACATTCAAATGTTGGTGAAGTTTGTTCCACAATCGTCGATACATGTCTTCATAAGGTATGAAAACAAAACAAAAAAACAATTCAAAATAATCAATGATTTTTATCATCATTATTATAGGGAAGTACAGATAATATGAGTGTAGTTCTGGTTACATTTCCTGGAGCACCACCAATATGTGAAGAAACTAAACGTAAAGATGAAGAATTGAATGAAAAAATCAAAAATGAAGTAGTTTGTATGTTTGTTGTTAATTCTTCATTTTTTTTTATCAACCGACAGATATAACTAACTAAATCAATTTCTTTTTCCTTCCATCGAATAAGGTCAATTGTTTCGTAATATGGAATTGTATAATTCAATATATCTTTTAATGCAATCGCTTAAAAATATTAAATTTGATAATCTACCTCCTGGCGGTGGTTTAGATGCAAAGTAAGCTAAGATAAACACATTATATTATTTGATTAATTGACGTTTAATTTTGACATTTTTTCTATATTTTTTTTTAATAACAACAACAAACAAAAAAAATTTAGACGGACACTGATCGAAGAAATACAACGACGACAAGTTGAAAAACGTAATAACAGAGTAAATAATGGCCAATGACGTAATCGATTTTTTTTCAGCCCCCTTATTGATTTTGAGCGATGTGCAAACTAAACACACACACACACCCAACATACAACAAACATACATACACACATTCAATAATAATAATAACGGATATAATATGCCAACAAATTTTTATTATTTTTTCTTCAGAAAAAAAAACAAAATTATATTTTCGATGAAATATATAAATCTACGAAAAAAAAATTGAGAGTGAAAAAAAAGAAAGAAAAAAAAATGTTACATTACACATCAAACACAAACACACGAATCACACAACACAGACACAAAAAAAAATTCAATTGAATTTTATCTGCCCCTTTCCCTTTCGATTGTCGATGTGTCTATATACATTTCAAATTAATTTTTATTATTATAATTGCTTCATTTGTTCTTAATAATTATAATTTTAACAGAAAAAAAAGAAACGACAACAATTCTGAAATTATTATTATTCGATTGATAAATTCGATGATTGAAAAAGTTGTGTAACAAACATGAAATGAATTTCGATGATTGATTCATTTCTTTTTTTTTACAAAAAAAAACACACAACCAACACCCAGGCTCAGGTTATTTTTTTCAGAAACAAAAGATTTTTTTTTCCTTTAAAATCAATCATCATCAGAGTTTTAAAAAACAAGGGTGGAATGCGTGTGTGTGTGTGTGTGTGTTGGAAATTGGATTGAAAAAAAAAATTAAAAACTCCAGCCACATTTTTTGTTGTTGTTGTTGTTGTTCCTGTTGTTGTTGTTGAAAATCCATAAACTAAAATTATTCGTTCATTCATTCATTCATTATATTTACTTATGAACTGTATGTATATTCTATTCTTTTTTTTTCTAATATTAAAAACCTAAAACACACTATTGCCAGAAACAATTCAAAGAACTAAAATCAGTGTGAGAGAGAATTGAGATTGGTTATATAGAATTTGAATTACATTGTATAGAAGTGAATTTAGAATCTTTTTTTTATTATAATAATAATGATGATGATGATGTGCACTGTCTAATTCTGTGTTAATGATCATGATGATGATGATGAAAATATATTTGCAAAAAAAAACTGGAATTTTTTTTCCTTTCAAAATTCTGTAAAATGTGAATAATTTTTTTTCTCTCGTTCTTTTTTGGATATTGAATTTTGAATCAAAAACACAAGTATAACACACACACACACACACACACACACACAAACTCAAACATCTTATAATTTGAAAAAGTCTGATATATGAAATTATAATAATAACAAGAATATGTCATGTTCAAAAAAAAATGTTTAAAAATGAATTTTTGTTGTATTGTTACAAATTAATTGACAGATGACGTATGATGTATATTGAATATGATATGAATGAACAATTTTTTCTTCAATTCAAATTCATTATTGAAATTCACATTCACAATATGTCAATCAAATCAATCAACAAAAAAAAAAATTTTGTCATTCATTTTTGGTATATTTGTTGCTTGTTTATTTCCTTCTTTTTTTTCTCATTTTGTTTTGCTTATATTCATTGTCATTCATTCATTGTGAAAATATTACCATCATTTCAAGTTATATATTCGAATTAAATTTACTAGATGGCGTTGATGATGAAAAAAAAAAAATATTTTTGAATACATATGTGTGTTCATATTTATTCGAATCTGCGATTGATCATCAATTTTCAGTCATCGTTATGTTATTACATTATTATTTTTATCTTATTTTGAAAAAAAATTAAAAAATTTATACAAAATTTTCAAAAAGATTTTAAAATTGACATTTCATACTGCATTAAACGACAAAAAAAATTCTTCGAATCAAATTTCATTGTTGATTTCCATAAGTTTCCAGACCATAAGTATGTCAACTCGAATCTGTGCGTGGTTTCTGATCAAAAGTTATTCGTTTATTTGTTTCGATAATGTTTTCAACAAATGTCATCCTAAATTAGGTGAGTTCTAATTAAAAATCATCAAATTGAATAATTTTTTTTCAATCATCAAAAATATAGTGATTTTTATATCGCAAATCATTAATGAAAGTTTCATCAATCAATTTCAATTAGACAATAAAGTTTTGTCATTGAATGACGGAAATGTGGTTTTTTTTGCCCACGGCAAAACGATTTTAAATTGAATAACTTTTTCATTTGTCTTTTACTTTCAAACGTCAAAATATGTGAATGTTCAATCTGTCAATGATACTGATGTTCTTGAAACAAACATTAACATATTCAACCACAACTGACTGTGTTGTTCATCTCTTGAAACTTGTTTTTTTTGCTTGGATACGTCTTAAAAACTGTTTAATGTACCGCTATATTGGATAGGTAGTGTTATATGTTCATGTTAACAATCATCAACTTGTTTTATCATTATTAATAACGGTCATTTGTATCCATCATCATCATCATCATCATCCGATTCACAATAAGATTTTGCTGAGATTTTCATTTGTGCAATCGAACAATATTATACACTCAGCAAATTGTAAACAAACAAACAAACAAATCAATAAAATGGAAATTGGAAAATTTAACAACAACAACAACAACAACAACAAGTATTGGATTTTCCTACATCGTCATTTTTTTTTTGTGATTCATCAAATTATTCAATTGATTTCGAAATTCATTGATGAATCGCCTACACACAAATATCAGTTGCTCCTTGTTTTTCTATATTGATTTTTTGTTTTGTTTTGAGTATGGCATTTTGCCGAGAAAATGATTTTCGATTTCATCAACACACAAAATGTACTCTCACACACAAAAAACTTTAAAATTATTTAGCTCCAAATGTGAATGTTGTTTTCTTTTTCATTGATTTTGTTTCTCAAATACAAAGAATGCTGTTTCAATAATGTTTCTGTTTTTTTAAATGCTTGCACTTATGAAGTGTGAATTTCAATTAGAATAAATGAATTGATTGAATGAGTGAAGAAATAGAAATTCAAATCAAAAGCCAAGAACCGATGACTGTTGTTATAATAACTTGAATCCAATTCAGCAGCGTAGACAAAAATTTTGTTCATTTTCTGTCCGGAACACACACATTGAAAACATCAGCAATTTAATTGATATAAATGATTCGAGATATAAATCGTCAATATATAAATTGTTTTTTTTCTCTTGTTTCTTCCGCATTATTCCGATGTTTAGTGTTTTTTTTTGTTGTTTTGTTTTGTTTCTACACTGAAAAAAAAGTCCCAAAATTGTAATTTTTATTTGTTATTCAAATTCTATTTATCTATGAAATATTGATAGTTTGAAACTTTTTATACCATGTACCAGATGCGTATACGCAAACGACGGCAAAATCAAAATATAGTGTGTGTGTGTGTGTGTGTGCATGGGTTGACAAATATTTGCATTTACAAATATTGCTTGTGTGAAAAATCTGGTTTCACCAAAAAAAAATGCCATATTCTTCATATGAAGAATCTATAGATAGATGCTAATTGACAGCTTATGCTGCTGCTAGTAGTGACTCTATTTTTTGTTTTGTTTTATAGCTTTCTATTGTGTGTATTTATTACTTAACACATAAGAATTATCATCATTCTGTTAATGTTTCATACACCACTTATCATCATTATCATCATCATCATCAGTCACTATTGTATTGTGTCTATACCACACATGCACACATACAGTATCGAATAGAATCAATCAATCGTCATCAATATATTACAATTGAAATTAAATATTTACTTTATAAAGTTACCTATTTGTCATTAAGTATTATTATTGTAGTTGTTGTTGTTGTTGTTGTTGAAAACTTGAATGATAACTAACCAACCAATTAAATCATTTGCATCTAAAAAACACACACACACACAACACAGCAACAACAATCTTGAAATATAGATAACATTATGTCTAAAATAATATTTAAAAACTGGCAACGCCAAAAAAAAAGTCAATCATCAATTGCATTTCACAATCATCATCATCATCACTTGATTGCCTACATGAATAGACTAGACATAGACATTATCATTTATCCCGTTATTATTATTTTTATTTACCGTTGATTGTAGAATTTATTATTATTATTATTTTGGCTACATTAATGTTTTCAATGATGATCGGATTTTTTTTTGTTGTTATTGTGCCAAATGTCTATGTGATTATGACAATTGTTTGAGTTTCAACATGAATGCATGGGATTCAGACTAAATACAATATATCGTCAAAAAAAAAAATATTGCCATTAGCTGTTCATAATAATTACCTGTTTTTTTTCTATTGAATATGCCATCAGCCATCAGTCGTGAATATGGTTATTATTAGTACATATCCACCATTTATCATTTTATTGTGTTCTCTGTTCGTGTGTATGTGTGTGTCTTTAACTCTTCATTTCCATAATTTCCATTTGTTGTTGTTGTTGTTGTTGCTGCTGCTGCTGCTTTTTTTTTCATCATTTCAAATTGAATATTTATTCCGTTTTTTTTCTTCTTTGGCTAAAAATATTTTAATGATTTTTCTTTCAGCTTGTTTAATATGTTAAATTTTGACCTAATTTTTTTTCCTGACTTTGCCACTCATTAATTCTTGCCATGTTTGTTCGTTCATTGTTGATATTTTTGGATGATTAAAAATGACCTTACAACAACAAATAGAACAAAATTGAAAACAATACTAACAGGTGGGTGGTTATTTATTTGGTTTTTTTTAATTCCCTGTAGAAAAAAATCCAATCCATTATCCAACAATAAACACAATGTGGTGATGATAAATATTCGATAAATGAGTTATACAGATTCTACGATTACACAAACCACACATACACACAACTTTTGATATAAACGAAATCGGATCAAATGATTATTAATTTCGACATTTGAAATGGAATAGACCTGAAAAAAATAACATTTTGATGTTTGTGATTAATGTGTGTGTGTGTGTGTGTGTGTGTGTGTTGCCATAGAAAACATTTAAATCCATCATCATATATCAATCGTCATCACCATTACCATTATCTTGAGGTTGATGATCATCATAGCAACGGTAGCCATATTGATCCTGTGTGTTTGTGTGTTTCAATGATATCACTTTCTCTCTTCAAACTTCAAAAAAAAAAAAAATATTTTTCTTCCAAGTTATCATTGATTGTAGTGGTGGCCACCAATGCAATATTTTCATTTTATCATAACAACAATACATTCCTATATATTTTGTGATGAGACAAGATTTGGTAGAAGACGATGAAATTCAATAGACAAAGAAATCATTCGATTCATGATATTTAAAAAAAATAACTAATTTTCCTTCATTGTGTTTTTTTTTGCGTAAAACCTATGATTTTAATTTGATTGAAATATTTCATCATCATCATCATCATCATCAAAAGAGTAAAAAACAGTCGACAAATGTCGATTGATGCCAAAAAAAAAAATTTGAGCAAAGCAAACGTTTTTTTCCTTCAAACAAAATTATTATTATCAACTTTTACCCCATTCCGTAAATGTTATTGATCCATATGTGTGTGTGTGTGTGTGTATGTATGTATATTTGTTGATTGAAACGAAAAACATTGACACCATATATTGATTGAATGATGCTAAATTTATGATGAATGTGTGTGTGTGTGTGTGTGTTCCGATTTGATTATATATCTCATCTTTATCAACCGGTTTATGTGTATCAATGTCAACAAAATTCTTGTTATGATGTTAAATATTGAATGAATGAATTTGCGCAACAAGATAAAAAACAACAAATTCATGATGATGATGATGATCAATGACGACAAAACTGGACATTCAAAACGACTACGATAGATAAAACATCAACAATTTTTTTTCACCATATTCATGTATGTGTGTGTGTTTGTGATTAGAAATTTGATATCAAACATTATCACATTCATCCAAAACATATACAACCAAATACGCACATGTTCTAATATTAGATTCATCACCAAATTAAATGATAAATGATTGATTGATTGATTGATTGATTGACGCCCCGGTCCTGAACTGTGTTTATGTGTACGAATGAGTGAGTGATTCATTCAAAATAAACACTTCAAATTTTTTTTTGTTTTATTTTGTTTCTGGCGACAAATTGTACAAATAGATCGATGATCATTGATCAATGATCAGTCATTTTTTTCCTTTATTTTCTTATACTTAAAACACTATGTCTCTATATTAAAGATGATGATGATGATGACAAAATTTTCATATGATTCAAACGGTGGTGGTGGTGGTGGGAATGTTTATGCCACACACACACACACACACACATTTATATGTATAAATATTGATTTGATCATTCATTTTGATTTTTAGTCGAACGGTTGTTTGGGATACCATTTGTCAACATTATCATTATTGTTTCAGCAGCAAAACAAACGTCATCACCCTTTTTATCCTTTCAAAAAAAAAAAAATTTTTTTCATACAGATTTTTTTCCATTTTTTTTTGCGTCGAGTATGTTTACCTACCCGATTAATGTGTATGTTTGTTGTTGTTGTTGCTGTTGTTGTTCATCGACAAACTATTGGATCAAATTTATATATAAATTAGAATCAATCAATCATTGATTCTAATCATCGATTAGTAATCGATTTTTTCATCTATATTCCAACACAATTGACACATTAAATTAAAACATCAATAATAATAATAATAATAACTTCGCAACTTTCATAATCATTATCAATAATCGATCACCATCACCAGTACCATTTAACAACGTTTGAATTAATGTTATTATTTGTTTTTGCCATATCTTGTCAACACCAAAAAAACTATAGTAATCATTTCATCAAGTGAAAAAAAGACAAGAAAATGAAAAAGAGTGATGCACTGTTAAACTGACATATTTTTTTTCTCTTGTGTTTCTTTCTCTTTCTCTGTTTTTTATTTCAATTCTGTTTTCTCTCGTCAACGAACGTCTTTTCCACAGAAAAAAATTGTTATTATTTACATCCAAAACTTTATTATAATTTTAATCTCCCAAAATTTATAATAACATCATATAGTTTGAGAATAGAGAGATTCAGATGAGATCAACAACAACAACAACTACAATCTAAGACCTAGGTAATTTCACCTTTTTCTCATATGGTCTTTTTTTATATTATAGACAAGAAAATATTGTTTGTATAGACATCATATCATTATCATCATCATAGTGATAATCTATATAAATATACACAACAAATTCATTTCACCATTTGTCATCATCAGATCAGATCAGAGATCCGATTCAATCCTTACGCAAACAAAGATCTATCAAAAAAAAAATTTTTTTTGCATTAACTCTACACATCGTCATCATCATCATCATCATCATAATCATAACACATTCATATATTATATTTTGTAATTTTCACAATAATTCTAACGATTGATTTTTTTTTTATTAATTTTCTTTTTTCTTGTTCCATTTAGTTTTGTGATATAAAACACCATCATTAATTGTATAGGAAAACTTCATTATATTATTCATCTATCATCATCATCATCATCATCATCATCATTATCATCATGATCAAGTGGTCCAATATATCGATCGAAAATTTATTATTCACTTTTATTATATTCTGTTTTGTGATTATCCATTCAACAACTATCGATAGTCACCGATTGAATCGATCAAAACGTGATTGGAAATCAACATTGCCGGTTCCTATACCGAAACCAGGTGAATATTCTGAAGGTTATATAACACAATTTTTCAATCGTAAAAAATCGAATCAAACAAATCTCGATGAAGATATTATAACGATCGATAATGATAATCCAATGTTCGATATTCAATTGAATCTGACTCATCGTTGTATTTTTGGGACTGAATATAATTGTCCTGCTAATTTTGAATGTCGATCATTACCACATTATGATGAACGATTTAGTGTTTGTGTTCAAGTTGATTGTAGTATGAATTGTACAAATTATCATGAAATTTTTTGTCCTACTGATAGTAAAATTGTTCAACAGATGATTGAAATTAATGGAAAAAAATGTTGTCTCCATTTGTAAGTTATTTATTTTTGCAATCAGGAAATGGTCATGATTAATTCTGTTCATTTTTCTTTACTTATTATTGATCATCAGTTGTAACTGTGATGAAACCAAATGTACTGTACAAAAATGTCCCGGTTCACGTCCGGTAGTGTTGAAAAAAGCAATGAAAATTCCCAGTAAATGTTGTGATCAAATTGAATGTAATCCATGTGAGTTTTTAAATGTTAAATAAAATTATTCAATTCAATAAATTTATTAAAAAAAATTTCTTTGGGCCTTATAGATATACCGAAAAAATGTATTGGTTTAAATGGCGAACAATATAATCCTGGTGATTCATGGCTTAAATTAGATGATTGTCATCGTTGTAAATGCATTGATGGTGTACAAAAATGTGAAAGTATTAAAAATTGTCCATTTAAATGTTTACCGGTCAATCACACTGAAAAACTTGATTCAGAACAATGTTGTCCACGTTGCAAAGGTATGGCTTGTTCGAATAGTTTGGTGTAATTTTTTTTAAACAAAATTTTCTTCTTAGCTTGTATCGATGAGAAAGGAATCAAACATGATGATTCATCTGCATGGATCGATAATTGCCGACGTTGTGAATGTAAAAATGAGAAAATCATCTGTAATTCACCATATGGTGGTCAACAATTTTGTGATCGTCCATGTACAGAGAATGAACGACGTGAATGGCAGAATGATAAATGCTGTGATAAATGTGAATGTAATTTAAAATGTCCATTTGGTTTTCAAATCAATTCCACTGACAATCATAGTCAGCTATGTAAATGTAAAGAAATTCCAAAAACAAAAGTTGAATTGATAGAATCTGATCATGGTGCTCAACGACCAGGTATTTAAAAAGTTATGATTAATGTTTTCATTGAAATATTAATTGTTTTTTTCAAATTACTCAACTAGCCAATGAGAATAATCTAACTTCAATATGGATTCTATTAGGCTTTGCTATCGTGATTGTTGTCGGCTCATTTTGTTCCTATACGGCATGTGTTTACCTAAAAAATCATTCAAAAACATCGAAAACAAATCATTCACATATTTATGAACATATTAATCAAAAATTTACTAATAATAATCATGACGATGAAGATAATGATCATGATAATGAATTGAGCCAAATTAATGGACAATCAAATGGCCAAACAACATAAACAAGATTATTGACTATTTGTTTATCCGAAATCATCTCTAGTCATACAACAATGTTATAACATTAACACCACTTTACATTTGATTTTTTTTTTTTTTTTTGTAAAATAAGCAATTAAATTTATAAATTTGAATTTACCGCTTTTTTGTGAATAAAACTTTTTCTTCTGATACACTAACGACATCTAGTATTATTAATGGCAAATGTATAAAAAAGGGATTCTTTTTCCGAAAGAAATTCAATTATTGGTTATTAATTAAAATTAATTAAAACTTTAACAATAAATAATGAAAAATTCAATATGTTACTAACTACATTCAAAATATAAATATTATGCCATAAATATTATTATTTCGGATCGATTTGTTTGAAATGGCTCATAGTGAACGACGAAGATCGAAAGCTCGTAGAGGAGGAGGTGGTGGCCGTCGAAGTGAAAAAGATAAAGAAAAACGAAAACCAATTTCGCCACGTATACCGTCGGATGCACCAACCGCATTGATTGCTCCAAACGATTATGAACATATTTTTACGTCTAAGCAAAATCGAACACGACCCAAAGAACAGCGAACACAAAGAATACCATCGGATGCACCGACAGCTATTATTGCACCAGAGGATTATGAACATATTTACTCAGCTAAAACACAAGCAAAAAACAAAGTAAAAGCTAAAGAAGATAAAACAACATTGAAAATACGTTCAGACGAACCGACTGCATTGATAGCGCCTGAAGATTATGCACATATTTTTTCAAATAAAAAGAAAATCATAACGACTAAAGCAAAAACTCCATTACAAATACGTTCAGACGAGCCAACCGCATTAATAGCTCCGGATGATTATGAACATATTTTTTCTAAAAGAAAAGAACAATTAATGAAGAAACAACAACAATCGGTAAAAGTACAGGCAAAAGCACTATTGCCATTATTGGAATCGGCAGGACCTACAGCATTAATCGCACCCGAAGACTATGAACATATTTATACTGCTGCTAAAAAAGTGGTGAAAGATTTACAAATCGATTCCAACGCACCGACAGTATTGATTGCACCGGAAGATTATGAACATATTTATAAACGGCAACAGATTCAAACAAAAAAAGCAGCAACAATACAACCGAAAAAAGTGGAAGCTCTGGAATTTCCATCGGATGCTCCAACAGCATTAATCGCACCCGAAGATTATGAACACATTTATAAACGACAAAAAGATCAACCATCAAAGACAACATTATTCCAGAAAAAAGTTCTATCACGCAAACAGCCACAACAGCAACAACAACAGAATAATGCTCTTGAATTTCCATCCGATGCACCAACAGCTCTCATTGCACCTGATGATTATGAACATATTTATTCAAAAGGTAAAAAGCAGTCCATGCCACAACAACAACAACAACAACAACTGTCAACACAACAGATGATGATTCAAAAACAGCAGCAACAACAATCAACACCAGAATTTCAACCACAAGTTATGCAGGATGGTAAAGTAATGATCGATTTGAATAATGCACATCATCTACTTCAATTATTACGTATGATACAAACATTACAACAATCATTAAGTATTAATGAACAGCTACAAGAACAAGATTCAACAACAAGTCAAAGTGATGATTGCAATAATGGCAATAATGATTTATCAAAATCCAAACGAAAATTTAGTCGAAAAAAATGAAAATTTATTGAATGGTTTTTTCTCTTGTAAATAAAATTTGATAATACTTGCACCATCTTTATTTCTTTCTACTTTATTCGGATTATAATAGAATGTATGTGTATTTATTTATGTTTATAACAAAAAAAAACTGATGAATGTATTACGAATATAAAAAATAAATAAATAAATAAAATAAATTCGTGTCTTTTATAGCGAAGAAAAAGAGAGATTATCAATTAATAAGAAAAAAATTAGGAAAGGAATTTGCTGGATTGTGAGATTTAAGATTTTTTTTCCTGTTTCACGATAATGTTGAGCCCATTGCTGTTCCATGATCTTGATGTCCATTTCGAGAAATCCCGGTAATATCAGCAATCTGTTTAAATAATGAAACAAAACCATGTGCCGTTACTTCACGTGCAACATCACTGACAATGGAACCGAAAAATCTTGCAATTTCCGATACTAATACACCGATTATATCACCAATAACCGATCCAACTGTTTGTAATTTTCCTTTTTTACCATTACTGCTTTCACTTGTAGCTGAATTCGATGCTTCTTTACCACCGAAACGTGACCAAAGATCTTTTTTTTCATTTTTATTCGATTCATGTGGTGCAATAGCTGACGCTACATTTGGTCCAACCAGATGTTGTTGATAAACCGAATGCATATCTGCTACCGCTTTCATATCATTGGATTTTTTTCCATAATCTGAATTTCTACTTTGTGCTCGAAGTTTTTGATTATCATTCTGTTGTGTTTGTGATGATAATGGTTGATGATGTTCATCGGTTTTAGTTCCCGTAACTAGCGGACAAAATAATGACGCCAACAGGATAACTTTTATTTTAATTTTTGGTTCCAGAAACAAAAAAGAAAATAGAATTTATAATCAATTAGAATTTTTGTTTGAAAAAAAAACTTACAATGTACTGGTTTCATCATGGTTAATGCATCGAAATAACGCAGACACACGAACAATAAACGATCAACGAACACAGTTATATTATAATGGCGTATATCATTGAACAAATACAGCAAAAAAAATCGATTGCAAACCGATTTTGAATTTTTTTTTTTTTGACACACAAAACGTCGTTGATGTTGTTTGTCGATAGACAGTCAAAATGATTCTGGTTGCCAGTTTTTACTTTATAACCATATGATCAAAAATAATTATTTACTAAGGCAGTAGTGAAACGAACAAACAAACAGGTATCCAGATTATAATCATTCAAGGTTAAGGTTTATTTTTCATTGAAAAAGTTGCAAAAGATAGCCGCCATTTTAGTGCCGGTTTCTCTTCAAACAAACCTAAATACCGTTAAGCAGTCGAACAAGAATTCGGTCGATGGTCAACCCTGAATGATTAGCCATGTTCAAATCGATGTACATCATCATCAAATATGAAAATTCAAAGAAGAAGAAGTACATCATAATTATCGCCATTCACATTGATGAACAACAACACATTAGACGTTCAGCCTGATTAGCTTTATTCGATCAAATTTCTCATTTTATTTCTTTTTTTAGTTAGGTTAGTTAGAGACATCATACCTGTGATCAGGAACGAAGAAAGATAGAAATAATCACCATTTTCCTGTATAATTGCCATCATTTTTTTCAATATATTTATTTGAACAGCAAAGCAGCTAATAACAAACCTTACCAGTAAGGGTAGGTATGTCATCCATCACTCAACTTATTCAACTCACTAACCTTGATGACGATCCGATCATCAGCATGTTCACCTTTATTCGGTTTATCATCAACCGATTAGGTCATCGAACTTCATAGAGTTTTTTCTTCCCGAAGTTATCATTTACTCTTTCAATCTTTTTTTTTTTCATTTCATACATCCGTGACGCATATGCATATAAAAAAATTCAAAAATTTGTTTTTTTGAAAAAAAAACAAACAACGATTGAATGGATTGAATTTTTTTTATTAAGAAATTGTACTTTGATCAAAGTATAAACTAGAATTTATTAGATTTTTTTGTCCATTTTGTAAAGATAGTGGTCATTTAAATTGTAATAATTAAAATTCAAACTTAATGTTAATGTTATTCATGCCGTTGAATATTTAGTCACTGAGATTTTCGGGGTTTGATTTTCAACTTTTTAACATATATGCAGATCGATATCATCTTCATCGTACAAGATCAAATTTTTTCTCGCCCCTGAAATGAAGATCATCTTGCAAACATCATCTCATTTTACCTAAATGAAAAGATCAATGTGATATCAAATATTCAAAATGAAATTCAAGTTTACAATTCATACATATTCAAATATATTGCGATTGGTATTTTTATCTGGTTGAATTTCCAATGAATTTCAATGATAATGAACAAACAGGTCAATGTGATGTGATTGAAAATGTTGTTGATGTTTTTTTTTGTTGAAGAATTCGGCCAGTTAGATGAGAGTTTACTTAGAGTAAAATTCAATTATAACATTCTAGAATTTAATATATAGTGTCAAATTTATCGTCAGGCTTCGACGCAGTCCATAATCCATAATAATGTTCATGTTTAAATGATGATGATTACGATGTGATGACAAAGTCATTAATTTTATCCATCCATTTCCACACACACACACACACACATATATATACATGCACAAACACAATAATAGAGAATATGAAACTTGAAGAATTTTCCTATTCAATCCATACACACTATCACCATTGGGTGAATGAAGATCCACTTTCTTCTTTTATCATTTATTATTCATTGTACCTTCCACTATTATTGTTATTGTTGTTGTAGCAGCTACCGTTTGTTCAAATATCCATGAAAAAAATGCATACAAAAAAAACGGAACAACATTTTGAATGATGATGGAGAAAGGAATAAAAGAAAAAAAAAGAAAGAGAGAAAGAAAGAGAAGAGATCCAATGTCTTTCGAATGGTGTTGGGTTACTCTATCTATCTATCTATCTATCTACTTGGTCTGTCTCTTTAACGTCGATTTTTTTCAATTATAATTTTTATTATTATCATTATTATATGTCCTACACACACACACACACACACAGAAGAATCTATAGAGTATGGTAGATTTCAAAATGACAAAACAAGACTGTGAATTTGTTGTTGTTGTTGTTGTTGTTGTTATTGTCATTATTATTATTGTTATTGTTCACAATATATGGATGAATTGAGAAAAGAAAAAATTTTGGATGATCAAATTTCATCATCACAAAACAGCATCCCATTTTGTCAAAATGATAAAAATTCCACTTTTTTTCCACCACAAACGATTCGCATTTTGTCCAAATCATAATAATCGAAATGGCAACAATGGTCGATAGGTCCGTTACTTGGTTGAGTTTTGCCATCAATTTTTCATATACTAACCAAGATGATGATGATGATGATGAGTTTTGCATCATAATCACCATCATCAACTCCAGAATAAATAGCTTTTGTGTACAGAGATTTGTTAACAGTATCAAGATAATAATAATAATTAGGTTTTTTTTCTCGCTCTTTTTTTTTGCTTCTGTAACAGAATAAAAATGATGAATTGGATCGACGAATGTTCGAAAAACAAACAAAAATGGAATGGAAAATAACAGGCCAAAGTCAAATAGGCTGTGATTTTTGTTTTGTTTTTGTTTCACTTATTTTCGATTCACCACTTCACCAACCAAACAACCAACTAACCAACCAACGATAATAATCGAGATCATTGTTATAATAATAGTTGATGGGCCAATTATAGTGATGATTGATGGATTCAATATCATCTGTCAATCTGTGTGATCTAATTATAAACAAACATATAACAGAATAATAATGTCGACCATATATTCATCACCATCAAATAAGTTCAGGCTGAGGGTATCCTAGATTCATGGATTGAAAATTGAATTCATAGAATTAGAGAATGGATCTCTACGTATAGGCGCTAGGCAACCACCAATGATGATGACAGTCTCTTTTGACGCGCAGTCAGTTTTTATAAACATCGTATGTGTGTGTATGTGTGCATGGATAATGTCAATAATTACCAAGGGAATGAGAGAGAGAGAGAGAAAAAACGGAATAAATGACAAAGTGAAAAAAGAAAATTATTGGTTGCCTTCGCATCAACAACCATAGTAATTGATTATCATTAATATAATAAGATTTTATAGCTGTTATTATTATTTTTTTTTTTTTAGATAAACAATGTTTATTATACAAACAGGGGATAGAATAATGGATAAGGATGATAGATAAAAAAAACCAAAAGAATCAAATATGATTGATCATGATTGGATATTATAATAATGATTATTGTTGTTGTTGCTGATGTATTAGAAAATATGATGGTGTTGGTGAGCACAGCGGTAGTCGATAGCAATCGATGTTGTTTGATCCAGGATGCTGTTGTCGTTATAATCTAAAAACAATCATCATTTGTCAAATTGTTTTGACCATCGGATAAATGTCCAGTATGGATTGACAATTTTTTGTTTCGGTTTTGTTTTTTTTTTTTTTTTTGTTGTAACCAATAGTATTGATTGATGATCGAACCAAAAACAGATGGACATGTGTGCGAATGTTTATGTTTTTCACAATTATTCTTTGTTTTGCCTATGACATAACCTTCTAATGAATATATATTGTCGAATGTTTATTTTTCCAAATCGAAATTCATATGTATTACGAATCGATTATCAATGTAAATGTGAATCTACATTTTACATTCACGCAAACCAACAAGCCTGTTTTCAATTTATGGGTACAGATGTACAAAAAAAAACAGTGTTCGTATAATAACTTGTAACCTTGTCAAGGTCACAAGTATTAAGGTCAATTCAGAATTGTGTCACATAATAATGCTATTTGTTTATTATTTTTTTTGTGGCTAACTATAGTTAAATGGCAAATGTGTTATTATGCAAACGCTAATATGATGATTATATGAAAATCATTGAGAATTTAGGCTAATCCTATTTAATATATAACTGGAATCTATCAAACTATCTTAGAAAATATTTAGGTATTTCATTAGATAAAGTATCATCTACTAACTTCTCATTATTATTATCATGAACTAAATGCTGATTTTGTTGTTGTTGTTGTTGTTGATGATGATGGTGTTGGTGTTGATGGTTACTACCGTTTTTTTCATGTTCACTATCGTCATCATTATCATCATCACCATCATCATGACATTGTTGTTGATGATGATGCTGTAATGGTAATTCTTGATCCTCATGAATGTTATGATGTTGATGTTGTTGTTGTTGATGATGATGCTGATGATGGTGGTGGTGGTGGTGATTATCGTGGTGATGATGATGATTAAGATGCGGCTGTCGATCTCGTTGACGTCGATTTTTAAACCAGTTGCTTACTGTGTGAGAAATGAAAAGATTGGAAAAAAAATTCAAGTTAATTTTTTTTTTTTTGATTCAAAGTTAAATACCCCCACCATCATCAATAAAAGATCAGATCAAAAATATTTGATATGTAGGAAATGTTTCTGTCCAAAAAAAAAAACCGTTATCGACTTACTTTGTACAACTGTCAACTGTGTTTCATTTGAAAGTTTCAATTTATCTTCCTGTGTAGGTAGATTACATTTCAAGTAAAATTCTTTTAAAATACGGCGATTTTTCTCTTTAAAACAATAAACATATTCTTCACCATCCCAGATTGTACGAGGAAATTGATATTTTTTCCTTATACGATATTTTTCCACCGCACCAGGTGGATGTCCACGTTTCATTTCATGTTCTTTATAATGGGCATTATTCCATAATGATTGTAATTCTTGATGATATTTAACTGGAAATGAATTCGCTTCAAGTAGATCATAAACTTGTTTAAAATTACCTGAATGATATGCAGCAATAGCACGTGCACGTATAATTAATTCATTTTTATTACAAAGAGAATCATTTGGAAGATCATAGATGAATTTTTCTAGTTTTTGTAGATCACATTTTTGTAATACCTGACAAATACAGATTATTTGATCAATTGTTAATGGTATATTATTGACAAGTATAATTTGTTCTTGTTGTTGTTCATCATTCAATTTATTATTATTATTATTGCTGATGTTTATACCTCTCATACCAATACTGGCTAACTTGGATAATAATAATCCATTAAATTTTGATGATGATTTTGTTCGATTATTATTGTCATCATCATCGTCAACAATGTTTTGTTGATCTTCATTTGAATCCACATCATCATCATTACCATTATTTTGATGATGTAAAATTGCATTGGAATATAATTTTGTAATTGATGTTAATCGCTGTTGTTGTGGTTGTAGTAGTAGTTGTGATTGATCATTTTGACTTAAATTTGTATGGCTAAATGTGATAACACTTTCACGTTTTTGATTCAAACTTTCATATGGATTCGATGGTGATGTTGATGGTGTTGATAATGGTGATGATGATAATGTTGTTGTTGATGTTGTTGTTAATGGTATTGTTGTTGTAGTTGTTGTTGTTGGTGCCATATTAATCATTTGTAATGATTGATGATATGTTTCCATTAATGATGATAATGGTGGTAACGGTTGATAATAGGATCGTATTGCACGTTGTTGATGTTCATTTTCATGATTATTTTGATGATTATTAAATCTTGTTATGTTATTATTATCATCATCTTGATGCAAAATAAAAGGATTATTATAAGATGATGATGATGATATATAGGTGCCATAGATCTAGCTATTGAACGATTATTATTATCCAATGATAATAATGATTGACCACAAATAATTAGATCATTTGTTGTTGCTGCTGTTGCTGTTGTATTACGCAAACTAAGATCTAATGAATTTGGCTGCTGCTGCTGCTGTGATTGATGTACATTAATTGAATTAAAATTATGGCCATATGATTGTTGTTGTTGTTGTTGTTGATGATGATGATGATGATGATCCAAATGATGCGGATGTGAATGTGTATGATGTTGTTGTTGATTTGTGATTCTTTGTGTATGTGGGTGATGATGATGATGATGATGATGATGAAGAGAATGAGGATGATGGACCGACATATTAGCCATTATTGGTGATACGGATGCGGATGATGTAGGCGAATGAAATTGATCACCCAACATTGGTCTCAAATTATCGACAACACTTCTCATTGTTTATTTATTTATTTATTTATTGTTAATATTTCATTTATAGTAGGATGATGATAGTTTTTTTTATCAATCAATTGATAATTTAAGACAGTAAAATCAGGAAAAAGAATATGATTAATTTTTTTCTTTCCTGTGTAAATTGATGATCTATAAATTTGATTTAAATAAATTACACACACACACACACACACATAACATCAGCAACAACATGATACTCTTGTTTGCGAAAAAAAAATCTGCTGTTGGATCGAATTATCTGAAAAAAAAGTTCTTTGGTTTCGTTTCGTGTGTTTGTCTATGTTTTCTTATCACTTCTCAATTACTATTTATTCATCGAAGCCGTACTAATATTACATTAACGACAACAACAATAATAATAATAATAAGCAACTGTAGAATGTAATATTATTTTTCTGGTTTCATTTCGAATGTTGTTGTTCATGATGATGATGATGATGTTGATGATAAGAATGAAAGAAATAATAATAATATCTCAATAAGTACATGATAACATTTCAATGGTTGCATTGAATTACAACAAAAGATGATGATGATGATGATCCAATGAAAAAAGAGTTATCTTTCAAATTTGGCTCGTGTTCGGTAACTATTAGTAACTTGAAGATTTTCTTTTTCTTCTTAGTTTACCATTATTATTGTTGTTGTTGTTGTCGTCAACTTGTATTCACAATGATCAAAGATCAAATTTTATTAGTGATAGCGATCAAATTGACCACGGATCAAATTAGAATTGTATCATTTTTTATTTTTTTTGGTTATTCGATCAGTATTTGAAAGCTAATTAAATTCACACATTACACACACACATGGACAACACATACAATCAGTGGTGGCGGCGGCGGCGGTAAAATACGATCCTTTTTTTGGTTGATTCTGATCACAAGATCAGATATGATGAAGAGAAAAAAAATCTGATCCAATTGTATTGTCTTCCAATTTTTTTTTCTTCTTCATATGTTGATGATATTGGTTTCGGTTTGGTCGGTCGATGATTATGATCTAACTTTACACAGAAAAAAAATTGTTGGTTTGCAATTTCAACCCGAAATAAAAAACTCGATAAATGAAACAACTAAAAAAAAAATGAATGTTATCATCATCATTGAATCTTTTTCGCTTTTTGATTTTGTCAATTTTTTTTTTTGCTACGGTTACATATTTTAGGTGACTGAGCTGAATCAAATTGAAATAATGATATGGTAAAATTGGTTATGGGTATGGTTTTTTTTTCTTAAATCCCAACATTTGATAAACAATTTTTTTGGTACCATAAAGACACATATACACACACACAAACAAAATATCGATAGGACTTGCAAGAATTCTTATTGGAGGAAACCCAGTCAAAAGAGGTGTGTACAACATGCATTTCATGTCTGTCTCTAGTCTCGTTACATATATATTTGTGTGTGTGTGTGTGTGTTTCATTGTATAGTTTGTACAATATGAATAGATGGATTTACTAAATGTAGAGCAATCATATAGAAACATTAACTATTTTGTCGTATACGACGACAACACACACATGATCAAATGAACAATAAAAAATATTGTCATTGTCGCTTGAATTTATATGCTATATAAATATGAATAAATATAATGAAGATCAACAACAACAACAACAACAAATGGCCATAGAATCGATTGTTATTTATTCAAAAATTTACCGCGTGCTTTTTAACACCTTTTCTATTGTTTTTTTTTTGTTTTGACCATTTTTTTTTTTTGTTCGATTGTTTCCTATTATTATTATTAATGATAATAATTTGGGATGTAAGATTTTGTTGTTGTTTTTTTCGGCGACAGCGGCGGCCACACGATAATTGGAAACCAATGGTCTTCTTTATTTTTTTTCTGGAACAAAAATGTCGCGACACTTTTATTTTGTTCCTGTCGGATCTAGCTGTCTGGCTTATATACACAGAGTTGAATTGTCCAGACACCTTTTATCATGAAATATTTTTTGGACAAATTCATTCATTTGTTTCATTGTTCATTACATTTTTTTTCTACTAGAAAAAAAATGACAATAACGGCGTCTGATTGCTGTTGGTCTTTTTGTTGTTGTTGTTGTTCTTGTCCCTTTTGATCCTGAGAAAGAAGAATACTAGGACAATGAAAAAAAAACAAGGTCGTCATTTGTTTTTATTCAAATCAAATTCGGTGTTATAATCTCTCTTTGTATGCTTGTGTGTGTGTGTGTGTGTGTTAATCGGTGTTAATGCTCGCGCGAATATTTTATGAATGAATAGCCAACACTTTGTATATATTGATCAGAAAAAAAGAGACAAAATATACTTGCCTTTACATACATTCAATGTTGGCTATGAATTCGGTATTCAATTCACTTCTCCAATTACTTATTATTGTCATCAAAATGAACAACCGTTTCATAACGAAACAATGATTGATCTATCGGCTGAACGGTAATATTCAATGAAAAGGTGTTAAAATCCGATACTGATTTTTATTTTTGCATTCAATCTAATCCATTAATTGTTTGCCATGATGATTTGAAATTTGAGACAAACACAAAACACAAAACACATATATAGAGTTAAAAGAAATGAGAAATTATTCATTCATCCACCACCAATTACATAAGTGATAATTGATTTGATGCTTGTGTGTCCATCTTGTGTGAATGTCCTGAACTTTAGCCAAATTATTTTGTTAGTTTTGGAAAAAAAAATCAACTAAATTGGAAAGTTGAGAATGGGCATAATAATTAAACAATGAAATGGACAAAAAAAAATTTGAATCTATATCGTTTAAATTGGTTTTTGTTTCACTCCACAAAAAAATAATGATGAGATGAATAATTGGCAGAAACTAAAAATGGATGCTAAATGGATTTGATACTGTAGCGATTTTTTTTTCGTTGTTGTTGTTTAAATCATGCAAATAAATCTTTCAATGACAGTTTTTCACCCTGAATGTTGTTTCGTAAAACAAAAATCAAATCAAATTTAATGTTTATGTTGAGAAGTGGTAAAATGATTTTTGTTGTTGGTAATATTCAACAAGGTTATCCGTGGCCATTCGGATTCTCCGCTGTTGAATGGTTCAATGATATGCATCATTATTATTATTATGTGGTGTATTATGCCCAGATGAGCAAAATAGACAAAAATCAATTTTTCTCCTTCACTCACACATTTTCTCTTTCATTTATTGTGCGATTAAATATGATGTTTGAAACAAAAAAAAAACATTAACCAAATTAGATAACATATAAGTGGTGAGAGAGAGGGGACGAGAAAAAAAAATTGAAAAATTCACTAATGTGTGTGTATGCAATACATATATATATTCTTTTCCATTTAATTTTTTTTTCGACCGCGAATCATTACTATGGTTACGACGACGATGATGATGATATCGTTGCATTTTTTTTTTTTTTTTTTTTGGTTGAAAAAAGTGCACCAGAAAAAAATGCAACAAGTATGATGATGATGATGATGATCATTATTTCAAATCCCAGATGATGATGATGATAATGAAACCAGAGAAAAAAAAGAGAAAGAAAAAACAAACGAAAAAAAAAAAAAAAATTAAAAATTAAAATCGGGTTGTTGTATTTGTGTTTGGTCGATGAACAACATCCATAATGATTGTGATGATCATTTGTTTTTCCCTGGTCATACGGTTTAGACGTTCATTGATTGAATAATCATAATCATTACCATCTTTGAAATTAATCGAATTTTAAAGTGTTTTGTTAAAATCAAGATCAGATTTCAGTGAATAGTGAGAAATATTAATTTTTTTTAATCGTTTCATCTGTGAGTGTGTGTGTGTGTGTTTGCATCTATTTAGGATTACCGTTTTTATCCATTGATAATCCATTTTCAATTGATCTGTTATCAGATAAGCGTTTGCCACTCTAAATGTATTCCAATCAAGTTTTGGTAATTAGTATTTTTATGCCTATTCTGATTCAATTACGATCATATAATCACAAAAATAAAAATTTTTTTTTTGATTCTGATCTTATAAATAATAAAGGAAAATTTTGATGATGACGTAACAAACCATCACTACCTACCACACCTTTATGACGCATCAATCTATGATTTCAGCGATAATTTTGTGAGTAATTTTGTGACTTTTGTTTGTTTGTTCGTTTTTTCTTTTGCTAACTGAATAAAACTTTTCAAATTGTTTTTCAAAGTTGGACATTTTTGGCTCTAATAATGGTGATGACGATGATGATGATCAAAATGATGAAAAAATTTGTCCAACAAAAAATTTGGAAAAAAATCCAACCATTTCCAATTCAGCTCCAATGTCATCTGTTGAAAATCAACAACAAATCAATGATCGTAAACAATTGTTTATTAATTTTCGTCTCAAACTTTATAAATATGCATTGTGTAAAAATAATGAAGAAGCTTTTGTGGATAAATCAGAGGCAAAATGTTTTGAAAAATATGAATTATTACGTAAGATGCAATCGATTGAAAATAAACAAAAACGTAACGATATTGTGAAGAAACCATTTTTCGTTGTTGAAAAATGTGTTCAAGATAAATTTAAAGAAAACAATAAGAATTTTCTCACAAAATGGCATGAATCTATTTGTCGAACTAATTTATCGACTATTGCCAAGAATTCAAATCCATCAACTGATGAACAAATGATGTCAATATTCGACGTTGAAAATCATGATCCGGTAAAGAATTTCGATGAACAATCATCCATCAATCATGATGAACAATTGCAAATCAAACCTGAACAAATTTGGATTGGTAAACAAGTGGAAATATCTGATTATAAATCAGTTTCAAATGAATTTGATAAAATGAATTCCACCACGAAGAATGATGATAATTCATTTCAAAATGTGCTTCCTAATTGCAAAATTCCAAAAGATTCGGAAACAAAAACTGAAACCAAATTTGTTCATGATGAAAACAATAATCAAATCAATGGCAACGTATCAATAAAATCCGAATCACTTATGGAATATATCATCGATGAAAATCACAATTATTATAAAAAGGAAGAAAATGAAATAAATGATGATTATTTGGATTTTGATGACTACGATGATTATGATGATGAAAATGAAAACATAGAGAATTTGAATACGATGACACCAATTGAAAAACGTTGTCAAGAATTGTTGGATATGAACAGTGGAGAAAGTTTAAAACAGATAAAATTCTGTCTAAGCAAATTGAAATTGAAATTAATTCAAAATTCACCACGACTTATGTATTATTTTATCATCATTGTATTTCAATTTGATCAAAATTATGATTATGTTATTGAATTATGTAGAATGACAAAAATGCCATTAAAATTTCATCGTAAATTACAACAAATTTGGGACCATTCATGTGAACAATTGGAAATACGGCGAAAAGGTGTCCTGAAATTGACCTGTGTACAAAGATTTCGTTTGAAACAACGAAATCCTTATCCAGAAACAATTACCATTGGTGATCGAGTTAAATATGGTATACCATTGAAATTTAAAAAGATGTTAATCAATTATTATGATAAAGTGAATAAACATCCATCGCCTTTGGATAAAGAAAAATTGGCTGAAAAAACTAGATTAACGGTTAAACAAGGTTTGTTATTTGTAACAAAAAAAAATTTCCATTGATTGCCTTAATGTCTCATTACTTTTCTTTGATTATTATAAATAGTTTCGACATTTTTTAAAAATCGACGCAATCGAATTGGATGAATAAATATTGTTGCAACGAATTTCAACATTTTTTTAAAAATAATTTTAATTTTTTAAAATTTTTCACAATTATTCAATGTATTTTCGATATATAAAAAAAATTATTTTTTTCAAAATAGAAATGGTGAAATAATTTAGTCTTGATGATTTGCTGTTTAATTTTTTGTATAATATACAACAATATTGTAATCTTTGTTTTAAATAACAATTTTATCATGTTTGTTTAGGACTTTCAAAAATTGGCCATTATAATTTGCTCAAAGATATGAATAAATTTCAATATTTAACAATATTTTTCAACAATATAAAATTTTTTTGTCAACAATATTTTTCGTCATTTTAATTGTATCTTTATAACTAAATAATGAAAAATTGACAAAATCAATGAAAATCAAATTGCCTTTAATTAATAAAATATCGCTTTTTTTGTGAGAGACATTCATATCACAAACATTTTATTCTTTAATTTATTATTCCTTACGTATAGATGGCAGCAGTGGACCATGTATTTTTTAAAAATTTTATTTGTAAAACTATATTTTCTGATGATAATAATAAATTGACACATCTAATTATTTTCTATTATTATCTGATGATAATTTTCTTTCTAATTTAACTTGATATTTTCAAAAAAAAAATAACGAGATAAAAATAAAATTATTTTAAAATTTCATAATATTCTTCAACAATTTCGTTCAACAACAACAACAACAACAACAAAAAAATCACGCAAAGATATCATCATCATATTGGTATTTTTCATTCAGAAAAAGAAAAATCTAACTAGACATTCAATTATCTTTGATGGTACAATTGTTGGTGATGATGATAGTGATAAACGTCACAAACACACACACACACACACACACAGGTTGATGATAGGTCCATTTTACCATGGTAAATGATTGATTATCACCAACAAAAGTATCATCATCATCATCATCATTATATCCGTGGTCATTGGTATCGTAAATAATGATAATTGGACTGTATGTATGTACACACACAATGACAATGTGTGTGTGTGTGTGTGTGTGTGTGGGTGAATGATTTTCGAGTTTGAGTTGTCAAGAAAAAAAAACACAATTCAGATGAAATGAAAAAAAATAGCTAATCAATCTATATTATTTTTGATTTGATGTGAATTAATTCTGTCATGATGATAATAATGTGGAACAAGCAATTTAATGTTTTTCATTTTGAACAAAAAAAAAAGAACACACAGATCAATAATATTGATTTGATATATGTTTTATGTGTGAACACGTTTTCTTGATGATGATGATGATGATGATGATTTTATGATCAATTCAGTTAATTCAATTTGATCAATTGATAGGATATTTTATTTAGAATGCCTGCTGTGGCATCGTACATGCTGTCGTTTGAATTTGTTTTTTCTGCTGTTGTTGTTGTTGTTGTATTTTAAAATGAAGATCAATCCATGTTGTGGCCAATTATTATTATCATCATCATCATTATTTGGGCTGGTAATTGTTGTTGAATAGAATGATCCAGAATCAATTTGGTTAGATGTGGCGAAGCGTTGCTTTTATTCCAGCCTAACAACAACAACAACAACAAAAAATGCAGACAATCATCATTATTATTATCATCTGGGTTCCAGACTTATTGTGGAAACTGAAAAATTGTTTAAATTTTCTTGGATCTTGATCATCATTACATTACATTATTTTTATTTTCATCATCATCATCAACTATGATAGATGAAAATTTTTTCTGACATCTAAAAAAGCTTTATTTATTCACAATTGGATGAAAAAAATATTTTTTTTCTTTCCATTTTTTTTACTGGTTACGGATGAGAAACGATGAACAAAAAAAAATGACAACACAAGCACCAGTGGATGGCAATGTGAATGTATGATTCTTATATGAATGAATCGATGGAGAATAGAACTGCTGACATATTTGGCATAAACTTTCAAGCATAGATGGATCAAACGTTTTTTTCTGTTCATTATGGTCGTTGTGCTCAGAAAAAAAACCTAAAAAAATCAAAAACGAATACCATTCATTCAAATCGGATTTCCTATATATTTCCAACAAGAATTTGATTCTGGAACTATTTTCTTCCAATTGTTGTATAATATGTGTAATGTGTTGTTTGTTTCTCACAACTAATCGTTTCGGGTCATTTAACACATATATAACTCATCTCCATCATCATCATCATCATCATCATTATTAGAACCCATTCGCGAAAGGAAAAAAAATCACTCATCATTTAGTTTGCGTGTGTGTGTAATTTGTAAGCTGTATGTTTTTCATGTAGGAATTCAGTGTACATATTATTATACTTCAAGTATATATATTTATTATAATAAATTAATATCTTTTCTCCCTGCTAACATTGGCAAAGTCGAAGTTAAAGTTTTTGTTGTCTAACGCGCCTTGATGATGATGATGATATATAGAGTCACTTCTCATCACATATTTATCATTGACTAATAACGCCGAACACATGAAAAAAAAAATTCAGCCAACCAAATTGAAGAAGAATTTTTTTTTTTTTTCTTGTCTGTGCGCGGGGGAGAATATGATGATGCCGGATATAGTGTCTTTTCATCATCATCATCATGAAAATGATGATGAGAAAAAAGGAAAAAATACATGCGCATCATTTTTTTTGTTGAAAACTTCAAGTAAAGTGTCAATTACAATCAATGATGCTAAACAGATGAACAGAGCATTTCTAGGTTATTAACAATTGTCATAATGATTGTATCCGATGATATTTTTTTTTTTTAATTTTGATTCAAACATCAAAATTTGATCATTTGTTAAGTATTGCTTCAGATCAATTTTTGTTTATCACAAACTACTACTACTGCTCATATATAGATTATATTACGGAAATGATTTGAAAATTAGTCAAATTTCGCACCATACAAATACGATATAACCACTGATGTTTAGAATGATTTTTACATTGGTTTTCCGTTGGAAATTTTCATTATTTTTGACCACGATTTAAAACATTTCAAATACGCCTACACACACATATCGATCAATAAAACTCGAGTCAAACCAAAAAGAAAATGTTAACTATTTTTAAATCATCAATTGATTAGTGCATTTTTTCTTTTGAACCACAATAATCGAAGCATTGTATTGTAATTTTTTTCACTCTGATCGACGATTCATTATGAACACAGTTTTTTTCGTCTTGTAAAAACATTAATCAATATTCGTTGTGTCACATTTGGTGTTACTAATATATATCAACTGTAATGGCAATTTGGATCTTTGCCATCATAATCATCATCTTATAAATATGATTTTTTGTGTTATGATATATGTTGTTGTTGTTGTTGTTGTTGTGTAACAACAAAATATTTTCCCTGTTCAAAATACAAATCATTTAACATCATCACTCGATACAAAACATAAACTATACATGGATGAAATCTGTCAAAAAAAAAAAAAATTTTTTTCATTTTTTGTTTTCAAAAATAGAATCAATTTATCATCAGAATGATCAATATATGAGTAATATTGATCATGTTTGAAAATGTGAGATTATTGATGATAAAATTTTTCTTTCTGAATAGCGAATGAAAAGAAAAATTTCAAAATTTTTTAAAAAAAAACTTGATAGATCGGAAACACTTATTCACATAGAATTGATCCACTTTATTTTGTTGATGATGAGAATCGAAACAAATGTGTGTGTGTGTGTGTGTGTGTGTGTTTGACATGACAAATGATGATGAATCAAAATGAATGTGAATAATAAGATTTTTTTTTTCGTTCTGAAATTTGCTCATCATCATCATTTCATTTGATTATAAAGTTCCATACCACCATATTATTTTATCCTTTCTGAAGAGAGAAAAAAAAATTCTCTAAATACCATACCAAAGATGAAAGAATTTTTCTTTTTCACCATAGCAATCTTCAATTAATATCAATTGCGATAAACGATATATGTCATTCTTGCCACACACAAACAAATTGTCGGCATTTATTATATTATTCTAATTAACAACAGTGGAAAAAAAACTCATTTGTAATGGTGTCTTTTACTTTTCTTTACCCGAATCAAATCAATGCACACCTTTTTTCGAATCACAGAAAAAATAATCCATTTTATTTTTATAATTTTCACACGAATTAAATCGATGCCAACGAACTTGATAATAATAATAATAATAATCATGATGATGACACACACACACACACACAAACACACTACATGGGCAATAAAATCGATAAATCACTTTTGATTTTTGATCATTTCAATGAGTCAAAATGAATGAGATGAAAAAAAAACCAATCACAGGTAGAAGAAGAAGAAAAACAGAGTGAAAAATTTGATCAAGTTTTAAATTTTTTTTTTCACTAAGATTTTTTTGCACAAAAAATAAATGAATGAAGATGGGCTAGAAAACCAAAATCAGAACGAACAAGAAAAAAAATTTTTTTTTGTTGGACAGATTTCAATTCAATTCATATATCGGAAAACATTCATCATCAAATAAAATATAATCAATTTCTGTCTAATTAGATTCGAATCAAATAGCCAACAAATCAAATACACAGCAAGAGCAAGTGAGAAATGGATCTCATTTTAAATTTGGGCTCTATTATTTCTTCACATCATCATCAATGGTTATGAGAAATGATCTCATATCTCTTATCTCAATGGTGTGATAAATTGATCACACGGACAACATTTATATACCATATAATCATTGGACATGGAGAAAAAAAAACACAAATTGGCGCCCTACTGTAATGTCCATCATTATTTGATGAAAATTTCTATCAAATAAAATAAAATGAATGAATGTTTCACTAAATATATATATATATACTACGCGTGTATTTGATATAATACTAATCGAAAAAAAAGAAAAGATATCTCATTATCAATGAGGAGTTAGTTAGTTTTTTCTCTCTCCCCATAAATGTACGTGAATCTCTACGAAAAAGAAAAAGCATTAATCCAATCTTCATTCATTCATTCATTCATT